ATATGTGTAATTTTTAAAATAAGAAAATGGCATAGTGTACAACATTACTCAAGGGTACTTTTTGGAATTGTTAGGAAATAAATACTAATTTTAACCGTACAATTGAAGACACCACTTGCGTGAATATTTCACAAATGTTGTAATATTTACCTTAAGATTCATATTTACTATTCTATACTCTATAAATTATTAGTGATTCATTATTTAGATTTCGGGTAGAAAAAAACAATCGAAAGATTGGAATTTACTGTGTAATTAATGGTTTGTAGTAAACAAGAAGGAAGAGAAAAGAGGAAAACGAAACCACTGACAGATCCGGGAGGACAGACAGCTAACATTTGCTACATGGAATTTATATTGATATTTATGATCAATCAATTTACGATCACAAGTAGTGCCCATGTTTCCGATAATGCATCAGCAAGCATTATTCTTCAAGTTGGCAACTTGTAGCACATATTACGTACTATGAAGTTGTTAAGCCTCTTTTTCACGTGCACGCCCTCTCTCGTGTGGTTTACAGATAGTTTTATTCCTCCCACATAGTCACATGTCGCCTCATTATCCACAAAGTACATGCATGTAACACCTTTTCCTCTAATTTCCCCCTGTTTGAGGCAAATGGTAACTATGTTCACTAGCAAGCTAAGCTCAACATATTGAAGTGCCAAGAAACAAGGAAAGGTTTCGTTGACAACAAATTAAGTCATGATAGTGTCATAATTTGCCATTTGTTGTACAAGTATATGTGATACCAACTTTTCAGTTGTACAAATCACACACAATGATTCAATGACTTACAAGGTAAACATGTGGTAGTGGTCCTTTGACCCCGTCCCATGTTGTAGGGTAAACACCTTGTATTCCTTTATTAGCCGTGTTGAACTCAAGATCGAACATGAATATTCCTTGTATATGTACATATATATATATATATTCATGAGTGGAAGTTTTTTTCAACATAAAAAACGTCACCCATCTAAATATAACTCTGCCAAAGCATAGAGTCCACCGACAAAGTTGTGTGTTGATGTAAAGGTATGCTTACTTTTCTAGGTTTCCCCGTAAACATCATCTTGAAGCTATATAAAGTAAATTCTTATTCAGGCAAGTTGGGGGCATTTTGCTGTTCATTGGATCTAATTTGAAGCAAAATGAGGGGTATGTTTGAAGCCATGAATTGGCTAAATTATCAGTTTGGGCATCATAAAGCTAAGCAAGGTCGAGTCAGCGTAGCATATTAAAGCGGAGGAGCAGCATTTTGTTTGCACCTTTCTTACAAACATGTTCAATGCACATGCCGCAAACACAAGCAACGCCTCATAATTTTTAGCCTTGTTTATTTGTTATTCTTAATAACTTTTAGTAAAATATAATTTAACAATCTAATTATTAAATCATGTAATGTTATTTCAAAAATTATATATTCAATTTTAAACAAATTAAATATTTACGTGTGTATATATGCGTGATCTTATTGCAAATATTTAGTCATATTTTAAAATAATATTATGCATTGACAAATTAAGTAAAATTGAATGTTGATAAAATAATATCAAGCAAAATAAATTTAACAAACTATATATATAACATGCTAGTACGTGTTCATAAAAGTATGTTAAAAATGTATATTATTGAGAGTAATTTAACAAATCCTGGATTTCTAAAAATAAGAGAAAGTGTATATGTAATGTGTATAGGAACAGTCTTTTTCTCCATGTCACTCCAGTTGGAGCAATCATACGTTTCTTTCTATCCCCTCATCATGTCATCGAACAATATGATTGCTAAAAGTCAAAAACCAAGTTACAATTAAAGCCAAAAAAGCAAAGCAAGCCAAAATAATTGGACGATGTCGTGCAGGGAAATGTGAAGGTCACGTACTATGAATCTACGAACTACACATTTTTTTATGTATACATGAAGTAGTCAATTTTTATTCGTCCAGAGAGGAGGAGCAACTACACAATTAAATCTCACAAATTTTGAGCATTGGGCTGGGTCCCTTAATAAAGACCACTCTACCTCCATTTTTTTATTACGGTCCATTTGGGCCCAATATTCATTACATTAAAGAAATGGGCTTTAATAGCATAATAGGGCTTCTAGAAATGATTCTCTTCGAAAACTCTAATTAAAATGAAGACTACATGCTCTCGTTGAGAGTCGAACTCAAGACCTCCCGCTTACTAAACGGGTGCTCTAACCAACTGAGCTACGAGAGCTCTTTGTAAGGGGGATTATTAGACAATATCATTTCTTATTTGTGTTTCCCATTAATTAGATAGTTATATTTAATTGTAATTTTCTAAGTTTCCCCAGTTATTTTTAATTTTATTTCACTCGATAATTTTAATTGTGGTGTTTTATTTTATTCTTTTTTCAAATCATATTTTCTTTTTTTGTCGATTTATTTCTAATTTAGCGTAATTAATAATTCAATTCATTCTTATTTGAAATTTTAGGGCCTCCCCCTCTCCCTCAACTTTTTTTTTTTCAGGTGCTTCCACTTTGATTGTATTGTATTGCCAAGAAACAAGGATTTTTACTTTGAATATATCCTTAATAACAAGTTGGATTCGTTTTATTTTTTTGGTTTCATTGCCGTTGAAATCGGATATTTGCTCATTTTGCATGGAGCAGCCAGATTACTTACGATTTACACTTAATCTGTCTCAGAGAAAGGAAGAAAAACACTGTGGACAAAGGTTTCATGCTACTTCTGTTATTGGATCTTTAAACAAGCATTTACCATTGTTTAACATCCATGAAGGTTAAAATTGTTTGCAAATATGTTATTTACCTGGTAAGTCTGCAAATTACCTATTTAAAATTATCACCTTTATATCCACAACCTTTTACCCAAACATAATATAAAGTTGATCAAGAACTTGCTTGGTATGAGAAATGAAAGTGAAATTTGTTGGCTTATATATAGATGTGCTACTTAACATGAAGTTTGATATTTGATGTGGTAATGTTGGTGCAGATATTTTTGTTTTGCATAAATAAATGATGAAACCTAGTGATCACGAGGAGTGATGGCCTGGTTTCATGTTTGGGAACTTGTGATGCAATGAGACCATTTACATTTATAGAAAACAAACAAAAGTTGCACGCGTAGGACTAGGATCAAAAAGACAAGTCTTGTTGATGACTTAGAATTGAAGTTGCCCATTTGTTGTTATTGAATTAGGCAAAAAAGTTATGAGCACGAAGGGGTTTATTTCTGTTCAAATTGATTAAATATAGCTAGAATCCGAGGGGTTTATTTCTGACCATTTACATTTTTTTGTGTATAAAATGCAAATATGGAAAGAACCTTTATTATCCTGTTTGTCTTCTATGATAGGTCTATGGGAATAAAATTCGTGTGACAAGCATGAGGCCACAGGTTCACGAATCCATATCCTTCGCGTATTAAGGGTTGCCTTTTCAGCTATTCTGCGATAAATTAGCCAGAAAAAAAAAAGGGTACTAAGTGTGAATCTATGCTATTATTGATTATTCTGGTATCATTGATAAATTTGCATATGCACCAAAAAAATGTAATTCTATGCAAACGCGAATTCATACAAATGAATGTTATAGATTACCACTTCTTTCTTTTGTTAAACTACTATTATTTCTTCATCCAGTGTACCTTTAGTTGCTCCTTCTTTCATCCAAGTATCATCATTATCTACGATCCAGCACGAATATATTTATAAAAAAGCGAGGAGATAAAATAATTTAAAATTAATCCATACACTTCAAGTATTGCACACCAAACTCATTCTGATAAGTTTACAACACAATTGTTAATTGTTATCTAAACATCATGGAAGAACGATGATCCGGAATGGATTTCATCCGATTAACAATTAGAAGAGGATTACAAGTCTAATTGTATGGTATTTTAGTGTTTAAGATTAAACAATAAATACAAATAATTTAATTTCGATGATTTTAAATATTCGTATGGTTTAGAGTTATAGTTTTCAGATTCTTAAAATACGTCTCATTCCCTCTTATTTTAAAATCTGCACCTTTCTCTCTTGAAAGATGAATATATATTAAATCTGAGCCTATTTTAATATAGCGAACATTCTTCAGATTTTTTTTCCTCTTGCAGTGACTCTCAACATGATTAACAGTAAATTTTGAACATGTATTATCAATTTTTTAACCTTAGATTATACCTTTTAAATTGTTAAAATCAGTAATAAAATCTGTAAAATTAGTTGTTTGTAGCACTGAAAGTCGTGCAAAAAGATGAAGTATCATTTAGAGGTACTTTCATGATTATTCACCCCTATTAAGAGTGTATATTTTATTATAAGAAAAGAAAAAAAAAAAGAGAGTATGATTTAATATCCCTCGAAGAAGGGAAGTATAATTGCTTAGAAATAGATTTTTTTTATGGTTGAAATTGAGTACAGTTTAAAAAAAAAACTGTAGATAATCTCTGTCACTCACTTTTTTTACCTGTCTATTTTCGTTTTAGATACGGGTGTAGACTAGCAATTTTATTGAAGGACCATTTTATGATTTAATTATTGTCGGCAGAATCACTGCTGATTACGAAATCAAGGTTTTCATAAAGAGTGTCTCAAGGGACAAAAATAAATATGTCTGTTAACAGATGTGCTTCATAACTTTACGATTTAATTTAGCCAATAGATAAGTTTTATTAATTGTGTTAGCTCTTAAATTTGTCAGTTGGTAAAGTCAACCTTTACCATCTATATAGCACTTCTTGTAATTGATCACAATTAACTTTAAATACAGAATATATTTTTCTCATGTTTATTCATTTTTCTCTCCAACTCTTTAGAGTTTTCACATGGTATCATTTTTTTAGTAAGTGACAGTAAATCCTGTAGCATAATAATTACAGTTGAAAATATCTTCTAATCATTAGAATTTAATTATTATCATTATCTTTATAATTATTTATAATTATCTCTCTAATTATTAAAAGATAATCTAAAATATTAGGATTAAACACCAATATATACACGTAAAGACACAATTCATTCAGAATTTCAAGAATTACATCTCAGTCAAAGCTAAGGATGTGTATACTGGGGTTTAAGATGTCAGCATCGTTAGTACTAGACAAGTAACAGGTGACATAAAAAAAAGCAGAAACTTTGTAAATCATGTTTTTCTTTTGCATCATATTCCTGCGAAAATCAGAAGCGGATCCTTTAACATGAAACGTGTATAATTTTCAATACCTATTTCTCCCCCTTACTGAAGCTGCGACCCTGCTGTTCTATTTAGCAAAACACATTTGATCCAGGCGTTTATGTATGAGCACATGGAAAAATAACTGTTAATTTAATGGACAACACAAATATACTGTGCAGGGGCTACATAAACAGGAATTCAGAAGTCGGGCTGCTTCGTTTGGAGAAACCTCTTCTCATCTCAAATGTGTATAATGAGTCATGAAGAAATTGTAGTCAGGATGATTAACTCGCAGTAGCCTGAGCCAGTTTTCTGCAGCTCGTGACAGAGAGTTAGCTTTCTGACATTCAGAAACCCCATCAGGATCCCAGATGGAAACTTTGAACTTGTGAAAGGCAAGCCCAAAGATCGGTAACGACAGCTTGGATGACATTTCCCTACCTCTTGAATAATGAATATGTAGCCCATCAGTATTTGAACCTGTTTCAAAGATCAAACTGTTAACAGTTGATGCCATACATTTTGCACATACAGAAATTAAAACAGACAGCTAGACATACTTTGCAAAGCCGTTGACAGGGAATGGAAGGTCAAGAAGCAGGCACTCAGGCTTTGTAGTGTTGGACCAGTTGGTATTCTGTATATCGGATACCTTTATAATACACACAGCAACCAATAATTTTGAATTAGAAATTGCTACGTGCATTGTCCAACCACAGTAATCAGTTGACCAAAAGGATGAGAAAAACATACCAAGCAAATGAAACCCAGCTTGCAGGCGATAGATCACAGCTCCAGTATGTTTTCAACTCTGGAAATTGACGTGCAAGATCAGAAATCTGATTCAAGCAACGTGAATACTAGTTAGGATTAAAAAACAATATAATCCAATATGCAAATTCAACAAAGGATAACATCTTGCCTTATCTGCTAATGGCTCACGATTATAAGGTGACTCATGCTCAAAGTATTCAAATATAAGCTGACCAGGAGGGTTGCAGCTCTCAGTCTCATCACTCGATGAACCCATGAAAGGTTTACCTAGTGAGACCCTTTCCAAAGCATGATTGCTTGCATCCAAAACATTAAGATGATTTCTACTTCCATGAACACTCTTTGCTCCTCTTTCATGACAATAGCCACTGCTGCTATCACTGCTTGTCTCTCTAGCTGATTCAGAATCACTTTCTTGACTGGGTTTCCTGGAATAAGATGGAAATGAGAATGATAATATGTTACAAATGATACCATGCCAAGTCTTTAAACTCAGCTAAAATTGTAAGCTGGTCCTGGAAAGGAGTAGATCATAACACAGAAAAAGGGCAAATGATAAGGTGCCTCAAACTGAACTCCTAGCATCTAATTAATAGCATGTTTTACTATTGCGCTCATCTCAGGTTTCTTATACTTACATAACACATTCCCAATATGTAAACAAGTTACCAGCTTACCCATTGATCTCCGAAATTTAGACAAGTTCATATGCACATGTAGGCCTAGGCAACAAAATCATACAAGCTAGCAATACAAGACAGGAAGGCATTTGAGTTATTAAGCTAGTTAATCTTTCCTCCCTCTTTACGAGTTATCCTAGAACATGCAGTTCTTAGGAGAAAAATCTCTCTACCTTGCCCCATCTCCATAGCACAATAATCAGAAGCCAAGCCAGAATAATTGATATCTATATTTTTATCAATGAAGGCTAAATACTCCAAAAATGGCTAAGTATTGGTACCATACCCATAGGCAATACCAATAAATACTCCTAGATTCATATCCAGGAAGTATCCTCCATTTTTTTTTTATCATTTGTTAAAATTTTATTGACTGACATGTTTGGGACATGGCTCTGATACTCTGAATAGGACTAAAATTACATACAGCTCTATCTTTTCCTCTACTTCTTTTAAAGCTGTAGTAAATAATTGGCAGAATATAGAGCCAAGACTTCTTTTTGAGTAGGATTAATGACACCTGATATTCTGCATGGGTTGGGGGAAAATATGCAATGGGGGAAAGAATATATTTTGATGTGTGCAATGGAAAGAACTGTAACTATGGTTTTGTTAAGAGGGCAAGTAGTTTTTGTAAATTGTGATCATTGATCACCATCCATTGATACAGTTATGTATTAATTGGAAATTATCAACATCTACTTCCAAATAGTGCATTTATGTAATTTTTAAAAATTTCATGTTATCATATCTAGGTTATAATGTATCTTCGAATTTTTAAGAATTTCCCAGATCCCCATATATGTGTTGTATCAAGTATTCACACTTCATATATTTTTATTTATAGCTACACCCACACAAGCCCATATCAAGAGGTACCTAATCAGATATTAAGAGCAGACCATACGCTAAAATAAGGATAACCAGGCAGGGCTACTGCAGGAGATTAATCTGTGAACTTTTTTGTCAATGTGTATATAAAAGAAAGTTTGCTTCAAACCCATTCAATTTTACAGATCAGAGTATCAAATTTCTTTAGTGTGTACATATTGAAAGGCTTGGATACTTGAGCAACATAGATCACAGTCATTAGGTAACATGACTTTAGAGAGTTATGATCTTATCACATTCAATTCTAGCATGTTCAAATCAGCTGAGTCTCTGCTTCAAGCTACCAGTGGGAATATTAATATCATTACGAATAAGACATGTAGTTCTTCTTTTAATGTTTCCCCATGCATCAAAAGACTACAAATAAACCTCCAGTCCAATTATTAGCTGTAATTAGAACCACATTTACACGGCATACAGAATAAGACACACAACAAACGCTTCGTTGGCTTCTAAAATGCACAATTGCAATTCAACTAGTCATAACAAAACCAAATTGTAAAAGAAAATTAAACAAATAACAATGCATTAAAAATATTTAAAAAGGTTAAAATGAAAGGCATTGAGCCAATCATTAGAGGTGCACTCATAAATGAAGGGAATTCAGCCAAACATTTAATAGGAACATTTAGAAACAACATGTTTCATGGTTACATACTCACCTTAACCGTGTGGAAGGTTTTGACGGATCGATATACAGCTGAATGGCAGACAATGAGACATTATAATACTGCGTCACAGATTCACTCCCATTCAACACCAGAGGAACACCTGCCCCATATGCACTCCATTCCTTAAAAGATTCCCACAAGTCCCCAAGCACAAAGTACGGATGCAATTCCGCCTCCCTTGTTTTCCATCTCCTCGAGTTTGTCTGTCAATTCCCACGCACCCAATTTCCACTCAAAATAAGTCAAATGTCCTTCCAACCAAACAAAAAGCCGATGCTACCATAAAATTAAACACCAAACGCATCATACTACATCGTATGCAACAGCTCAAATTAGGGATTACCTCAAAGCAAGCCATAAATTGCAAAAGCTCGATGGCATTTGATACGAATCAAACACTGACTAATCAAAGAACTTATCTATTTAATGCATTCAGTCATTCAGTCATTCATTCATGCATTCATTCACTAACTAACAGGGTCCACTGCTGCTACCACAGCAAATTAAGCAAATTCAACACCATGACCATGGTGACCAGTAACTAGAAAAAAAGAGCAAAAAATTAAAATCCAACAGCAAAATTGAGTTCATGTCGATGTCACCTTGGGAAAATATTGAGCGGGAACATGAGGCGTGATGTACTCTAACAACCGATCCAAATTGGACATGTCCGATGTGGCGCGCGAAGAAATCGAACAATCGGAAGAAGAACCAGGCCTGTTCTCCGACGAAGTTCTCGACAGCGAAGACCTCTGCTGCTCCTGCTTTTCTCTGTGTTTCCGCAGCGGCGGCGGACTATAGAAGCGGTCCTCGCCGAGATGCCGATTGCGGCTGCGGCTTCCGCCGGCGATGGTGGCACCACCACTGGCCGACATTGACGCGGTGGTTTGCGAGACGATGATAATTAGGAGGGCGAAACGACGACGTTGGGTTTAGGTCAAGTTCTAAACTGAGGGAGTGAAAGAGTGTGAATGTGAACTGGTGCGAAGGGTTTATTTAACGTCCAAGTGATTGCGCACTCCACGCTGAGGTTTTCTATGTGGATTTAACTCTTCGCTCTTTTGCAACTACCTTTTTTTTTCAATTATCATATAAATAGATATCTCGATTTTTTATTTTTATTCAATATTTATTTGATAATAACTATTGGTATTTGCTTTTGTTGTGTTTTACTTTTTCTTTTTTAATGGTATGGGAATTTAATCAATTTATAGAATTTGATGGTTCCTCACAGGCAGACAATTCTATAGTTCGATGGTTACTTGTTCCTACTCAACCACACTTGTCTTGTCACTTGAACAGTGAATATGTGTGGATACAAGATGCTTCTGTTTATTCTTTCTCCTAAATGCTTATTGAAGATCTGATCCTTAAAAAAAGGCAAAACTGAAAATAAATAAAAGACCGTAATGCTTTCATTTCATTTGTTGGTCATTTTCTACTTCAAATCGTTTCTGCAAGCAGATATGTTCGTGTAAGGAATAACATTTTTGCGTTATTGTTTAGTACATGAGTATTTTATTTTATTTTTTATTAGTAATAAACTCTATTGTTTTGAAGATTAGTTTTTTATTTAATATTTCAAAAAATGAATCAAAATAATATTTATTTACCACTGAGCACTAAAAAGTAGAACTGTGTTGATTATTTAAGGAAGGATCTTTGATACGAACAACAACTTTTCTCGATTTGGTCTAAATTAGTTGAATACTAAATGCGACTTGTACCCATACTTTTTTAGATTGAAAAACCATTCAACATCCGTATTATAAATCAGAGTCTTATATCTAAGTATTCAGTGGAATTATTTTTGTTATGTATATATTTTAAGAATAAAATTGTTTGAGAATAATATATGAATTATATTATTTTTATTACACTCATTTTATTTATACTTATATTTTTATTAATTTTGTTAAAAATTTTAAATATAAATATTGTTACTAAATTATTTTAAATGAATTTTTTTTATTTTTATGGATCTTTAATATTTATATTTATAAAAAAAATATTATTTTATATAAATTTTTTATTTTCAAAAAAATATTATTTTACATAAATTTTATAATAACATATTTATTTCTATTAATTGCAGTGATAGAGTTAAACTAAAATGATTTCCTATTAATATTTGAAATGTCTTTGTTATACATTGTGTATGTATATCGTTTAAAATAGAATATTTATGTATTACAACGATTTTTAATTAATATAATTTTATATTTTGTTAAACTTAATTTTATTAATAATTAATTTTAAAAATAAAAATTTATTTATTTAGAATTAGATTAAATAAATAATAACTAATTTTTTATCTATTTAAAATCTTAAATGAATATAAAATAGGAGCTTCGTTATATTTTTAAAAATATTTATTATTATATTTAAAATATAAAATATTAATGAAAAAATATAAATATGTTAATATTTTTTTTATTAATTAGAAAGATTTTAAAAACGATAAATAACAGTATTTAAAATATTCGTTGAGTAGAAGTGTAGACTGTTATTTCAAAATATTCTGTGGTTTATACCGTCATTATATGGTATTAACATATTAGCTGGCACACTTTTTTTTGCGGGTACATAACTACACATGCTTGCGTGTGTATTTGTATTTTTATGTTTGCAATAGAAAAAATTTAAGGAATACTTTAAACGAACTGTGTTTTTAATTAGAATTTGAGAATTACTTTTTATTATATAATAAATCTTTTAACTATCCAGTTTCTCATACACTACACCTATTTTATCAAACTAAAATAATTTTAAATAAAAAATTATTAAAAGATAAATATCTTGTCTATTAATAATAAATATTTTATTATAAAATTCAATTTAAAATTTTTAAGATAAATTATAAATAATTTATATTTATATTTAATTTAAATTAAAAAATACTCAATACAGCAATAATCGCATGTTATGATGAGAAAATTGATATAGTAAGTTATTGTTTAAAAATATTTTAAATATACTCTTACTAAAAAAATCAATTTTAATACATGATATAAAATTTAATTAAAATTTAGTTTAAATTTTAAACTTATTTTATATTAAATTATTTATAATTTAAAAACATCTTAAAATATACAAATATAAACAATTCTTAACCTTGTAACATTGTTAAATAGTTAATAATAACTTAAGTAAATAAATAAACAATAAAACATTTTATTTTGTCATAAATTAATATAGAATAAAGTATCTCTATACAAAATTATATATAAACAATTAAAGTGAATATTATTTTTATTACAAATTTTAAGAATTTAGAATCTATAATAATCATATTTAGGACTCTGCATTAGTGAATATTTCTAGCATCTCATGGATAATATTCGATTAAGATAAAAATTTTAAATAAAAAAATTAGATTACATGACTTTTTAAATTTTATAAAATTTTTAAAGCAAGTATCTAATTACTAACATTAAAGACTGCATTATATTAAATAAAACTAAGTAAAAAAATATAATATTTTTATTTTGAAAAACAAATAATCGTGCATAATAGGATACTTAGCTGAAAAAACAAAACATATATTTATATGATGTCACATGAGAAAAAATAAATTTACAAAATAACTTACTTTTAAGAAAGGTGCCCTACAGTATGTAACAAAATTAAACATATTTAATAAAACTAACTTACAAATATATAATCTAATTTAATTAGTTGACTGTAGATTTGTAATTCAACTATAGTTGTTTACTTTGAAAAAATGTCAAAATAAGTATAATTTGATAATTAAATTGTGTAAAATATTATAATTTTCATATACTTATTTTAAATTATTAATTTTTACTACTATCGATGAATCTCTTTACATGTTCAATTGCGTTTAATAGTTTTGAAACAAACTTAATCAAAATAAATTATATTTAACTTTAAAAAAAAATCAATAACAATAAATTTTAGTCTTTTTAATTTTATTTTTAAAATTTAAATTAGATTTTTGTTCCAATTTTTATTTAATTATTAACAAAATGTAGCAGGTGTATGATATATTATTGTTTTATACAAAGCAGTGAAAAAATTATAAAATATTAAAAAAAACAAAGCATAATATAAATATTTTTTAAGTAATTATTTTATATATTTATATAAATTAATAATATTATCTTAATTATATTTTTATTATTTATTAAATAAAATTTTAGAATAAAAGACTTAATTTAAACAATTAAAAAATTAAATGATTAATTTCACGTAATTAAAGTTGAGAGATCAAAATCACTAATAAATACAAATATAGAATAAATATACAATTAAGTTTACTAATAAAAAGCGAGGAGATATAATTTAATATTTGACAAAAAAAAAAAGGAAAAATATATTAAATATAATACTTTCTCATTCAGTAAATCCATTCCAGGGCTATTGTTAAACACGAATATAACATAGCCATTTAACATGATGCATTAATTATTATTTTTTCAGTGATATATATACATAAGAAGATTTAAAAAAATATATAAATAAAAATTTTAATTAAGTTTTTAATTTACATGTTATTTTTTAAAAAAATTGGATAAAAAATGGAGAGAGTATTCTTACTGATTTCTGGACAACGGTTATAAAAAAAAAAATGCAAAGTCCAATTTACCCATCAACATTAGAAGACTTCTAGAAGGGCGTCTACAAAAAAAGTGTTAATGCCACCGCATCCGTAAATTTCTCTTGCCTGGGAATGCATTACTTTAATATTTTCGGTGGACCGAGAAATGAATGGTTGCAAGTTAAACTTCCAGGCAACAAATATTAAATAAATACGATTCAATCAAATTTTATTAAACTTTATTATATTTATAATAATCTAATATAAACTTTTGTTTACTTTCTACATATATTTTTAACATATATATTCTCTTTTATTTTGTTTTATAATAGTTTAACACAATTTTTTTCATGCCCGAGAAATGAACGAACAGTACACCATCGTTGAATGTGACGTGTTTCCACTGCAACTTCTTTGAACTTGAATGCTTCCAGATCGCAATATTTGACAAACACATAACATTAAAGACAGCATAACCTAGCATGTTGCTTTTAGCGAGAAAAAAACAGTGATTGAATATTACACAGCTTGTCCCAGTGATAAAACCAATCTTCGAAAATTGAAATTACTAAAATGGAGAACAAAATGACTGCATTAAAGTAATAATGAACTTACTAACAAGTATATGAAAGATGCTAGTCTATAAATCAATCAATAAAATTTTAATTAAAAATTACGATACGATTGTATTGAAAATCATGACTGTGTTAGAGATTTTTTTTCTTCATATTTTTTTTTATTTTGTATTTCTTAAATGGTATGCCCTTCTTAACATTCTCTAAATAAATATAATATTTTCTTATCAGTTATTTATACATATACGCATAGAATTACATCGTATAAAACTAAATTTACATGCCAACAAATTACTTTATATATTGTGTTTTGTTATCTCTTCGAAACTCATATATACGTGCTTGGATATATTTTTTTTTTTTCTAAAAATATAATTGTGTATAGTCATTGCCAATTTGCCATCACAGAAAAATGAAAAGCAACAGTAGCCTGACGAGCTAAAAGGTATTTTAACAAATATTTAAGTTCAACGATACTTAAAATAAGATTATCTCCATGTGTTCCTTTATGAATAAAAAAGTTATCCAACAACCCATCGTATGAGTGAGTCGGCAGCTTCACACTACGGGCACACAAGAAGAGTGATACCAGTTTCATAAGAGTAGTGCCTATAAATACAGGGCTTTCCTCAGCTCATGAACCGCACAGCAACCAAAATCTTGTGAAAGTAGCATTATTATTGTTAATTCAGAACAATGGGTGTTTTCACATTCGAGAATGAAACCACCTCCACTGTGGCTCCTGCCAAGCTTTACAAAGCTCTGGTAAAAGATGCTGATAACCTTATCCCAAAGGCTGTTGAGGCCATCAAGAGTGTTGAAACTGTTGAGGGAAATGGTGGCCCCGGTACCATCAAGAAGCTCACTTTCGTTGAGGGTCTGTATGTTTAATTCTTTTTTTTTTCTATACCATAGTTTATATCAGCTTATGATTGAAGAGAATTCTAACCAAAGTAGTGTTCTTACTTCTTACATATTGATTTAGTATTTTTAAGTGAAAGTTTTTACATTTAATGTTATTTTATTTTGAAAAATGTTAACCTTAATTATTCTTTAAGAGAATATAGTAAATTTTATTAATGAAATTAATTGATTGGTATATCGATAATTTGGTTAAATGTCCTTGTGAATGAATGGACAGATGGGCAAACCAAGTATCTGTTGCACAAAGTTGAGGCAATTGATGAAGCTAACTTGGGATATAACTACAGCATAGTTGGGGGTGTTGGGTTGCCAGACACAGTTGAGAAAATCTCCTTCGAGTCCAAATTGGTTGCAGGCCCCAATGGAGGGTCCATTGGGAAGGTCACTGTAAAGTACCAAACAAAAGGAAATGCTGAGCCCAGTGAAGAGGAGATCAAGAATGGCAAAGCCAAGGGCGATGCTCTTTTCAAGGCCATTGAGGGTTACGTTCTGGCCAATCCTGATTACAACTGAACTAACTCTATCAGTAAAAACCACCTTTATATAGAGTTTTGTTGCCTGTTATACACTGTGTGCTTCAGTTGCACTTCAATGCAACAACCGTTTTCTTTATTTATTTCCTTTTGCTGCAGAATCGTGAGAGTATATCTTTGTTACTCACTTCAATGAATTATAATAAAACAACGCATCCATTAAGCTTTGGTTTCTTATGTTAACTATAGCAAGTTTATAGAATTTATCACATATATATATATAAACTCATTTAGTACATGTTTAGAACTTCTTAAAAAAACACCGCTTGTTTAAAAATAATAATAAAAGTAAATGATTAATTTTTTAAACTAAACTAAATAAAGCATGAATCAAATATCTAATAACCTTTATTATGGGACGGCATGTCTATTTTAACATTCAATATCAGTTCGAACAACTTTCGAAAAAAGATGTTTTCTTTTTCCCTTTATGATAACTTAGTTTATTGGTGTTTGAATAACAAGTTACTTAAGAGTTTATTTAATAAATTATTATTATATAGAAATTTTATATTATAAATTTGTTTATAAAACTTTTTGATATAAATTAAAAATATTTTATTTTAATAATTCATAAAAAAACTAATTAAAATAAATAAATACAACTTATAAGAGTTATACATCCAGTGATAGGCAAAAGAAATAAATATTAACTACATAATTTTTTTATGAATGATAAAGATTTAAAATTATTTAATAGTATATAATTATTTTAAAATATCATGTGACTTATTCTTTAAATCTTAATTATTCATGATTAAATTTAATAATTAATGTGTGCGTTTAAAGTGTGAATAAAATAAATTTTTTTATAGACCTTATGCATAATTAGTAAATTTTAGATAATTTAAAATAAAAATTGATGTATTTTTTTAAAATTTAATGAGAATAAATTATTTTAAATTTATAAAAATATTTATTTTTTTATAAAAAAATATAGAAACAATGTCAAATTCAACTTAACTATGACTTTTTAGAATAAATTTGTAAATATGTTGACCATTATTATATATTTATTTTGTATGTCTTAATATTTTCAAAATAAACTCCCTAAAATGATATTTGTTCTGTTTTATTTTAGGTTCAACAGCTGTTTTATGCTTTGAAATACAAAAGTATTAAACTTTGTTCGGATGAGTATTTTTCGATTGTTATTTTGAAAAACAACAGAGAATTTTCAAAAGTGAAAAAATTGATAAATAGTTTGACAATATTTTTACTTAAAAAATATCACATAATAAAGAAAAAAGAAACTGCTAGATTTAGTTACTTAAAAATTATATATATATATATATATATATATATATATAGTAGCAATTATTTTATTAACACAGATAGAAATATTTATTATATTTATTTTGTTAGTATATAATATTTTTCGATAGTATTTTGAATTTATTTTTTGAAAACAATAAAAAAAATGAAAATGGACAAAGCAGTTCCAAGTAGACTTGACAATGAGTTAAGGAAATTTTGATTATACCGTTACTTTAACTAGACGGGTGATAACGATTTTCTTCGTGATACTAATAAAGAAAATTAAAATTTTGTTTGATAATTTATTTCATTAAAAATATTAACATTATTAAATATTTATGTTATTAAACTTTAACAGTATTCCATAGAAATATTCAACATTATATAATCTATACGACTCTTTAATGAAAAAAAATGACCTTGCGACACTGTTATTTTATATAAACTAATAATGTGTTGATGATTTATTTTTAAAGTAGGCTGTTTAAATTCAATAAGATAATTGTAGCTAATAATATTTTTTAATAGTATTTAATACTTTTATATTTATTTATTATTTTAATATAGAAACGTTAATGTGTTGATGATTTATTGATTTAATAAAGATAAATTATTTATACTAAATCTAAGCATGATTTTTTTAAAATTCCAGAATTCAGCAGAGACAGTTTTATAACTGGAGAGCGATGTGGTCCAAGTCTGCTTCGACTGGCATATCAATTAATTAGGAATGTCTCATTCAAAGTTGATACCTAATTGGCGGTCCGGCCCAAGCAGAGAGTAACTCCAGTATTGTTTCACAGAAGAAGGCTGCTACATAAATATGTATACAATAAAAAAAAAATTCTGAATATTTAAAACAATTCTATTTATTGAAATTTAAATTTAAAACTACATATTAAATGAAAATAATTCTTTTAATTTATCTAAGATCAATTTAAAATTATATTTGAGGATATAAGTGTAATTTAAAATTATTCAAAATCAGTTTTTCAATCATTCAACTACCGCGTGGCGTCACATACAACGTTAGTCCTTGGAAATATTGGTACTGTCTTCCTTAAACACCTCCACAAACAGTGGCATTTGAAATATTCTGGTGATATCAAGATCTTATGCGTTGGTTTCATGTTTTTGCCACACGGAAGCTCCATTTTTCAACTTTCCTTTTAATTCTTGTTTTTCTTTCTGGGCTGTATGCGATGTGTCTATCAAGTTTTGAAGACATCAAAACATCTTTTGAACATTAATGATTTACCCTCATACTGGAAACCTAAATTTATCGTCAATAGTCGGTAATTAGCGAATGACCGAGTCACAAGATTTGATACGCCATAGACTTTGTTGATCCATCCTTCTCCATACACATTTATGAGTCAATGCCGTGGCTAGTAAGCAATTATATATTGATATTAATCAATTTATGTAGCCTTAAGTTATTTATTTTTTAGAGATATGTTGTTTTGTTGTTAACTTTTTAATATTTTAAATTATTATAAACTCATCACATCGTAAAACTATATAAAATATTTATTTAATTTAACTCTTCACCAGCAAGGATTTGGCTTAGTGGAGTCTTTTTTGACTTAGTGGCAAGTCTCTTTTTAAGAAAACAAATCGATTTTGTTAAAATAAAATGTTTCTCGCTAATAATTGTAACGTCTAAGAAGATTTCAAAATATTATTTGTCTCCACTATTATTGACTTTGTCTAATGAAAATCAAATTAGTAATATAAATATTATGAATATATTAACAATATGGTTGTATGATATATATTATTCTAATTTTTAATAAACTAGTATCATATATCAATTTTTATATTAACAAAATTGTTTGTTAATATGAGATATTATTGTATTTGTATAGACTTATAGTGTTTATATAATAGTTTTATTTTATTAAGTAAATATTATATTAATAGAAGTTAATCTAATAAAAAAATATTAATCTATAATAATTTTTATTATTGTTTAAAAAATTATTTTTCTCAATAACATTGTTAACTTTTCAATCTTAAAGGGAGATCAATATTTTAAATAGAACGATTTTTTTCCTTTTGTTGAATTAACTATGTTAGTAAATTAATTTGTTATTTATAATCACCTCGTTAGAATTGACATCGAAGTTTATATGTACATATCGAAAGATCAGAAGATCGAAATTAATGAAATATAAATAATAACTTTATATAAAGTGAGGTTAGGATTTCAAAGACCAAAAAAGTTGATATTTTCTTACATGATATTTTGATTAATAAATTTAAAATTAAAAAGGTTTAAAATAGTTTGATCAGTTTAATTTAAAAGATATATATATGATAACCTAATGAAAAGACTTGCACTGCGTTTTGTTAAAAAGTAATTACATATAATAGCAAAAGAAAAAAGTAATTACACATTTACAAGAGAGAAACTGCAAAAGGAAGATAAAAGTATAATTGAGTCAAACTAAAACAAAAAAAATGGTTGTATTTTTACTCGTCACTGCTTTGTCCCCCGTTACACCACACTTGTTAAACATCAACCGGTATTTTACGCTACATATCTATATCTAGAAGCCCGTTGATCTCCTTTGGCTTTGTTTTTACAGAAGTTCTAGCCATAACTTGTATTTATATACAAATTTATTTAAATATTAAAAAAGTGGGACTGTCCCTTTTATTATTTTTTCTAAAAGAAAATTATGAAAGAGATGTTAGAAAAAATAGATATACCAAGATGGCAGTGATATTCTTTAAATCCATACACTTTTGACTAATTCATAGTCTTATTTGTTTTTCTAAATAAAATACAATACCAAAAGCAAAAGATGAATCTAGTTTTTTTTTTTTTTTTAAATATTCTTATACTTATTTTTTATATATTTATATATATTTTTTATATCTTTCTTTGCTTACGTTCATAGAAAGATGTGAAAATATTATTCTAAAATATTGGATAAACCTTAGTGAGAACTTGTTCAGTCAAAGGAATGCATATATGAGTTAAGGCATGACCAACGTTAGCATCTATAAATACCCTCTCTCCCTAGTCACAACCGCATCATAAACAAAGCTGTGCATCACTCCCCCTACGATTTTATCTTCTCATACTAATTAAGCTTGCGTTAATCGTTCATCGATCATGGGTGTTTTCACCTTCGAGGACGAGCACATCTCTCCTGCAACTCCAGCTAAACTATTTAAAGCTCTTGTAAAAGACTCTGACAGCATCATCCCAAAGTTCATAGAGGCCATCCATAGTATTGAAATCGTTGAAGGAAATGGAGGTCCCGGAACTATCAAGAAAATCACCGTTGTTGAAGGTAATTCAATTAAACCATTTTAGTGAAACAGCCAATCTTAACTATACAACTATTATATAAACGATCAATATTAAAATTAAATAATAGTAATATATTGTTCATCCATATATCATATTATAAAAAAGATATATTGTTCTTGTTAGAATAATATATGGTATGGTGGATTCCAGGTGGGAAAACGAGCTATGTGCTACACAAAGTTGAAGCAATCGATGAGACTCACTTTGGATACAACTATAGCATAATAGGAGGAACTGGATTAGAGGAGATTTTAGAAAAAGTAGAATTCGAGACCAAGATATTGGCAGGGCCCAATGGTGGATCCTTGGCGAAGGCCAGTGTCAAATACCACACTAAAGGCGACGCACCGCTTTCAGACGAGCTGCGAGAGAGTACAAAGGCAAAGGGAACTGGGCTTTTCAAAGCAGTTGAGGGCTACGTTTTGGCAAATCCTGATTACTAGATTCACAAAATGAAGGAGACTTATAAGTTTTTATGCTAATAAATAAGTTGGTTTGTCTGTGTTTGTGCTTTCCTATGTGAGTTAGTGTTTGGTTTAATCTGTTTTTCGTGAGTCAAAGGTTCAATTGCCAAAATTATGTGTACTGAATTTGAAGTCTAGGGACCATCTTTATTCTGCAATAAATAACGTACAATGAAATGATGAGGATTTAAAAATTAATTAATGATACTGTTATTTCTGTCGTTTACTTTCAATTAAAGCAAATTATCCCCGTTATTTGCTATTTTCTAATTTTAATTTATCATTCAAAATGTTTTTAATAAACATGTAAATAAAAATATTTAATAAGCTTATTTAACTTTGTATGGCAATTTCAGTACAAAATATAGACATACAGCAACTATAGAAACTTATAATTATTTTGTGCATAAAAAGAAACTAAAGATGGGTTACCCCCCCACTTGACCAATGATGAGTTGTCCATTTCTCAAGAACCTTGCTTTCTCTTATATTTGCTTACACAGATGAAAACAATAAAATCTTGGGTTAATGAAACTAATACAATAAGATCGCTCCTAACTTAGGCCAGTGAGTGAAAGGGTGGAGATTTTTATCTAGTGAGTTTAAAAGTGAAGATATATTAACGCATGCAAGATTACAACGACTGAAATTGTCGTCAGTGAATTATCTATCTGTTTAATTTATGTATCCAGTTAATTTATATTTATTCCCTGTTGTCTATTTAATTTATCTAGCCATATGTTTGTCCATTCTTTCTGTCAAAACATCCTCTTCTCTTAACGCCAAAAAATTTGTCTTTCAAGATTAATTTCGATCAGGTTCACGCTAAATGTTAAGTTATAACTAAAACACACAAGTAACAGGCAGTAAGTAAGTTGCAAGACTGGTGGAAGAATGTAGTTAATAGATGTTTCCTACATCTTAATACTAATCTTTAAAAAACTTTGATTAAAGACACGTATAATCGGTTCATTAGTTTGATTACAGTGAAAGCTTAGTCAAATATATGAGAATTAAACACATTTTTTTTTATATTATACACTAGATAAAAATCTTTTACTTTTAATTAAAAAGAAATATTAGCATGCATATGCTAATCTAACCCAACTGATGTAGCAATATTATAGATTTGTCTGTCCTTTTCTAATTAATACTTCAACTTCTTTTTATGATTTCATACCAACAATTGAAGTCCGTAATCACTTTAAATCCTAATGGATTCTGATTGTTGAACCTTGAGCACATAACCCATGTTACTGTAGCAACTGATGGTGGTGGCACAAAGCAATGAATCGATGAGGTGCAAGGTAGGTATGGGAGGGAAAAAAAATGATGTGATTCAATATGGAATTAATACAAGACATCCACGTCGTGTCTGAATCTAGGGTCTAAAGACTTACCTGGTCAATAAAGTTACAAACGAGTAAACAAAATTTAATCATAATTTTTAAGTGTTATTATATCATTTTAATTGTAATTTATTTAATATTATTTTTAATTAGAAAGTAACAAAAAAACTATATACAATATTAAATTTTATTTTATGATCAGATATAAATCAATACTTTAAATTGCGTTCGTACCGGCCAGCACTTGTGCTCGTCTTGTCTTGAACCTCTTTTTCTAATTTCTACCCATTATTTCAAATGCCATCGCTTGTTACAGTGAAAAAACGTAATAACCCGAAGCAGTTTTTCAAAAGCAAAGAACTTCAAACATTCGCAATTTTGCAACTAATTATGATTATCATTATAATTGATATTCAAATTAGGAGTTTAGTGATTTTAAAAAATGTTACTCCAAACTTAAACTCTCAAATTTATTACATTATACTAATTAATAGCTTTTAATTTATTCAGTCCTCACCTTGTTGAAATTAACAGGGTTTTCCGAATTAAAGGCTTGACAAAATAAAAAATCAACGCAAAAATTCTTGAAATCTATAAAGAAAATTGAAGGGTAGGAGTAACGAAAGTGACATCCAACTCCTACTATTTTGATATGACAGGCACTTATATTTTACAAAATATTTATCGCGGGATTCTATCATTGACTAAAAAAATCAAAATGGAAATTTTAAGAAGATAAAAAGCTAACTGATATTTGATAGTCAAAATGAGATTATTACATTTGGAAAGGGAAAATGGGTACAAGGGTAGCATTATTAAAAACACTGTAAGGAAACTTCTTTGCGAATTTTTTTTTAGTTATTTATATAAGATTATGAACAAGATTTAAAGTTGAAATATTATTTTTTAATTTTTATAAAACATTAAATAGTTTTTAAAACAAATAAGACATTATAATTGCTTTTAAATTAAATATATATATATATATAAATAAAATATAACTTGTTTTTTTAAAATCTAAAACTATTTTTAATACATTTTTTAAATTACTTTTTCAAAAGTTGAAATATACACTAGCAAGAGAAGAAAACATCAATACACGAGCTAGCTAAATGAACCAATTGTTAAAAATTCATCAATTAATGATATTTTATGTTACACTCTTGAGAATAGAGATAGATTAGAATCTTTCTAAGCATTTCGATATATATGCTTCATCGTACCAGCTCTTCCTTTATTATTATTTATTTTCAGTCACTTTAGATGTTAAATGCTAATTATTATTGTCTTAGAGTTTTAATTAATGAATTAAAATAACTTTTCTATTAGAATAACTTTTCGATATATATATATATATAATGTTCTTGTTAGAGATATACTAATTTTTTGCAGTTTTTTTTCTTATCTTTTGATGTGATGTCTTTGTAAAATATTCTAGATTCTTCTCTATTATGATGTAAGGGAAGCACCTGCAAAGACACTCTGATGATAAAGTTAATATCTGGTGTAGGGTAATAAATACTATTTAATATATTCAAAAGTCAATCATTTATTAATATTTTTTTTTTATAGACAGTATATTAGACTAATGGACACTATGACTTAGCCCTGTCTTAACCTTCTCATTTATTCAGGTAATTAACCTTTTTTTCTTAATTATTAACTATTAATCTTTTAATTAAACCAAAAGGATACTGATACCCATGCTGGTGTCAGGCCAAAGGATTTCCTTTATATATATAGGAGAATGATCTTCTTATACCAGTGTAAGTTTAAAAACTTTTATACTCAATCTGAACTTTTCATTTAATTTAAATCTAATGATCAATAAAGTAATAAATTATAATTCATTAAATTTAAGTTAAATGAAAAGTTCAGATTGAGTGTAAGAGTTTTTAGACTTACACCGATATAAAAAAATCATGTCCCATATATATATATTCAATGACTTTCACAAAATTTACAATTAACTAGAGTCATTGAATTTTTTAGGCTCAGTTTCGTTTTTACTCTCATATTTAAATTTATATATGATTTTAATTATTCAAATTCTTCATTTCAAAATTCCATCTTATAATTAACTAAAATGTTATAAAAATATAAAAACATCGTTAACTTGTATGAATTAGCAAAAAAAAAGTAAAGATTTAATTTAAAATAATAAACTATGACTAAAGTTTTTTTAAATTATATATATATATATATATATAATTATTGAAAAAATTTGAATTGAAAGATTATAATGATTACATGTGAGTAATTAAAATTAAGGCACAAACTAAAAAAATATATAATTAAACATTTTTATTTTAAAAAATATTTTCTTAAAATGAAATTATTTTATTAAAATTAATTTTACTAAAATTTGAAATAAGGAGAGTGTGAACTAAGTTGAATGTATGTTGAGTGAATCGCGGCGATAGAACTTGATAGTTGGCACAGGTTTAGCAGAAACAAATCGTAATTCATAGCCCATCCACAAGTCTTGGTTTCACATCCCAGCATCGTTCGAGTTACACATTATTCAAAGGAAAATCCTCAGTTTTCTTAAATTTGAGGTTATTATTTTATCCAAAATGTTTGTAATTCCTTCTAACAATGATGGATGTTTTCACAATGAAGCCGCCTCTCTTGATTTGACTTTGACATTAATTGATCTCTCGTGTTTTGGGGGCAATTTCACAGTAACCTGAACTGAAGGGCCTATAAATGAATGGCATATTTACAATCCTGCTAAGCATTTTCGTTCTCCTCACTTCTTACATTGATCCATTCTTCATCTTCACTGAGAAAATAATGGGTGTTTTCACTTCTGAAAGCGAGCACGTTTCCCCTGTCTCTGCTGTGAGACTATACAAAGCCATCGTCTTAGATGCCAGCAATGTCTTCCCAAAAGCATTACCAAACTTCATTATGAGTGCAGAAACCGTTCAAGGAAATGGAGGGCCTGGAACCATTAAGAAGCTTACTTTTGCTCAAGGTATAAATATGGGAACAAACCGCTTTTATTTTAAAAACGTAAAATTTATATATCTAAATAATACAATCATGTTTATAAATAGTCAAAATTAAAAATTAATTAATGATCATGTGAATAGATATCTTGCGTTTATATACAACATAACATTCTTAGTTACATATAAACATGCAAATTAATGGGCAGGTTTAGGGTATGTGAAGCACCATGTAGATGCAATTGATACAGAAAACTATGTGTACAACTATAGTGTGATTGAAGGGAGTGCTTTGTCAGAGCCATTGGAGAAGATCTCTTATGAGTACAAGCTGGTGCCAACCCCAGATGGAGGATCCATTGTAAAGTCAACAAGCAAATACTACACCAAAGGTGATGAACAACTCACCCAAGAATACTTGAAGACTGGGAAGGAGAGATCTACTGGCTTCACCAAGGCTATTGAGGATTTTCTTCTGGCTAATCCTGATTACAACTAATTATACTGTTAATCATTTGTGATCCTTTTGCATCTTTTTCTTCCGTCTTGTTGCTTTATTTCCCAATAATTAACGTTTGAACTTGCTTCATGAGAAAAGTTTGAGATTGTTGAAAACTGGTTTGTATACCCATCAGGATTATTTTCTTTTTCCTTTTGTTATCAACCTCCTCGTTATATATTTGAATACTTTATTCATGCTAGATAGATTCCATGATAACTCGTATGTTGTCAATTTCAGAGCAATTTTATATTTTTAATCTGTTTTGTAACTAATCAATTTAGTATGTTTTGCATTGACTTAGTTAAGTTCAAATTAATTTATAAAAAAAATAAGAAAGGTAATCTTTATCTAGAAATTAAGTAAATATAACCAGAGTTAGATTTTGACATAGAATCTTAAAAAAGCTGGCTAATAGACAATGGAGTATTACATGATTTATACATCGCAAATTATAAATATGGATAATAAGAGGATTTTAAATTATTAAAAATATTTTTTTAATCAATTTATTTAAAAAAAAACATTTGGAGTTCAAATCTCATAAATATAACTACGTTAAATATATTTTAAAAAAAACTTATTACTTATAATAATTTTATCTAACTCAAATAAAATTATCTATTATAAAATATACATGTTATCAAAATAATAAATATAATAAAATTATTAAAAAAAAAAAGCATTGAGAAAGCCGAGTCAAAGTCAATAGACGGTGAACGCGCACGATGATAAAGACAACTCTGATGGTATGCAAAGTCAAACGAGGCAGTGGAAAGTGGATAGCGAACTATATTTTTAAAGTTTCATTTCATGTCTTTCATGGTTTGAAGATCATAACGATTATCTTGTTTTGTATATTGTTTGATATAAGCGTGAGGGTGCCAAATATTATTTAGTTTGCGAAATGAGAAACAAGCCCAATTGTTCTGAAAATACTTCAATTGGGCTTGGTTATCATTTTGGACCTGATGGCCTACCCAAATCTGTTTATGTGATTAATAATCCAAGGGACTTAAAATACCGGCCCAAAAAATAAAAAAGAAGGGTGGCTCATGGCACGGCCTCATCAATTTGTATGGCAAAAACCATCATTTTTATTTCATTGAAGAAAAATAGATTAAAAAAATGGCAGCCATAACCAATAATTAAATATATTTTTAATTGCTTTAAATATAGTAAAATATATTTTGTCTTTTATTTTTTTTATTAATTTTATTGTTAATAAATTTTAAAATTAATATTTATCACTATTTAGGGATTACGTGATAGGATGATATATTTTTAAAATTTTTATAAAATATATTTATTATTAATTAAAATTTATTAAAAATATATAAAAATTATATAAATTTCAATTTCAATTTAATGAATTTTATTTTTAATAAATTTTAATCAATAAATATAAGTATGCTAGAAGAAATATTAAAAATTATATTTCTAGCTCTCCTTGTGTATCTAAATATGTCACATTAATAATCATTTTAAAGTAATATATGATGTGTCATATATTTAAACATGTCACTTTATTAATAAATAATGATGGAGACTAGTTTAAAAAATCTAAGTTTTTATGAGAAATAAAAGAAAAATATTTAAAAGATTAAAATCATGTTTTACCATATTTACAAAAGTTTAAAATCTGAAATAATTTGTACACATTCACCATCGATTTGAATTCAAATAGTTTTACATATGATTAATTTTAAAAAGATGGTGAGTATATTTTTACTTTCTTAGTTTATGCATCCTAAATCTCAATTTTAAATATTATGTTACGTGTAGTTGATTAATTGGTTGTGTTACTTTCATTCTGTTGTAGGTTGAATTTTGACTGCTGATCTGAGCCTTGGTGCTACATTTTGCCTTCTTTATACCTTCCTTAAAATAAGAATAAAGAAATTGAAGATTAGAAAATTCAGAAAAGAAGAAGGAATGTTTGCTTGTTTCATTTTTCTCTGTTTCCTCTCTAAACCACTGCTCATTTACAAATGATGATTAAAAAATACTTATACCTTTGGTGAATAACATCTGCTGTTCTCAGCGTATACGGGTAGGTAAGGAACTACTCTGATTATGAATTGTATGAATCAAACTTATTCAAGTCTATAATGTTGGCAAATGACTTGATTCTACCAATAGCAGCCCATTTGTAGGGCCACAAGTCTGAATAATAGGCTTATTTTTGGAAACAAAAATTACCACCCAGCAGCCACTAACATTAAAAGTCTTCAAATAAGAAAATTCCCATTGACCATTATTAAATATGTTCATTTTTTAGTCTCATATGGTAACTTATCCAACTGTGTCATTCCACGAAACTCACTTCATATAGGGACTGCTGGACCTATAAAACATCATAGCTGTCCCTCTGGATCTATCATCAATCATTCACAATTTTGTTTCCCTGTGATTTCTGCAATCTACAAAGCTCACTATGGGAGTCACAACCTTTAGACAAGAGTATTTGTCCTCTGTTGCACCATCACGCATGTTTCATGCCTTAATCATAGACTCCAGGAATTTGCTTCCAAAGCTCTTACCACAGTTTGTAAAAGATGTCAATCTAATCCAAGGAGACGGAGAAGTTGGAAGCATCGAACAAGTTAACTTCAATGAAGGTAAGCAATTAATCATAAACACAAGCTGAACTGAAGAGGATCATTTCTCTATATTTCTTCAATTAATTTCTTGTATGTTTCTTTTATGCAGCTAGCCCCTTTAAATATCTAAAACACAGGATTGATGTGCTTGATAAGGACAACCTGGTTTGCAAATACACTATGATTGAAGGGGATCCATTGGGAGACAAGCTTGAGTCTATAGCTTATGAGGTAAAGTTTGAGGCCACTAATGATGGAGGTTGCCTATGCAAGATGACAAACAATTACAAGACCATAGGAGAGGTTGATGTTAAAGAGGAAGAGCTAAAGGAAGGAAGGGAAAGCACCATTGCAATTTACAGAGTTGTGGAGTCATACCTGCTGGAGAACCCACAAGTCTATGCTTAATTATTTATTTTTTGTGTCATGTATCATACGATATACAAAATTTGCTTAATTAATTATTTGTTGTGTGCAACCAAAGATGGGTTCTTTAGAATGGTTGTATGGAGTTGAATTCCTAAGTAAGTCCTTATTGTATGATTAGCGATAAAGGGCTAGTGGTTTGGTAAAAGTATTTGTACTTGGGTAATAAAAAAGAGTTGGAAGAGTTTGAATCACAATCATATGAACCACTATCTAATGATATTAACATCTTGGACATCCGTAAGGTGAGGTTCCAAGAGTTTTCATTTATTTATAAGTTCGTATTAACCACAGAAGTCACGATTGTCGATATTAAAATAAGGGGACTGAAGATCAATAGGTCATGATTAACATAATTTTCTTCTGCTTCACAGCTGGAATGAGGGTTTAGAGCGACCAAAAGACGAATTTCAGTATTTGAGATTATTTTCACTTATTTGTCATTTTGGGCTTTTCACTTTCCTATTCGCTTTCAACCCTAATCAGACAAAAATTTCAGTATCTGAATATTGCTCAAAACAAAGTTCAGGCTTTCAGACATCTCACTTCTTGATCTTTAAAGAAGCGCATGGCATATTCGAATTTCAACCAAAAAGGAGAGTGAAAGTCACTTGAATTTTTAGATTAATAATATGTTATGTATAAAATGGTAATTATTCCTTCCTAACTGTGAAAGAAACCGACACTTGATGAAAGGATATTTAAGATAAGAAAAATGTTTTAAATTGAGGGCACATACAGCTTTGTACTTGTATAAATTATGCAAAAGAGATTCAAGTAGGATGATACAATTTTACAATGGACCTGTCCGAAAATATTTGGAGATAACAGTGACGTCCTCCGGGGTAATGCTTTGTTGATTCATCAGTGTGCAACTGTTTTCCCCGCAAAAACCTTAATGTTGGAACGCACCAAATGTCTTGTGACGTTAGTCTTTTGCCCCAAAAGTATAGAATAAGAATGGTACAACGAAAACCTGCGAGCACCAAAACACTATTTGTGTTTGCCTACCCTTGTGATTCTTGAGAGATGTCAAGTTCAAGTAAGCTTTGACAATGTTGGTATTTGACATCCCAACCTATCTTCCACATCACTCAAAATCTCAATCAAAGATAACAATGAGGTTCAGCATAACAAATGCTCACAGAGAATGTCTGAATTCTTTCTGAATCAAACAATATCTCTCTTCCCCCGCCAAAAAAACAAAGAAGAAGATTCCTTTCATTTCCCACATCTCTTGCCTTTTACATATTCCTTGCCCGTGTAGGGCATGTATTGATAGATTCCATTTACATATTCTACATCCATAAACAACTTCAAAACAAAAGCATATCTTTGTTTCTCTGATTTTACAGCTCCATGCCTCCATGTCTCGAGAGTCACAGGTACGCACCGAATATCCAAAGATATGGGTTGATTAACATGTCAATGCAATTACGGTTTTCATCATTTTTTGGGGGGAATTTTTATCAATTTAAACATATGGCTAGAATTCTCTCTAAGAGTGGCTAATAATTCAAATGCAGACACCTCGAGTCACACAGATACAGGTACGAGTGGACTGTAATGGGTGCGTGCAGAAGATCAGGAAAGCATTAAATGGCATTCATGGTAGGTGTATGCATGATTTCCCTTCCAAATCGTCAGCAAAATAACTTAACTGTATGATGAACTTTCATCATTTGCAGGTATACATGATCTTCGTGTGGACTTCCGTCGACAAAAGCTAACAATTATTGGGTGGGCAGATCCTGAAACAGTTATCAGAGCAATTAAGAAGACAAAGAAGAATGCCACCATTTGCTCTAATATTGAACTAACTACTCCATCTAAACCCACAGAAACAGAAGCAAAAGGAAATATACCAGCCCCTGATGCAACACAACCACCGCCAGCACAAGCTCCACCATCTCCAGCAACGCCCCTATCGAAACCACCAACTGAAGCAACAGCACCCACACCTACACAGCACAGTGCAACCCGACAGTGGCAGCACTACCCAGGAACAAAAGATTTAGAACAGGTTCATATGACACACCATCATCTGCCTAACTACGTTAACAGATTCAGTTCTGGCCACAACCATGTTGAGCACTGGGACAGATACCATCTTAGCCCGGTATTTCTACAGGGGCCATCCCAATCCATGTATGTGACACACAGCTATAATACACACATGCCAGCACCTTATGTCACTGAGTACGAATACGTCAGATCACCGTCGCGGCACACACATTACAATTGTACAGAACACTACGGTATAGACAACCAAAACGGTAATGTAAACATCGCTTCCATGTTCAGCGATGACAATCCAAATGCATGTAACATAGTCTAGTGAAGGGGTCAAGAGCTACTTATGAAAAGTAAAGAGAAAGTCCCTTATGCTATCATATGTCTTGATACGTGAGTTGTGACAGAATTCGTACAATAGTATAATTTCAGGATAGAAAATAATACTTTGGTTTGCATGTGACGCGCGAATGGTGAAGATCATTCCTATCTTCTGTGTGCTCGAAAATTTTATTCTGGATTCCTTTCGTGAGAACCAAAAAGCACAATAAACAGGAGGAAAAACATACTAGGGCAACTGTAAATATGGTAGAAAAGATATGACAGTCAATTTGCGATTTGGAGTATGCAAAACCGCTATCACGAAAACAAAGCTATTGTACATTTCGGGGATACAAATTCTTAAGAATCGGAGTATTTTGAGCACGTAGTAAATATGCTTGACCAATATTTTGCATTTTACTAATCAGTAAAAATATCAAATTACATAAATTAGGGGCTATCATTTCTAACAAATTGGGCTAACATCAAAATTTCTTTCTCAGAAAGGAACTATCTATATAGCAACAAAATTGTGAACAAAAAGCTGGTTGAAATCCAACTTTGCTTCTATTCCTCTATTTCTTTGTCAGCCGCAAAAGTAACAACTGGTAACTCAATCTGTAAAGTGGAAAACAAACAGTTCATAATAAAAATCCCAAACATAATTTAAGCAAATACGTAGCGTGAAGAAACATTACATCATTATCAACAATAATTTAAGCAATCTCGAAAAAAAGATTGTAGATTCACAAATTCAGAAACATATATCTAGTCTTAGAATGGGTGTTTCCAGGTCTCCAGACTCGGTTAAAATAATCTTTTATTTATCCAACCACATTTATCTACTCAACCAATTCTATAATAAGAACTAATGCATAAGCCATAAAACTTTTTATGTATGCAATTACCTCTTATAAAAAAATCAGACTAGCTTTCATCATCACTACTTATTTCAGATGCATCATCTTCTTCCTCATGATAATATTCATCCTCATCTTCACTTTCTTCCACTTGGAGTTCATGCATTGAATGGCTTTCAGTCTGAGAAGCCTTGTTGATCTGAAAGTAAATTTTAATAAGTCCCCTGAAAACCAATAACATTCAACAGATGGCCACACTAATTTTAGAAAATATTACTAAACCTGTGATGTCACCAGTTGCAGACGGCCTGATAATTGTAACAAAGGCTGAAGAGTAGCCCCTCTAGATTTGGCAATCTGAAAAGTGGCAGATAATAATTCAATACAAACATATCTCATGGTCCCTAATCTATGTAAGGCAAATAATCAGATAGTTTCACCTTTCAAATCATGTTTTTATTCCCCACCCTAAGAGAACTATAGAAATATCATTTTACAAAATCGAGTTGTAATGACATGTTCAAGTCCCATTAAACAGGATATTTAGGGTTGTACGTGCAAATTTGTAAAGGCAATTTCAATGCACATAACCAATTAGTTGTAGTTTCATCATGTTTCCCAACCATATAAATCGCATAAGCCATGTCAGCTATTTCCATCTATACAATATAATATAATATTAGTAAGTCAATTAACAATGATAAGCCAAGTTAAATTAACTGATCCTTTGGCCAAATCACTATTTTCAAAGTCTTTCAATCTATAAAAAACATCAGTTAAGTTAACCATGCATTGGAACTCAAAAGTTAAGTAGTACATTTCATATTAAGACATTAACAGTATCCAGTACAAAAGGAACAATAACAGAAGCTGAATAATTAAATTAGGGTAAGTAAAATTATATTTGAATATTTCATATCATAAATAAAGCATGATGAATTTAAAGTTTAGATGGCAGATACCAAGTGAGTAAATGAGAAAGCAAAGTTTCATCCATCATACCTTGTCTAATGAATCAAGTATACGCGTCACAGATTCTTGAGCAATGACATTGTGACCATGGTTCACTAATATGCTATAGATCCATGGAAGAACATACTTTCCACTCGATGACCTGTTGAATAAAGATTTACAAATGTCAAGAGACAAGAGTACTGAGTGCATATGTAGTGCCATTTATTGAAAAGAAAACATGTAATGAATGATATCACAATCTGATTGTTCTCATTGTTTCTTTGCAAATCTTTAAAATTTAAAAGTAAACATAGTGAAGATAAGATTGCAATTTTGGAATTATTTATGAATACAGATAACATTTTCTAAAACCAAACAGGTCCTAAGCTAAATAGCATCTCTCTTTAACACAATTACAAGGACAACTGACACCCATTCTACTAAAATATGAGCTGATTAAGTATTTATCACCATAAGATAACATTAAGCTTGAGAATCAATATACATTTTCTCACACTAGCATTTGATTCATTATACTTCTAATTCTATATTGTGTGACTAAAAAAAATTAACCAAAAGAAAGAAAGAAAGAAAACATTAAAATCTGTTTCATAGAATCACAGCTCCCACAACTATAAATAAATCAATCATGCATTTGAATGTTACCCCTTAACATCAAATGGATCAAATAAAGTTAAACTTCAAAGAGAATGTCCTCGATCTAATTCTTTTAATAAGTAGGAAATAATAAGCTACACAGCTGAAGGAAGGCTTAATTTGTGAGGGAAAAACAACTGACGGTAGCCCAATTAGAAGCAGTATCAAACTAGCGTTGAATAGGTCATTACCATCAGCACACTATTCTACCAGTAACATTAGCTTTCCATTTCTACTTGGGGACCAGACATAGCCAATGCTACCAATAACTCAACAATACTACTAAAATAACTTGTGGCAATTTTAATATTGCAACAAAACAATGAAGAAACAAGGAAATTAAGCGCATTCCATCAAGATAAGACACCTTATAGAAGAAAGCAAGAAAAAAGGACCAAACCTTGATTGCCATGCACCTAGAAACACTTCCAGTAGCTTGAATGCTTCACTTGGCACCATAGACACAACAGTTGCTCTTATCTGATAAATGAATCTTAAATTAAGACATGTAAACAATTACACATGATTTTGAAAAAATACGGACAACAAACATAATACAATGAAAATAAAAATAAATAAATATATAACAGAATAGATGGAACCAAAAGTAATACCAAAAGACAGTCACATTGGCTCATAACTAACCTTTTTCATTGGAAGAGTAGCTTCCAGATCAATACCCTTCAACAATGTAGAGCAAAGTTCAACTTTTGAAGCACAATCACTATCACTGGGAAGCATCCCAAGTGATCTCAGCCGGTCCTCCATGCAAATTACATCAGTATCACTCTGGACCATATCATCTGCAAAGATTAGCAAAAGCAACAGATTAAGCAAAGAAGAAAAGATGTTTCAATTTCAATCCATCTTCTACTATATACTTAGTAGCAGCAATGTGTATAAGTAATCAATTTGACCCTTAGCAAGATAATACGTAACAAGCCAAAATGAATATTTCAGTTTCTGTAACTATTGATGCATTAATCAATCATGCATTTGATCAACAAGAAAAAATTACATAATTACCTTCTATCTCAAGAGAATCATCTTTACTACTTCTATGCAAATCATCAATCACATCCTTGTCCAAAAATTCTTGAAATGCTTTCTCTTTCTCATGAGAATCAAAAACCTTAGGAATTGGAAGCAAGGCATCCTCAGCATTTGCACGGTCAAGTGCAGTAACTGTCAAAATATGGAACAACAGTTAGTAACGTACAATCGGATCAGGAATACAATCACTGAAACATAACATCAGCTTATTTTATGGCGAAAAAGTCAAAATTAGTTATAAGATCCGATCATAAGATTATGAGCATCAAAGCAGGTGCCAAAAAAAAATTGTAAGATATATAAAACCATTTTTGGGTTCCCACCTAATAGCTTAAACTTCTGAAATAGTTGATTATTGACAAAAATAATTGAAATAAGGGAATGCTCAGGAGGAAGAGTAAATCAAAGGCACAAAAACTATTACCCCTATGTACATCTATCCCCTTTTTAGATTTGACAAGAGATTGACTCATTGGAAGGAGAATGCCATCACGGGAAACATTCAACTTTACATCTGTTCCTGAATGCACAATAATTTTTTGAAATGATGGTTTTACAAGTAACCCATAAACGAGAAAAACTTGGCCAGAAGTTGGCTTTTGGATGCCTTGTAATTTTGCAGCATATATTGCAGGCAGTGCTCCCTTGTAATTTTTGGAGGACACGTCATCTAAAGATAATGATACTTTTGTGGGCTTTGCATTACGTAGTTCTTCAATATTGTTTCCAAACCATAAATAACAAATGCCAATTTCTGAGATGGCCAAAACACATAATCCAGCCTTGTCACATTCCCCACTATCAATGCACCTGCTATCAAGAAAGACAGCAGGGTGCTCCATCGCAAGAACACAACTAGCTGATTGCTTTTTAGCACCATCTATCCTCCAAACAGCTACATATCTTTCACCCACAGCAGATGAGAGAACATATTCGCCATCTTCGGTGAAGACCATGCACCGAACAGATCCCTGTTAATTAAACTAAAAACTCTTGTTATACAAAAAACAAGAATCAATAAACATCAGAAAGATGATTAAAAAAAATAAAATGGCATGACTGTCTTTAGGACAAGTTAGAAGGTCACTGACACAGCAGTATATACATGTATACAGAGAAAAATACATGGACTCACAGGATGACCAGAAAACTTTTGAATCTTTTTGTGATTGGAACAGTTGAAAATCTTCAATTGTGCTGCTGCAGTAGCTAACGTCTTCCCATCTGATTCAAATAAAGAAGCAATTACCAAAATCAGGAATCAAAATAGTAGTAATAATACCTACAAATTGCATATTTGTCTAAATCATGATTCACATAAGCTCTTTTGACTGACTGCAGCTTGGGAATTTCTGCTAATAGTTTAGCATCAATTCAACAAATATGTAACTCAAATGAAAAACAGTTTTTCAGTTTAATAGTAATAAAAGAACTAACTCAAGAGTAGACGCCCGCATAACTAAATTTAGATCATTGAACCGATAACTAGAAATTTGAGCTTTTTGTTTGCAAAGTTATCATCAATTACAATGCACAAGAAGCTTAAAAAATTCGGGGGAAACTCAATCAAATTATGCAACATGATAGCAAAGCATTGATTTCAGTTCATACCACCAAAAAAAGCAAGACTTCTGCAAAAGCTGTGAAAGATTCATACCTGGAGAAACAGATATACAGGATACTGGCTTCGTAGAAGCTTTAAATTTCTCCACCAGGTTTCCTGTCATGAAATCTATCACACACACCATCCCATCAGCACCAGCCGTACAAATGCTCGATCCATTTTCCGAAGACGCAATGGCTCTCACACCTCTGAAATTGAGTTGAATATGCAAGAAAGAGAAAATAAGGCAAAATAACACAAATAAATTGGGAATTAAAACCATCACATAAACTGAAGTAACAATGACCAGAGTCACCATTTGCAATTATCACTGAGTAATAGATTTTAAAATCTACAGAGATCGTTATCGTCCATCAAAATAAAGTAATAAAAGGGAAAGAAAATATTATATCTAACCCAGGGTGACAATCATTAATTCTCCAACTCAATTGACCAGCAGAGACGTCAAGTGCTAAAACATCACCACTACCAGTTCCAAGCACTAACAACGACGAAGTATGTTTCCTTTTCCTCTGCAACAATTAACAGTACTATATAAATAACTCCAAAACAAATAAATAATTGAAAAAAAAAAAGAACGACGCAACGGACCTTTCTTTCGAAGGAAAGCCACTTGATGCAAGTATAATCGAGCGAAAGATGGCCGTTAAGGGATTTATCAAATGAAGTAGTTGGATGAGTTGACGTAATATCTGCAAACTCGGTCTGTACTTGACCTTTGAGCGTGTCCCATATCTATTATTATGCATTGAAATTGGAAAGATGAGTGAATAACTTTTCTGTAACTGTTGTGAAGAGGCTTAGAAGAAAGGATAGAGAAGAAACCTTGACGCGACCGTCACCGGTTGTGATAGCGAAGAAATCTAGAGAAGGATTGAACGCCGTCAAAATGCCTCTGATGTCCGTTGAAGCCATAACCAAACCCTCAGAAAAAGTTCGCGTTCGCAACAAAGACGAAAGACAGAGAGAGGGAAAACGAATGAGCTAGCTTCGTGTCGGGTCGGGTCGCTAAAGTGTTTTGGGTCTTTTTTGGCGTTCATATATTTATTTTTGGGTTCATATTTGAGTCATCCTGGCCTTTTTCGGTCCACCCACGGACCCCCACATTATAATATTGCCAAATATGAAATGTGAAGTTATATGAATGAAAATTAATATTTAAGATTGTGGATATAATAAAAAGAGTTTTGTTAACCTTAACCTTAAAATTTATAAGTATGTTAAAGTGTCTAAAAATAATATTTTCTATTAAAAAATATTTGTATAATAAACATTTTTTAATGATTTTTCTTATTATTAACAGCTTACATTTGACTCTAAGACTCTTTAAATAAATCATCATTAAAATATATAGTGAGCTGCTCCAGTCTTTCCCTCTTGACAAATGTTGACTCAGATCAGTTTCTTTTTTTATGTGCTATTTATTTCCCATCACTTCAAAAATTAAATACTACTCGTGAAAACTTTGAAGTAGTGAAAAGTGAAGGATCATGTTAATCACTGGGAGGAGTCAGATTTCCAATAAGATTTTGTTCTTCTTCTTTTTCTTCTATTGGTGTGCCATATATCATGGAAGGGAGCTCTAGATAATTTTGTTACTCAACAAAATACCGATTTAAAATTATACAAATTTTACATGGATAAAATAATATATGGCACGAGTAGAAATTTCTTCAATTCTCATCGCCCAAATCCATCGCACATGCTTTAAACTTTGCAGCGAAATCATCACAATGGACTAATGCAAAAGCAAAACCACTAAATTGAGTCCTCAGTTGGGCACTACCAAAATTTCATTACATATGAATAAAGAAATGAAGCTGTACATGTAATGTGCTGCTTGCAGCATGCAAGAATGCAAAGCTGAGGATGGGAAATGAATAATGTGAATAAACTGTCTTATTGGAAAGAATGTGGCTTAATCTGAGATAGCAAGTGGCTATTCACTTTTTCAGGGACTTAAAATAGGGAACTCAAGAATATGAACCTTTGATCAACGATTATTATCACAGGATTGCATCTTTTCCCTTGATAATTAGTGGGGAGAGACAATCTGAAAGGGTCTCAAGGTCATCACAGGGTCTGGGAAGGACAGAATCTGAAAATCCAAAGACATTTGAGCATTCCCAAATAATGGAAGAAACAGAATTTATAGACAAAGTTATGTTGGAAAGGCATATGTTTGTGAAGGGAGATTCTTGTAGTCCAGCAAAGCTTCCAGCAATAGTGATGTTTGTGCCACTCATATTTTGCAAAACAATGTGGTCCAAAAGTGGGAGAGCATTAGGATCAAATTTGTCATCAGGATGAGAGCCACAATGACCTGTGGCAGTGATTGCCGTGTAGATATTCTCCATTTCTATGTCTGATATCATGATTTCTTTCATATAACCACCTCTACCCCTTGTGGTTCTGAACTCAATGCCACTAGCTGAGTTGTAAAGATGAACATTCTCCACAAGAATATTTGAAATGCCACCAGACATGTCACTGCCAAATGCAATAGTTGAGCCAGAAGAAGCTCGCAGATGCAACCTTCTGATGTGTACATTCTCAGTGGGCCTGCCATAGGTAATGCCATATTCGTCCCACCCACTTTTGAGGGCTATTGCATCATAGCCCGTTGCAACGATACAATCCTCTATACAAACATGGTCAGAAGAATCTGAAAACATTTAACTGCACATGAATTAGCTAAATTACCTCCAATAAAGTTTACTGTAAATTTATTGAATTTTAAGTGAATAGGTTATTCTCTCAAAGTTGACCAAATATAAACACCAAATAAATGTTACAGACCTGGTACTATGCCAACAGTATAAGGAGATTCTGGAGGAGCAGAGATTGAAATATTATGAATATGTACATTGCTGTATCACAATGCATATAACCAAATCAATGTCACTTATGCTTTCAAAATTGGTATTACTTAAGTAATGTTTAATAGACGCACAAAACATACCTGCAATAAACTGGATGGATGCTATATGAAGGGGCATTCAAGAATGTAAGATTTGAAACTACGACATGATCAGATGCCACTAATTCAATCAGATGAGGACGGCTGTAGTTCAGGGAATGAGAGCTAAACAATTCCCACCAAGCCAATCCCATGCCATCAATAGTTCCATTATTGCCTAGTAATGTCCACAAAGATATGAAAGTTCAAGACAGAAACATACCCATGAAAAGAAGAAATTGTAGGAAGAAGTAAGAGGCAAAAAGAAAACACTTGTTAGTGGAAAAAAACCTGTTATGACCACATCATGTAACATGTATCCATTTATCAAGCTCTGATATCTTCCCCCAGGAACTTCAACTCCTCGGCCATAAGAAGGTAAGGGATCAACAACATCCCAGTGAAATGGATCCTAACAAAGTAACAAGACAAGCAAAAGGAGAAGAGATCAGCAAAAGGCTAATGATCACAAGCTAGTGAAAAAAAAAAAAAGAGCATAAGGTAAAACACCTGAGATCCTATAATGACAGCACCCTTTTCCAAAAAGAGGGTAAGGTGGCTAGTAAGATTGAAACTTTGAGTCAACCATGTCCCCGGCGGCACGTATAGCTGAGCACCACCCTTGTCAGCAAATGACTTGATATAGAAGATGGCATTTTGGAATGCAATAGTGTTCAATGTTTTACCATCCCCAACCGCACCAAACTCCAAAATGGAGACACTGTGTGGCCTTGGCTTCAGTGTTGGACTACACTCACATTGTCTACCATCACCATTAACTCTCACTTCATTGCTCAACGCCAGAAGTAAGAGCAATGCCACCTGAACCAGGATTTAGGGGGAGACCAACATAAAACATTGATTCTCACAATATATCCTTAAAATACACTAATTAATCATAAATTCCTAGGAATTAGTATCATGTCCTGGATTAAGACAAATAGAGGTGAAGAATCTTCTTCACTGAACAAATAATTCACTTCACATAATTCACAGCAAAAACAGAAATAAGGCAACAATAAAACAATACTAGGAATCAATGAATTGAAAACAATTGAAAAGGACTCGGAACAGAATAACTGTCATATACAACCATTGAAGATTGAAATTTTTAAGTTTGTGAGTTTCTCAGATCATAAATTATTTTATAGACGTGGCAGAGGACCCATATCAATTGTATACAAATACATGAACTGAAACATCCAAAAGTTAACAAGAGATTTGAAAGTTGAAATCAAAATTCCTTAACAGTTATCAGTCCAAAAGCAAGAAAACAAATGAACTGAAAACCAAAAGAAGCAGAGAGAAACATACGTACTAGCATGTTCTTGAGTCAAAGGTTCTGACAGAAGGTGGCAAGGTGTGGCAGAGACAGAGGTAGTGATCAAGGACGAAGAAAGAACCAAAAAAACTGGGGGGCAGAGACAGAATATTGAAGGGGATGAAGAAGAAGCAAGCTGAAGAGGACAGAGACAGCTTTGTGCAAGTTACTGAATATTATAAGCATTAATCATCTAAATGACATAAACAAAGAATGGAGAGGATTAATGGTCCTTTCATGTATCACCTGTGCATAAAAAGTTACATCAATGCTTATCCAATTTAATAATTTTTTATTAAGTAATTTTAATAAGTTCAAAATGTTTATCATATAAATTGTATTTTTAAAATTTTACATTGATTAATATTTTCTTAATATACTAACATTTACAAATATATAAAAATAGAAAAACGTTAATTATGTTTATATGTTATTTAATTTTAATAAGTTTAATACAAATAATTAAAATAATATACAAAATATATATTTATAACTTAGTAATTAGGTAAAAAAAGTATATTTTATATAAAATGATTAGTAATATCAAAATCAATACAACCTAGTGAACCTATATTAGTACAAATTGATTTATTGTTATGTATTTTTTTTTCAATCAGTAAATGAGTGAAATGAAAATTAAAAGATTAGCGATACAATAAAAATAACATTTTTTCAAATCTTGTTATTATTATTATTATTAAAATAAATTTTCTTAGAATAATGTATTAGGATACTTTTTTCTTATTAATAAATTGTGTAAGTACGTGACGTTAAAACGATCACAATTAAAATTAAGCTTTTTTTATTCTAAATCATCTATACTTGTCATCTTTTAATTCTTTTTAAAAATAAATAAGTTATTTTATTTTTAAATTTAAGTAAAGTCAGTCTTATCGTTGATATTTTTTTATCAAAAATCTTAAATTATTTTTTATAAATTAAATTATTTTAAATTTTAGGGAGAAAAAAAAAAGATTTGAATGAAATAAAAAAGAATATTTATTGTGGAATGCACAGAACACAACGGAGAGTGGGCCCAAATCAATGATTATGATTATGCCAGCCTCGCTTGCGTCAATCCCTTCACGGAACTCCATATACAATTATACATCACTGTTCTTATCATATAAGTTTTTTTTTAATATCCTCCATAAATAATATAAAAATATATTATTTATTTATGAAAAGAATATATTTAAACTATATTATTATTTAATCACTTATTATCATATTAGAAAAAACATTTTTAAAATTATATTTATTATTTATTTATTTAATAGTATAGATTTATTTACTTATAATAAGTCAAAATTATATCCATGAATTCTTAAATATCTAATTTTTCAAATAGTTATAAAATTATTTTATACTATAAAGATATATTACTTATGAAAAAAAATATATATATATATATAATATTTAAAAACATTCTTCATACAAATTTAAATTAAAAATTTATTTATATTATATTTGAAAAAGCATATAATAAAATATTTATTACTCATTTAATAAATTATTTTTATAATATAGTAGCAAATTAATTTTATATCATAAAAAATTACTATTTTAAATTTAATATTGTAATTAAAGAGAGAGAAAATATAAGAAAGTGAACAAATAATATATATAATATAGTATAAGGACAATTTTTTTATCTGTTCCCTTGTTCACAAATCTCTTCTCTAAATATAATTAATAATATCACTAGAAGAAATACATACATTATTATATTTAAATAATTTAAATTTATTTAAAATAAAGTTAAATTGACATAAAATGAAACAATCACTTTATATATTTATATATTAGAAAGTTAATTTAGACAACGAAAAGTGTCTATGATATATCTGAAAATGCAGAGGATGGCGAACCTTTTGGAAAAGATAAAGATGCAATTTCTGAAATTCTTTGCCAATGTATGTGGTCAGAGGATGGCAACGTATAGACATTTATAGGAACCCAAATTTTTAAAATGAACGATAGACCGAGGAAGAAAAAACACACCCAGAAAGTAAGCAATATGAGAGGTAACCAAGTCCAAGAATATGTTTTTTAAAATTAATTTATTTTACTGTAACGTGATTTACTTAAAAAACAATTTTTAATTAAAAATGAATTTTGTATTTAAATTAATATAATAAATTATATTTTTGGGTTGAGTTATATTAAATTTCATTATAATCCTCTAAAAACGACTAATTAATATAATAATTTTTATAAGTTGAATGTAAATGATTATATATAATATTACATAAATTAAAAATTACTTAAAAAAAGTATATTCAAACTTAAATTTTAAAGCACTCATTTTAGAGCGCACCACAAGAGAAAAGATAGGAAATTCGAAATAGAGGGTACATTTGCTGCCAATGATTGCTCATGTGGGGTAGTGGTGTGATGCAGCATAACACCTAACCAACTCCTACATTCTAATTATAATTATAATCAACCATCCAAATTAAAGTCTTGGTTAAGTTGTAGGTTGGTGTTGAATACTGAGAAGGTTGTTCTTCGAACTTCTGCTCTTTGATGATTAGTGTCTTGTCCTTGTTGATGCGTGTGGGGATGGATATTCAGAAAACAAGGACCAATTTAATTACACTCGAATTTAATAAATAAAATTACTTTTAATAAGTAGGTTTTTATCGATTAAATGAGTGTAGACATTGACACTAAAGTCGTTTTGTGCACGTCACATATGTGGGATTTTTATTTATCTTTTGAAGCAAGTGTATATGATCACTCTATTATCCCATCACTTGCTGTCGTGGGTTTTTTTATTTGGGTGGGGGTAATGATAAAATTTTCAGAGTGCATTGTTTGACAAGGATTCTATTGTAGTTTTTTAGGACAAAAGCATTCAATATTTTGGCAAACATTACCCTTCCAGCTATTTAAAAATGACATCTTCCCTTCTAAGCATTATTTTGCAATTGAAAATGGAAATGTCATTTTTCTTTCTCCACTGTTTAACTAGCCAGTTGCCTCTTTCCTGCTGGCTTTGAAAATAGAAATATTTGGGAGAACCTAATTAGCTCTTTCATACTCATCTCATTATGAGGGAGAAGGAATTCGAAGTTTTGGAAAATTACAAAAGTCAAAATCTATAGCTAAATCGACATTGATATAAAAAAATCATTGTCAACTTTACAAAATAACTAAACAAACACTTAAATAAATTATGTTTTCCATCTTACTCTTAATTATAAGGCAAAATATCTTAGTATTTTAAAATAACTTTATGAAAAATATATCAATTCATCTCTAAATAAACGGACCCATAATCAGATAACAAATATCAACCACATATATTGAGAATTAGGTATATTTATCATTAGTCCCAAAAATTCCAAAAGAGGTAGATATTGAAGAGTTGGGAAGACAGGTGGGGAATAGAAAAAGCTGAAAGTGAGAAGCTCTAATTATGGTGCAATGGATGTTATGGGCCAATGTAAGAAGTCTACCCTCACAAGACATTCGAATCCTCTATATGGTAGCAGCAAGGTCCCCCAAATCATGCCATTTTCTGTCACTGTTATGTGCATGTGCCGAAGCTTCTGTGACTAAAAACCAAAACACAAACATTACAAGCTGAGCTATTTGTACAAAAACACCACTTGTCGCAGTAAGATCTAAAGCCAATTCAATAATAAAGATGATCATGCACCAAGCCAAAGCTGGCAACTATACTGAAGCACAATAAGTTCACTGGTAACCAACACGTACGTGATTTTACGTAAGTTTTTTTGTATCTTATTACAATAGACACTGACCAAAGAATTATGGGAAGAAGAACATGGTTTCATATGAAGAAAAAAGAGAGCAGGCAGTGAAACTGAAAAGGAAGAGTGTTTTCGTTCAAGCTAGTACTAGACTAATTTTGAAGCTGCTCGTATTCAGCCAATGAGGAACGTGCATAATTAATAATGGGGGTCAATTGAATGTTATTAATATCATATGATATTAAAACAAGAAAAGCATAATTTTTATTAAATTTAATTAATGAGTCTTATAATTAACCATGTTCAGGTAACATATGGATTAACGCGAGCTATATGACTTTTTAGTACCCTGAAGCATAAATGGATTACATTTTAACAGTGTACTTGGTCGAAAGAAAATGATGTAAACAAAAGGTACATTATAAGTAATAGCTGTTACATAATACAACATACAAAAGACGACAAAAAAAAAAATCAACAAAGATAAAAGAGTAATGCTAGGTCCACAAAAGTTAGCTCAACTGATTTCCTTTGCTGTAGTCAACGTATTTACGCGGATCAAACTCTGCTTTACAAAGTGAGATTGCGCGATGAGGTTATCTTCAGGTAGCATTCCCAATCACTTGATTAAGAATATATATGTATATATAAATTTTATACCATGCTCATAGGACCACATACATTATACATATAGGTAAATATTTGGCGCTGCTAGTGCTTGTGATAGAGATAGAGATATAATCCCAAATTGATGCCAGTCCAAAATTTATTGAGGGAAATATTCTGCCGCCTCCAAGATGTAATGCTGCGGATCTTGAAGAGACCAACAAAAACAGTTTTTTTCTACATGACCTGCCCTCAACTTTTAAGGTAAATATATCCACAATTTTGTTTGATTGGGCTTACTTTATACTGGATTGGCTTGCTGCTGATTACTCCACAAAATTCAGAGAAATAATGCGGGATCACAATCCTCTTCCTTTCCACAATTGTACTCCTCCAACGTTGGTGCATCATGCATGCATGACATTGGAATGCATTCATAATAGTGTAGATAATAACTTAATTTTCAAATCATTTATTTGAGAAAATTAGCAGAACAGTTTACAGAAGCAATGCATGCCTTAATTTTTAAGAACTTACTGAAAAGCCTTGTATAAGTTTGAATAATTGATAACTCATGCCAAAGTAGGGTAGGTTCCACAAGCATAAAAAAAACATAATTTACAATAAAATATGCCATTGGCAACTAGAACGCGGCGAATATATGAAGCAATAATAGATTAACATCTATATCGGAGAAGACAATGCATTTATTGTATCAGTGAAATCTTTTTCCTAACTAACCATCCTTATCCTTATGCTTTTTACACAAAAAATGTGACATTATCAAGAAACATTCACCCTAATAGTTTTACTGTTATTTTACACGAATGAAACTAATTGATGTATATGAATCCTCTTTGGGGCTGCTCAGGAATTGAGTTGTCGGTACTTGATGGTAATGCTTACCAACCACTACCATTAGCCTCTGTGGGCTCTATAATCTTAACAGAGCCATCTGACAGTCCAAGGGCTATTTGATTTGGCTGCTGTGGGTGCGCTGCAATAACAAGGGGGAATACATTTTGACTGCACGAAACAAAGCAAGGTTAAAGGTTATTAACAACATGAAAAATGAAGGTGTAAACTTCTAAGGCATATTTCAGTCAGCTCAGCTAAACATAAACTGAACAATTCACCATTTATCATCAGCATGAAACATGAACATAATTTATAAGTATATTTCAACAAATAATTCTTTAAACAAGGCAAAACTTCCCGTAGCACCAATCAAATAGTAATGTAATCTTTAATGTGGATGTTCATTATCACATGTTAGTAATATTCAACTATATTAAAAAAAATAGTTAAATATTTTGAAAACCTGCTTTGCACTGAGGAAGCTATTCGGCATCGTACTCTCAAACTCGCAGTATCAAGAACTCCCATATTTCCATCAGTGAAAGCAGCATAAACTAGTTGGCTATTGCAGGAGAATGTTGCAGAGGATATGGAACCGGTCAACCCATCTTGTGGACGCCACTAGAATCCAAAGATACAGAAGTTACCATTTCGTTCACCAGGAATAGAAAATAAAAAAAGGGTGTATATTAGTTATTATTTTGGAGAAAGAGGAGCCATTTACCTGCCGAATCAATTCCATTCTTGAAGCATCATATATTGCTAACTGTGATTCATGGTATACAAGTAGATGCACTTGATCGGAGTGGAAATGGACTCTAGTATCACCAACAAGTGCCTTTCCATCTGTCAATTGGATTGATAACGATTTCTTCCTTTTCCATGAATCAATGCTCCAGAAAGAAAGCTACAGAAATATCCATGAAAATATAACCAAAATTTGTGCATCTTTCTATGAAATTGTAAATTAAAAATGGTTGCTATGAAGTATGAAATAATGTTATACGTAAGTAATTGAAGACAAAACACAAGATTCACAGTCAACAGTTGAAGAAATCACAAAGTAAAATGATTACGGAAATGTTGATTAAACATACCTCACCATCGGCAGAGGATGAAACCAAGATATTCAGGTGAATTGAAAAATCTAAACCAGTAACGGGCTTCTGGTGACCATTCAATCTATTTTTTATCTAAACGCAGAGCAGGTCCATCATAATATGCTTCTTGAAACAATTGAAATTTTGAGGAGAAGCTTAATTAATTACCTCATTAACCTTAACGTCGAATAAAAGAATATTTCCATCTTCCATTCCAATTGCAATGATGTTATTGTCTTGAGGGTGAAACGCAAGGAAGGTTGAAGAAGGGGGAGGTGGCATAAAAGTTGTCATTACCTGAAACCCAGCAATAATTTGTCAGAAATACTGAGATACAACTGGACAGAAGCTACAAGGGATGTCAAACACTGTTTTTGCATAAAAAACAGTGAAGCTACCTTAAAATTCGTCATGTTGAACAATGAAATTTTTCCTCCACTGGAAGACACGACATAATAATCGTTCTGTGAGATTGCTAAGCAGGGAACAACATTGTCAGAATTGTCTGGGACATCATTAATCATGAGAAGACCACTATTTGGGGGCCAAAGTCCGGTAACAACACTAGCCATGGCCTTTATAAAACCCACACAAAAAGGAATCAGAAATATTTAAATGAATGTTCGCAGTGGACAGACCAAAAGAAAAACATATGCTAAATGGATTTCAGGATATAGGTAGATGGTATATAATAAAGTGTTGAGACAATGTTTCCATATACTCTGTATACAATCACCTTTCCACTGGGATTCTGTTCAATACATCTCCACTTCCAAAACTCCAGAATCCTATTCAAACCAAGAGCCAGAATGCATGCCCCAGAATTGGTGTAAAGAAGACGAACAACCTAAAGAAGTATGGGATCTTGTTATCATAAAATTCTTGTTATAAAATAAGAAAATACTAAGACATTTTTTCAGCAATGAAAGAATTTGGGAATACCTTAATAGCAGAGTCAATACCCTTCTGCAAAGTAACCATTCGACAAGGAGCAGGATCAACAATTTCTGTCCGTACCCATGTTTTGGATTTATCAGCTAGATTGTCCGAACCTCCTTGCATCTCTATGCTTCTGGTCATAGAATCATCTCCATGCTGGAATAAATAATAAGTTATTAAGTTGCATACATACATAATTGTCAAATAGACTAGAGAATGTCTAGTCAAAATAACAACATAAAACAATCAATACCTAACTTCACTTGACAATGAGAAAGAATGCTTAATTTTTTTCTCTGTTACTTTAGATGATTGTATATTTAATAAAAAAAAGTTAAAATATTTAAATAATAAGTATCAATATCCATTTTTTTTGTTAACCATACAATGATAGGCAGTGGTGCAGTAGGAGAGCTTCTATCAACACATTCTACTTTATTTATGTGCAGATTGATATTTGACTTAATTCATTGATAATGAACAAATTAAGTGGTGGACATCAAATACAGCCAATAATGATGATCTAAAAAATTGAAGATGGAGTTTTGAGAGGCAGATTAACCTGCGTATCCACTGCTCCTTTAGAAGCTTCAATGGCTCTTAAGTACTTCATGCCATCAGTATCAGCAAGGATTTTCAAACCACCATCAGCCGTTGTAACAGCAAGAAGATTTCCTTTCTTATTGAACCTCAAGCGAGGGAAAGACTGATGCAGGTCATCAACCAGGTCAAACAATGCACTCTGAAATGCATCAAAAGATGAAAGTACGGGGTATTACTTACAGGAAGACCACCCCCAGCTTCTGTTCTTGTCAAAACGTTGGTTTTGTCCATATCCCAAAACTTTATCAGGTTATCTTCAGCAGCAGCCAAAAAGCGGTTCTTTGTTGTGTCAAATTGCACAACACCAGCAGATTTCTCTCTTAATCCATAATATTCTCTCTTCACTGTACCTTCAGCTTCATTCCACTCAACTAGGAAAGAATCCCCATCCTTATTTGTCCCACAAGAGAACAATCTAAAATAAGGACGCGCAGTTACAACTCAAATAAAAGTGAGAAAAAACCAAATGATAAAGAAGTGAGTAAGATTAACTACATAAATTTCCGGTATTGCTTTTCATTTCTTACCTACTTCCATCAGCGCTGTAGAGCAATGTGGTGCACGATTGACCAGGAGCTTGAAAGTCAATCCTAGAGCCCTTGCTATCATACACCCAGATTTTGATATTCCCATCAACAGCAGTACCGATTATATACTGCATAAATACAATGTCAATTTTTAACTACTTATATAAGAAAGCAAAAAATTCTCATATATCTAGTCATGCTTCCAGAATTGACAACAAAAGAAACAAGTTTAGAGTATAGTTACACAAAAATGTAAGTAACTATGGATAGGGAAAATGTTCATGACCAGAAAATTGGCTTGCTTCAACCAGAAATGGAATGGTCAAATCCAATCCTTAGTTCTTAAGATTAAATTACTCTCTTCTTCGTACAAAAATATCTACATAATGAAAATGCTTTTTGTTACATATATTAAGTTTTAAAATCCCAATAATAATATAACATTGAACAGCTTCTTCAATGGAATAAAAAATTTCAACACTAATCAAGGAAGATGCCACAAAATTCTAACCATGACAATAATAAAAAGCCAACAGGGGCTAGGCCACTTTTACCGGGACATTTAGTTTCTGATGGGGACAAACAGCATAAACCGGTGCTTCATGACCTCCAAACTGAAAGAGTTGCTGTCCAGTCAAATCCCACACCTGTGACACTCACATCACATTCCTCAAATTTAGTAAATAAGGGTACGTTCATCTGGCTACAAGCTGTTACATATAGGAAACTTTTCTGTCACCTTAACTAACTTATCATCTCCACAAGTTGCCATGCGCAATTGATTATCTAGATTGAAAAATGCCACGTCATTAACACTACCAACATGAGCATCAATCTGTAAAGAAGTAAGGACATCATTCACTGTCATCACCTCCGTCCCCCAGGAAAAACATACAAAAACTTCATATTAGAAAAGGATCTAACTTCTAAATTCTGCTGTAGGTCGTTAGGTCCTTGATAAGCATACAAATGAATCAAATGTTTTGTGAAAGCAACCCCTGAGTAGAAAGGGAAAAGTATTATAAATTATAATCCGATATAATGCAAAAAACTGAAATCAAGTTTCATTACAGCGCCTACCAATAAAATTTCCATCTGGACTCCATGAGACACGGTTGACAGATACAGATGAATCCTTCATAATTGCAACCTGTACAAGAGTCCCAGTCACTAAAATGTAAGACATATGGCACTTAAAAGTAGGGGGATAAAACCAACCAATTCTGGAGACAAGTATTTATTTGGGAAAAAAAAGCATCATACAAATAACCCTCATCCCACAAAATTCAGTAACACCCACATATGTCAATGTGTAAAGGTTGCTGCTGCAAAAGGCAAGGCTCCACTGCAGACAAACAAATTATTTTATGTAAGAAGTATTCTCTTTTTCTCCCCTTCCTTTCCTCCCTTTCTGTGAGGAAATAAATGAATGATCCATGAATCATCTAATTGTCAATAAGTTTCTATATCCTGCTCTCTGTCTGCCTCTTCTTTTGCCCCTCAAGAAACATTTGTTTACAAAAGATTATTTCAATAATGTTATCAACCTGAAAAAAGGCAGAACAAGTCGCACTATCCTTTATCTTGAAAGGCATTGATATCAGCTTCTCTCTCAGTCCTGCTTCCCAGAGAGAGATTTCACCATTTCCACAACCAACTGTTTCATAAATGTTTATCCAAAATCAATATATAAAGACTAAACTTCTAATAATACCAGAACATACCAGCCTATTTCAACCAACCAGTAAGTAAGGAATGAAGGGAAGGATGAAAATCCATGCTTGTCACTGTTGATCCTTGATGTAATGTACACATAACAGTTTTAGGAACGTCATCAAGTGACCAAGAGGCTTTTGGGGGGGGAGAAGAAACGGAGACCTGCTCAGATTGCAAGTAGTTGCTATCATAGAATTAGTAATTCAATTGCATGGAAAAGAAAACATGCCACAATACTGCATAAGTACCTCATCACCAGATGACCGCAAACGTTTTGATGGTTGCCGACGGTCAGTTTTTTTATAATCCGTCACTGCAAGAGTATGAGGAGTTATTGAATGCTTCAAAATAGATACTGCAAGAAATTGATTAACAAATGATGTTGAGAATGGATAACACATGCAAACATCCAAAGAATATTAATAGTTCAATTTTATAAGGTAAAAAAGAAAGAGAGATTATTTTATACTACTTCTTCAGCTATTTCAACTATTAGATAGGATGATGGAAAAGATAAAAGCAAAAAAATTACACACTTGCATATCTGCATACAGATGAAGGAGTATCTTTCTTTGAATGGGAAATTATCTGTGCATAATGAATAAATTATTCCCTGTACTATATGAAAGCCAAATGTACACTATAATTTGTATTAATGTACAGCTCTTGGCAATTGGATAATCTCAAAACAAGCATGTATGTTAAGGACATGACTGAAAATATCTCAAGCAAAGAACCTTCCCCCCACCCCCACATTCACTCTACAAAGCCTCAGGACAAAAAAAGACACAACTTTGACACTAGAACTGAAATGCAGAAAACATGCATCTATTCATTTCACAAACTTGGCAAATGCAGTAGTATACTGGAACATTGACAACTTCTCAAAGTTATCCTTTTTATGGTTGATTTTTATCCAGCTAGAGAACCAGATTCCATGACAACAAAACTAATATACCTTGATTCAGGAGACCAGGAAATGGTGAAGCAACAGGTACAAATGATTGAATGGGTGAGAAAGGATTTGCATTCACCATCCATCCCGCCACTAAAGGATTAACAAAAGCAGCTACTCGGACTGGAAGAACTGGCTGCATCTCAGTGTGTAACAGAAAAAATTATTCTAAAGATAAAGATAAAATAATCAACAGTGTTAGCACTGAACATTCAGACAACTAAACAAGATAAGGCCTTACTCCACCATATGCTCCAATTGGAGCATAAGACAAAGGCATTGCAGCAGCTGCGACAGGAGGTTGTGCAACAGCTCCACTTGAAGGTAAGCTCGCATGGTCACTAAGAAGGTTTTTGACAGGACTTGACATTGGATTGTTGCACCGGTGGTGCTGCCAATTCAAACTGAATAGCAGACGTGGATGAAAATTAACCAGAAATGGCATGATTAATAAAGTTTTAAAACAATTTGCGATGTCCTTAGGGGATGAAACAATGTACTGCATCGATACATAAAGGGTTAAGACCTTGTTTGTTTAAAAATCAATTCTCAGCTCTCTCACTTTCTGATGAAAAATACATGTTCTAATAAAACAATCTAGTTCAGATTAATTTATGTAGGCATCTCAATCATATTCAACAATTCAAAATCACATCTTCTCAATTTTAAACTAAACAGACACTTAAACAGTGAGTGAGGGGAATAATCATTGTGCATTTTTATCTCATTAGATGTAAAAGTTGAGCATATTCAGCCATCCTACCTTTGATTAATCAGATACTCTAACCGTGAGGCCTTAATTAAGGGAAATATGAGCTTATGTTTGAGGAGGGGATTTGATCTTATCAGATTCTTAACTTCTAAGAGCACTGTGTTTCGAGCTGATTGAGTGTCACCATACGTCGATAACTGCTTACTTTCCCTGCATTTAATCAAAACGCACTTTAAAACAAACAAGGTCTTTTTGTGCTTCAAGATAAAGGATAGTTGTCAAGGGTTAAAAGATTTAAAAGGATAGTTGAACAAGAGATTTTAGACTTACACTGCTATAAGAAGAAAAGATCATTCCCCATATATATATATATATATATATATACTCCAGTTTAACACGGTCCAAAAAGAAAAAGACGAAATTACCTTAAGTTGTCAAGGGTTAAAAGATGCGCAATTTCTTTGAATAAATCTTCGTTATGGGATGAAAAAACTTTTAAATCATTCAACAGTATGTCAAAAGCCTTCGCTTTGTCACCCCTAAGCACAAAAAGAAAATTTAACCAACAGAACAAGAAAGAAATTAACTTATAGCTTATATACCAAATACACTTGCAACATAAATAAATAAGCATAAAAAGGATAACCCCAAATAATAATAATAATAATAAATGTACCATCGAGGATGAAAAACCAAAAAAAAATAATAATAATATAACCTGTCACGGGCTTCAAGATACTTCTGCTTCCTAACTTCAAAGAACAATCTCATCGAAAATTCATTGTCATCCATATTTACAAAGCCAGAGATATAGTTTTCAACCTCGTCCCATTCTCCAGCCAGGCCTTTCTCTTCAACGTACTCCATATTGAAGAACACACCAGATTCTTGTTCCAGCCTGAAATCCCACACAGAACAATCACATTCCAATTTTCCATAAATATAATAAGCACAGACAAACAAACAAGAACATTAAATGAAAATACAAAGATAATAAACTGAACTGCAGAAAGAAAACAAACAAAAAAAGACAAGAAAAATAAAAGGCTTTACTTATGCAGAGCTCCCTTGAAATTCCCTTCCTGGAGAAATTGAAGAACCAAGAGCACCATGTCCTCGCTCAAATTCACCGGTTTTTCCATGTGAACCCTTTGGATTTCCATGGTGCCTGTCTGCCTGATTCTGTTCAAAGAGAAGTAGAACAGTGTAATGGAAGAACTAACAAGAAGAAAAAGCTGCAAAAAAAAAATGAACCAGAAAGAGAGAGTAATGTGTGACTTGTTTAACAGTTGTTCCCACTGGCCTATCACTGATACGCTTACGTACTTATAAAGAGTGCTGATAAGTCCTTGTGGTTATTTTTTGGAAGAAGGCAATATCGACGCTGGTAACGAAGTTCTTGTGCGCTTTGCCACGTAAGAAAAAAAACTCAGCTACATGATGTCAACTCATCGCTTTTTGACCAATATACCCTCGTCACTTTCGTAATATTAAATTGATTAATCGTTCTGATTTTTTTTATTGTCTTGAAAATTTAAACTTTTTTTAATTAAAGCATTAATTTTATTATTTATTTATAAAATTAGAGATAAAAAATATATAAAAGAAATAATAAATTCTATTAATTGAAAAAAAATACTGTAACTTTAGCATTTTTTAACTTATATTGAGAATTTATAAATAAACTTATTTAACATCTTCCAAAAATTTCAAATTATTATTATTAATAAAATAAAATATTCATAAGGATTATTATCAACGTATTTTTCACTAATAAATATATTTTTATTTTATCAAAATTTAATACATTTTTACAAATAAATGATAAAATCTTATTTATAATATCTTTATAATGTAAATCATAAAATATAATATACTGATATTGTTAAATGTTGCAACTTCTAACAAAAAGTTGTCTTTCGGTAAAAAAAAATAAAAAATCTTATCTTTAAACAGGTCATTTTCACTTTCAATTAAAATTCATTACAATATAACCGTATTTTTATTTAATGTTGTATAAATTTTAAATGACAAAAAGTATATACAAAGAATGTAAAAACACATTGTTAAATTTTTTTAATAAATAAATGATTTTTTAATATATACTTAAAATGTAATATATATATATATATAATATTTTTTATTAAAATATATAAATTTAATACATTAACAGCTTTAAATATTATAAAGTTTAGTAACAACATTATTATTATGTACTTAAAATGTATTGATGTTGTTTATATAAAAAATATGTTTAAAATATATTTTAATTTATTAATGATAGAACAAATTTAACAATAATATACTAAAATTAAACTTTTAGAAGGAATAATGAATTAATACAAGTACAAACCACTTTTTCGCAAAAAAAGACAAAATCCAATTTAATATATAGAGTTGGAATTTTATAGAACACCAACTCACTTCAATCTGATTGACCAAATTATACAGAACACCATAAAAAGCATATAATTAAGGTATGTTTGTTTGTATTTTTAAAAAGGATTTTTCTTATTTTAAAAATGCAAATAAACATATTTCTACTCTTTTTCAAATATTTTCTTAACCCATTTTTTATTATAAAATTAATTATATACTAGTCATGATGAATATTAAATGAAAAGTGAGTTAAATTATTTATTAAAATTCAACATAATCTATTCAAAATGTTGTTTATACCTCTATTATTTTATCATTCAAATTTTTAATGTAATAATTAAAATATTATTAATATTTTATTTTTTGAACTTTATTAATTATTTTTTATGATACCCTTTATACTATATTTCAATTAATCGATTCAAAACACACACCAGTTAATTATTAAGGGTGGTTTTTTTTTTTTAATGTTATAACAATGACAATCAAGCAAAAATAAAATTTAATACTAAGACGTCAAATAATACTGTATAATTTTATTTTTAAATGAATTTTGCATTAACTTAACTACGACTGTGTGCCCTATATATATATATATATATATATATTTATATATATATCCTAAGCCTTAAAATTATTTTTAAAAAATATATCGGCCAAATGATAATATTATCATAAATAATAACATGTTTATGTCTACTGAATAAGTTATATTTTAAATTGGGTAATTATTTAATGACGATTTATGCATTTTAAACGGTGTCAACTACAGGTATAGACTATCAGTGTAAATTCTTCGTATTAATGAAAAACATAATGGGTAATTAAGAAAAATCAAACAACAAAAATATAACTATTTGTGAGGTATTGAACAAATTCTATAGATTGTCAAGGTAAGTTGTGCCGTAACTTGACGGCACAAGAGAAAAAAGCGAGCCCGCTTTACTTTAATTTGATTTTTTTTAAGATATACTAAATGGATAATTTCCAAAAGCAAATATCCCAAAAGTGTAAAAGAAAGTTTTATTAACCTTGTGTTTTTACAATTAATTTTAAATGTATAAAAGTAATATTTTTTATTCAAATACAATAATATATTTTTAATAAAAAATTATTTTAGATGTTGAAATTCATTTTTAAAAATTAAGGTGAATAAAACTGTAGACAAAAATAAAAGTAATAACACATTAAAGACTCATCCATGCTATTAAGCAAAAAGCTGTTCAATCCAGAATGGATGAAATTTAATGGCTAGTTTGGCTTGTGCGATTTATAATTATTGAGTGAACTTCACAGTGAAATGTTTATTACATGTGATCATTAATGGATTAAGGATTATAAAGTTATCCTAAGTCCAATTTTAATCAATACCACCAGATCGACATCCAATAATATATATAATGTAAATTTTCTAAAAATAATTTATACTATAAATTTAACAATAAAATTTTAAAAAATATTTTTTTGACTTTATTAAAAATAAAATATTAATTTAAACTAATTATTTATTGATCAATGAAATAGTAAATATATTTTATTAGTTTACATGTATCTTCTGCTAAGAACTAATTCTGTTACAACCAGGTAAAGATACTGTTTTCTGAATATTTAATCTCTCTCTCACACACATATATATATACATATATAAATTTTTATTTAAAAATCAAATATTTATATATCTTTTATAAATTCAATTACTTTACTTTTTTTATTAACTTAAAAAACAATTTTTCATATTTTTAAAAAATTTAGAAATATTTATTATTTAAAAGTTGTTAGTTCTCATAGGAAATAAAATATTAATAAATAAACACAATTTATTTATTTCAAATAAATAAATATTATATACACATGGGACCGTTTCTAGCAATTCCAATATTTCTATGAATTTTTATATAAACCCTAGTAATCGTAAACCTGAGGGGTTCCCTTGCAAGTTGCAAGTTGTAACGGAGGCACACTCCTAAGCTGGTGACGTAACCTCAGAGCTTCAGCGATGGCGGCAAAGAAGCAGCTGGCCGGAGACACCAAAAAGAGAAAACGAGTAAATACTGAAACTCACGAAGCTCCCTATAATTCCAAGCTCGTTGCCTCGAAGAAGCACAAACCAAACTCTGCTGGTAAAGAGAAGAAGAAAGCTCCTCTTACGGGCCGAGAACGTCGACTTCAATCCAAGGTTCTCTTCTTTATTAAACCTGGTTTGATATTACGGAATACGTGTTGGTTGGACATTTACGATTTGGCTTTGAGCGATATATGTTTTGTTTTGTGTCAATTATTTGGTGATTACTTGTTTTTTATTGTTCAATTTCAGGAACTTGCAGAGGCTAGGAAAAAGAAGAGAAAGCGGCATTACACTCTTGAGCAAGTGAGTTTCTCAGTTTTTATTTACTGTTCTTTTATCAGTTGAATTGAAATTTGTGTATTATTTAATTTAAATTCTGATTAATTCTAAATAGGAGCTTGCACGTCTATGGGAAAAGATGAGACGTCATGAAATTGCTAAAGAAGACAGAGCCAAGTACGTTCCTTTATATAGGACTGATATTTACTTTATGGCATGCTATTTTTTTTTTCTTTTTGTTTTTATTTTCCTTATGTTTTACTTTGGATTTTTATATAATTGAAGGTTAGTGACAGAAGCTCTGCAAAAGATGAAGGGGAAGATTCCAGAGATTGCAGGGTCTCACATATCATCTCGTGTTCTTCAGGTATATTTGTTCGTATCTGTTTTTCCCCTTGCCATTCAGTTTCAAATCCTTTTAGAGTGTGGCTTTGAGTTTTAATCTTTTGCTTTCTTTTTGTTTTAATGGAAAGACTTGTGTCAAGCATTGTACACAAGCTGAAAGAGATGCAGTATTTGAAGAGCTTCGGCCACATTTTCTAAATCTAGCATACAATGCCTATGCTGTTCACTTAGTAAAGAAGATGCTTGACAACGGTAATGGTCTTCTTGAATTGATTCATACACCCTGTTGTTTGTCAGTGTCACCTTTTCTTCTAATCAGTTGTCCTCCATTTTCAGCCTCCAAGAAACAACTAGCAGGCTTTATCTCAAATCTCCATGGTCATATTGCTCCTCTTCTTCGCCATATGGTTGGATCAGTCGGTATGTAACTTAGGTTTAAGAAGTATTTTGTGGTTGTTCATTGTTTGCTTAAGATATTACTCCGCAGAGGAACCTTTTCTTTTTGAATTTGTCTAGCTGCTTATTGACATGAATTTTAGTTGAAGCTAGCTTGTTTAGGATTTGAGAGAGACTGACAAAGATGAAAAAGTAAATAATAATAATAATAATAATAATATTCTTGACGCGTTTCTGCTGATTTTTATATTTTGATACGAAATTGTCAATTTTTTGAATGTTCAGCATTTGGCCAAAGTTAACGTTCCTACAATAAGTTTTGTGTATCTATTATGCAGTTGTTGAACATGCTTATGAGTTAGCAAATGCTGCACAAAAACAAGAGCTGCTTTTGGAATTATATTCCACGGAACTTCAGTTGTTTAAGGATCTAGTCTCATTAAAAGAGAGCAGGTAAAGACTCAACTGTTAGGAATCATGTTTTAGCATCTAGGATAATGTAGGTATCTATGTTACTTCTAGTTGTCAGTTGTCACATACTTAAAATGATTACTGGAATCTGAAATATAGAAATGTTCTAATGGAGAGAGTGAAAGAGGATATGCAAAAGGACATATCCAACCTCTGCAAAAGTTTCATAGAAAGAAAAATTTCTGTTTTAACTTATTTTATTTATGAGACCTACTTATATTTGAATGCCTTTTGGGGATTTTGGGAGGTGCTAGGGGTTATAGGCTTGTAGAAACTCAGAAGCAAATTTTGCACCTTATGCAATAAATAGTTAATTGGTTTTTGACTTTTTGCTCGACTGGAGATTCCTTATATTGACTACATATTAATAATTTCAATACTACTATATATGAGTACACTGAAGAATATGCCATCATACCATGTGTTTTACATTAAATAGACTCTGATAGATTACATAATTAAGTTTAATTTGAGATACGTTACTTAGAAACATAGTAGGTTAATTTGCTAAACTCAACTTTCGTTTATATACTTGTAGATAAGCAATTGCCTAATATTAATTTGTATTGATACTTCTATTTTATGAAGTTGGCAATGTATAAGTTAGTGTCAAGGACAATTTTTGCTTGCAATAGTTGCTCCTCTCCCTGAATTTATGCTACTCAATCTCATTTATACTAGTCATGTCTGGGCATTTAAGAGAGTCAATATAGAGTTTCCCCCCCCCCCCCCTTATTGCTGGAGTTTTTACTTAGCTTTTAATTGCATGTCAGATTATTGGATGTAATGTCCAAGTTGGGTCTCCAGAAAGGTTCAGTTTTGCGACATATGACATCAGTTATTCAGCCAATTTTAGAGAAAGGGATAGTTGATCACTCTATCTTACACAGAATCTTGCTGGAATATTTTAGCATTGCTGATAAGGTAGTCTCGCTTTTCACAAATATTTCTTCATGCTTTTTATTATGGGAACAAATTTCACCATGGACAATATCTTCTGTTATCTAAATTAAGTTTTTTTAAAAGTCCTCTGTCACAGATATAATCCAACAGTTATCAAGTCCACTCATTGTTAGAATGATTGGTACAAAGGATGGAGCTAAAATTGGAACTCTGTGTGTAAAATATGGGAATGCCAAGGTGTGTTTAAGCAACTTCTTTCTTATTATAATAGAAATGTGTAGAGTACTCATGATGATTGAAGCAACATATGATTCACTCTTCTACTTCACCCTCTATTCTTAGGAAAGAAAGAAAATTATCAAAGGATTGAAGGGGCACATAGACAAAACAGCTTATCATCAATATGGGTGCATGGTAAGTGATTTTATCTAAGGTGCACATTACTTTTCTTCTTGTTTTAGAATGACTTATTCCCAACTTTAAAAGAAGCAATAAACTCCCTTTATCAGGAAAAGAGAATCATGTTATTGCCTCCGTCTTGTAGTTTCTCAGTAGTTACCTTCCATTCTGATTTTAGTAAAAATAATCAATTTCTATAATTAAATTTTCAGGTGCTGGTTTGCATCCTTTCAGTTGTTGACGACACAAAATTGATAACAAAGGTTTGTTTGGATTTGTTCTGATTCTGATTTTCTCATCAATAGTCACCATTCCTGTATAACAAAATTTTAATTTCATATTAAGCATTAAAGCATTCTTTTTGCAGGTTATTATTCGGGAGCTTCAATCAATTCTAAAGGAGCTTGTTCTGGATAAGGTTTCTTCTACCATACTTTACATATGATATTGCAAGTTTTTTTTTATCCTTGCACCCTAGCTCCTTTGAACCTCACCTGTAAACAACATAGAAAGATTATTTATTCCATAGCGTTATGATATGTGTTTATTATCTTCTGGTTGTATGTTTGTCAGTTCTGTTGTTTACTTTTGAATTTTACAGAATGGAAGGCGTCTCTTACTCCAATTACTACATCCCAATTGTTCACGTTATTTCAGTCCAGATGATCTTGCTTCTCTGAATTTGTCTATACCTTCTCTGTCTCTCAAGGTGACTCTTGAATCTACCTTATCTATTTTTTTAGTACTTTGAGGCAGCTATATTAGTCACACTATTCATTTTTATTGCTTCCAGGATCAGTCAGAAGCAAGCACTGTGACAGAAACTTCAAAGGCTTCACTTGTTGACAAGGAGTCCAAGGAAGACATAGAGGTGGCAGTGGATGAAGTCAACAAAGATAAAACTTCTGTGGACGATTCTGACCTAGCTGAGAGTGGAAAAAAAGACCCATTTGTAAGAAGGCAAGAGCTATTGATCAAGAGTGGACTTGCAGATGTAGGTTAATTTAGCTTTCCTTCTAATAATTTATTTATTTTTTCACGTTTCACTTTTGTTTTGTACTGATGCTTGTCTCTTTCCTTGCCTTAATATTTTGTTCCTAATTTAATTTGTTTGATAAAAGAAAGATCCTTTACATTGTTCTTTTATAGCGTTCACATAATCATTGATTTTGATAATATGTAAATTTGGGACCAGGTCAATTACTTGTGAATTGTGAAGTTGTGCTGAAATTGACGTTTTATTGTGACTTTCAATGCAGAATCTTCTTGATATATGTATTGAGAGTGTGGAAGAACTGATCCAGTCAAATTTTGGCAAAGAGGTCTTATACGAGGTAATAGAGGATGATGTTGATGTTATAATTTCAGAAGTTTCATAAATTTGTTACCAAGCATTGCCATTTTGGTAAATTCAATTGTACATGCAGGTTGCAGTAGGCGGTTCTGGTGGCATAATGCATCCAACGCTGGATGATAAGATAAATTCTCTCCACAATGCGATAGCATCTCTTGCAGCAAAGCCTAAACCAGAAGATTCACAAGAGGAGCATGTCCTTGAAAATTTCCATTCAAGTCGAACCATTAGAAAACTTATTTTGGATTGCCCCAAGTTTGCTTCGACCTTATGGGAAAAAGCTTTGAAGGGGAAAAGTGAGTCATGGGCGCATGGCCACAGGTATGTTTCGATTACTCATTAGATTATTCTCTGATGAAACCAGGGTGCTAAGGACTAATTTCATGCATTTTATTTTTCGTCTTGTCATCATGATTGCAGCTGTAAGGTTATTTCTGCATTTTTGGAATCATCAGATCCGAACGTACAAAAACTTGTAAAGAAAGAGCTGCAGCCTTTAATTGACAATGGAATTCTCAAGAACCTGAAGCCCAAAGAACAAGCAAGCCAATAATTATTATGTATGGAGAAGGAAACTATATCTGCGTGGGGCAGGTTTGGCACACGACATCAGGAGCTAACACACGATAATGAGCTTCGATTCTGGATTTGTAGAAGATGAGTTCAAAGCACAAACTAAATTTTACTGAGAAAGCTGCTGTCGTAATTTTGACAACCAGAAGAAACACTGCAAGTTTTTCATCCACATTACTTGATGTAGTGATATACTTCTGCATATTTTGAAATGCAGCAATTTTGCAACACGGAGTGTTACTGGTCTATTTTACCACCATGTATGTCTTGACGTTCTGACGGTAGTCGGCCGTTATAGTTTGATTTTTCAAGCGATACGCCACCCATAATTTTTAAGTAATCAATGCATTTTTTACACTTGGAGATTATAAATGAGTCCCACGTATCATTACAATTTCATAATGAAATGCAATTAATCCTTTAAAGAATCGAGAAGCTGACAATCACATTGCGTTGAGTGAATGTGTAAAAATGTTTCGAGCTAACATTTTGATGGGACAAAAGCGAATTTACTAGCAAACATACTTCTTGATTTGACTTCAAAAACAGGAGAGGCATGGTGCACTCCTCCCACGTCATTGTGCAGCATATTATTTCTCTGCAGATACCAAAATGTCGAAGAATTCTTGTAAATATTACTCCTCACATGAGGGTAGCCTTGATACAAGTAATCCGATGGATTGAAAATTGGCGTTTCTTTCTCAAATCTATGCACTGACTTGCTTCTGTGTAGAAAGCCAACAGGATTATAGAGTGGAGATTCTTCCCTTGACATTGAATTTGTTCGCAAGCAATTCTCTATCACCTTAGCCTCGTCTTTGAACCTCTCTCTCATGTCCCTAATATTTCTCCAAAGTTTAAAAGATCTTGATCTTCTGATAAAATCCCATGCCTTGAAGCTTAAACCACTTGAATTGCCCGGGGCATTGCTAGATGTATACGGAATTCTTTTGCACTCGAAGCAGAAACGCTTATATCTCTCCAAGTCAAAGGCCTTTCTCTTTGCTGCATTAGATAGACATGTATACGCCTACAAGAAAATGAGGGGCTAGGGATGAGATTGTGTTTCCTTTTACTCGAAACTGGGTGGGAATTCATGGTATATGCCTATATGGGGTGCTCATCACACACCCTCAATGTTTAGAATCCCCAAAGATCGAATGTTCACCAAGTCATTGTTACCATACTAACCTCAGAAACAAGCTTGAAAGCAATTTCAGCCTTGGGATGTTTATTCTTATCTGGATGAACTTGCAAAGCTAAGGACGTGAAAAAAGAAAAACTTCTCATTATTCAAGGGAGAGAGAGAGAGAGAGAGAGAGAGAGAGAGAGAATGCAAACTGCACATAACCATGAAACTTGTTAAACATACCCAGTTTATGGTACCGCTTGCGAATGGCATTCACCGCTGCATTTTCTTCCACCTATATGGAGAGATTTGGCATCATAAAAAGAAACCGATAAAAGGTTCGTTTGAAGAAGAAATGTTCAAGAACTTACTCCAAGAATGCAATACCAGTCAACGAAAGTTGCCTTGGATGGGTTTGAGAGAAGTCTATGAACACATACCACAGAACGTGTAGAAATGGAGCAAATCTCTAATACCAACTTGCTCTTGGAATCTGATTCTTGTCCCATTTGAGAGTGATATGATTGTGGAAATATGGAAGTGAAGGACAAAACGAAAAATTGAAAAGGGGTCACAAATAGTGAAGGTGGTTTCCTTTTGTTGGTTTTCAGAGGGCAGTAATAAACAGAGGTTTAGCGGTTAAGAAAAAAGCGCAATCTTTGCGGGAGAGATATTTGACACTGGATCAGTTGGTGGGAACATTCAAGTTATGAGATAGAGAGGTTAACGTTAATCTCTCCAAATGGCACTGTTTGAGAAGGGTTAGGGAGGGACATTTGGCCCTTACGTTTTTCTTTTTTTCACGTTTAAATTTAAATTTAAATCCAACTAAAATCCTCTTTTATATAGGGATATTATATTATATTAGATATTAGTTAGACTAACCAAACGTTGTTGTTCTACCGCTTCCTATTATTTGTAGCAACCAACAACTAGCAAGTAGTAACTTTTTGTTAGGCTGAAAATAGAACCTCCTAAGCAAATGTGACAATTACAGAAGTTCAGCGGTTGTTCTCTTGAGAATTTTGAAAGAATGATTACTCATGATGTTGAACTATTTGTGTGTCTTGATTAATCCATTTACCAGTTCTTCTTCCTACTTTTAAAGAATTCTCTTTCAGGGTCTATTTCTAGTATTGCTTTATTTTGTCAGGTTTGTTAGAGTATTGTGGAAAATTAGAAACTCAAAAAACATGTATGAAATAGAAGCACCCTCTGTTTTTCTTCATAAAGGAAACCCCTTTACTTGGAGACCCATAACACATATGCATATGAAACGTGACAATTACCGGTAGAAAATGCATGAAGGGGAAGGGCTTTGGAGGCTATTGTGGTAGGTTTATTGCAATATTATATTGGTACTATATCTTTAAATTCAACGAGAAATTACCCGTGAAGATGAGATGGGAGCGTTCAAATTGGGTGACCCACTCATATAATGCCCGGTTGAAGCTAGGCTAAAAAAGGTACTCTGGGTAGGTTAAAAGAATGATCAAAATAGGTCCCTACCTTGCATCCCTTTCTTCAAAATCAAAGAGCGTATCAATTTTCCATCTTCTTCTTATAATTCATTATGATAGCTGTTTACATTGCATCTGATTACTTTTTTTTTTCATGTAAATTACCTGCTAAAGTTGGTTGTTCACTAACTGATGGTTTAGTTATGAATGGTTTGGTTGAAATTATTTATAAGGAAATACTTTTTTTGAATGTTTGAAAAATAATTGTTTAAAATAAAAATGTTCATGAAGTACTAAATAAGCATTATGGAAATTTGTATGAAACCTACTAAGAAATTAGGCTCACATAGTGTATTAAAACTCAATGGAATTGACCTAATAACAAAAAGTGTTTTAAACAAATCATAAAACTGAGAATTTTCACTTCGTAAAATCATTGAAAATGTCATATTCATTATCATGTATTAGTTGGGCCTTAGGTGAAAATGTAACAACTATCACTGCAGTGTCTATGAGAGGAAAGTTGGTTTGTCCAGGTTCAAGTTGTTGGATTTAGCCCTGAATCCTCAAACAGCTTAATACCTTTTTCAATTTCCTAAATTGAGAAAAAGGGATTCCCCACATACAATTTTTAGTTTGATCAAACTAGGGATGTAGCTGTACAAGTTATTCTATTTAATATTCCCATGATAAGAAGTTGCACAAGTTTGAATCTAAGAAGTTGCACATTGGTAACTGAGGATTTGTTTCGAGTTTTGCAAAGATAGGCTTTGTTTTGAATGGAGACAAATGCCAGTATGGTAAGATGGTACAAGTTTTATTATATTATTATGCAACTCTCATAGCCCAATATACAGTTCAACAATGTTCTGGAATTCAAAATCCAACGCTAAAAATTTCCGGAAATGCGGGACAGGGTGGAAATCGAAATATCGAAAGTCTATGCAAACTCTTAGTCAAAATAGAACTATTTACAATAGGATTAAGATGTGTGCTTATATTAATTTGAAAATACTATACACATTATAAGAAATTAACTCTCAACGTAAAACACAAAGCGCTTTAATCCAATGATAAGAAAAGCATATTGCTTTGGACGTCTTTGGAAAAGAGAAAAAGAGGACAAATAACATAAAATAAAGAGAAAGTGAAAAGTTGAGAGTTTTTTACGTAAATACGACTCAATAAAGGATTCTGAATTGGAAATGAAGATACCACCGTTACATTCTTTTACGCATGAATTGGGAGACTATTCGTGCATGAGAATTGAAAAGAACAATGAAATGACGCATCGAGTGAAAAAGATGTCAAATTAGTAAGGACGAAGACAACAAATACTAGAGAGAAACGAGAGGCTTCTACTTTAACCTTTTCTTATTGAAACTTTCCTCTTTTTTTCACATTACTTTTGGCTATTTGTGATTTTATAAGTGTAATTTGTTTTTTTATGTTATTTCATTGTCCATTCCAACTCTCATGTAATTTCTATACATTTCCTTTATTTCAATCATATCAGCATAATTATTTTACTGTATTGTACACCAAAATATTTAGTGGGCCGATGTGTTAGGCAAGGCCCAACAAACGACGATGTCTACAGAGGTTCATGACTAGTCGATTAATCTAAAAATCTATGATTTTTCTAATGGGTTCTGATGTTGAAACGGTATGTTTGACAAAAAAGAAAAGAAAAGAAAGAGGACTTCAGATAAAAAGAGAAAAATAAAGAAAATTTTATTTTCAATAAAAAATTATTAGTTTAATAATTTTCAAATAAAAATGATAAATTAATACAAATTTAATGTACTGAAACATTATACCATTTCTTCATTTAATAATAAAATATCTATCCTCGTATTTTTTTTTATCTCTTTTAACATTTTTCAATAATAGCAAAAAAAAAAAAAACTTAAGAAGACCGTATGTATTTTTAAAGCATTTTGAGAATATTAGTTAAAAAGTATTTAATATTATATATTAAATGCCTTACATTATTATGCCTATTCATTTATACTTATCCATGTTTTAGAAAAGCACTATTAATTAACTGTTGCTTTAAAAGTTTAAATAACAAATTATTTTTAATCTAATTTTGAATATTTTATGTATTTATTATAAACAAGAGAGAAATAATAATAGAAATTATATTCAAAATTAAAACAATAATATAAAAATAATATTGATTTTTAAAATTTATTTATGATATTTTAAAATTAAAAACTTTAAAAGGAAGAAAAAATGACGTTAAAAAAATTACATAGTAAATTATTGTTGTATTTAAAATATAATAAATTATACTGAAATAGAAATTAAAAATAAAATATAAAAATTTGAGGTACGTAATAGAGTTTATTTAAGAAGTTTTATAGAATTATTGAACTGAAATTAAAAACAAATAAATTGCTTAATATAATAAAAAAAATGTAACATTATACCAAGTGTATAAAATAAATTATAGTAACTTGTTACAATTAGTATTTGATTGGAGATGCCTAATGTTATTCTTTCTTGAAAGAAATATCAAAGTAAAGTACCCAATTCATCTGGGCATCATGATTTCCGATGAGTGATGACCCAGACAAGCAAGGGCATTTTCGTCATAATCCAACCATGCTTCTTCCCACAAAGAAAGCCACATTCTCCTGTTTTCTTATGATATCTTCTCTTTCCATTTCTCAAACCTCCCTTCATGACCGCCGGAGCAATGGCCACGGCCGCCGGAGCGGCGGTGATGCTGTACCTCATACTGAAGCGGAATACAGCAAAGAAAGAAGAAGAAGAGTGGTCGAGATCGCGGAGGTGGAGGGTGAAGCCGGCTCAGGCGCCGACAACTCTGTTGGAATCGATTGCGACGTTGTCAGAGACGCTGAGGTTCACTTACTCGGAGACTCTGGGAAAGTGGCCAATCGCTGACTTAGCCTTCGGAATCAATTACTTCGTGCGCAAGCAGGTGAGGTGAATTTCGCAAATAACTGATTATTGACTTCTAATTTAGGGACTGAGAATGGAGTGTTTGAGTTGCAGGGTGATTTGGGAGTTGCAAGTGTGTATGGTGGAAACGGCTGTGTAGAGCTGAAAGGAGCTGAAGTTGTTGCAGAGTTGCAAGAGCTGTTGAGGTTGTTGACGTTCTGTATGCTTTTCTCCAAGAAACCGTTTACCGAGTTTCTAGATTCTTCTGGATTCTCTTTCGACCATGTCCTTCTCCATAAGCCCAAAGCTCAGGTACCTTCTTTTATGTGTGTGTGTGTCTGTTGCAAACCAAATGAATGAGTCCAATCTAAAAAAAAAAATGGAGAACGATGATTTGCACGAAAACAGTTGTTTTGTTGTAGCAGTTATTTTTGAAAAAATTTTAAGCACCCATGTATTTTATATAAATATATATACACACACACACGCATTCCCCCCATAATTTAATTTGGATATTAAATCTTATGATCGGAATCTTAAAAAATAAAAATATTTTAAAAATAACACGTATTCAAATTGTTTATATTTAGAAATCCTACCAAATATGATAGAATTTGATTTGATTTAAATAAATAAAATGTTTTCCTTGATTAACTTTTTTATTTTTCAGCGTAAAATATAAAATAGCAAAACGAAACCAGTAAAATTTAGTGAGTTCCAAACATAAATATTGTTTTACAAGTGAATTAAAATCTCAATTTTTATAATGAGTTACGACACAATTGATTTCTAAATCCAGTCAAATCATTTCTAAGATAGTGGTTCAGAAACAACCTATCAGGTAATAATTTGGGTACTTTATCCTTCTTCTCGTTGCTTTTTAAAATCATCTTTTCAGGATTCTAATTTGATAAAATAAAAAAAAATCTGACAGGAAATTGATGGGAAAAAAGTGTTTTCAAGGGTTTGATACGATGGCTATTTATATTGTTAACTGTCGAGCGTATTGCTCGGATTAATATACGTATCTTAATCATGTCTAGGCGTTTTTGTATATTTTATTTCTGAAATTATTGCGGTTACTTCTTTGGTCACTCTATTTAACTTAATCATGTTCTACTTTTCGTGCTACGTTTTTTAATCCCTTCCCTTTGTGATTTCATGCTTTAACATCTTTCTTTCATGTTTCAACTGCTAAACTCTTTTTACAGTGTCATCATTTTATTGCTCAATAGTAACACAATTTATTTCATGTCATAAAATCTTGCAGCTTCTGAAGCCTGCTTTCACAATTATACGTGATATGCAATCAAAATGTTTCCTTCTATTGATCCGGGGAACCCATAGCATAAAAGACACGCTAACAGCTGCAACGGGTGCTGTGGTCCCTTTCCACCATTCCATTTTAAATAATGGGGGCATAAGCAACTTGGTTTTAGGATACGCTCACTGTGGTATGGTTGCTGCAGCTCGGTGGATTGCTAAGCTTTGCACTCCTACACTACTTAAGGCTCTTAGTGAATGTCCTGACTTTAAAGTCAAGGTATTGTTCTCCATATTGGTAGAAGAGTATTATAATGCTACAGCCCTATATTTGAAGTTAGTAGTCTATCTTTTCTTTATTTCTTTGTTTACTACTTTTTCTATCCTTTCACTCGAGTCCCTCAGTCTTTCTTCAATGTCTTTTATATAATCTTGCGACTCATCGGATTCATGCCTTCTCGTCTTCCCATAGATTGTCGGGCACTCGCTTGGTGGTGGTACTGCTGCACTGTTAACATATATTTTAAGAGAACAAAAGGAATTATCTTCAAGCACCTGTGTCACATTTGCCCCAGGCATGTAGTCATATTGACTTTACATGTAAAGTTATTATTGAATTGAATAATTAGCTATTTCATTTGGATTTGTATTTTCTAATTCACCTCATGATCTTTTCTAATTGTGCTACCTTGAATTATCCTTTTTTTATAATGGTCAAATGTGTTGGCCATGAGCTGGTGCTGTTGTTACAGTCAGTTTGGGCCGCGATATGAGATTTCAATTATGTGTGTTAAACATTAGTATTGTGACATACAAGCATGAGATTTGTACAGCTATTTAGCCTGATATTTATTATGATTTATGACAAAAGTCGTTTAGTTTCAAGTATGAATGCCTATTTTGACTTTATAATTGCAAAAGAGACAGAAAGCCTATTTTACCATTATATAGTGTTGATTGTGGAATTTCCTTTATAACATTGAATTTTCTCTAAAATTGAAACTTTGCCTTTCTCGTCATTATCATAATTGCTGAAGTCCTTTCATAATTGTCATTTTTGCAGCTGCCTGCATGACATGGGAGTTAGCTGAATCTGGGAAGCACTTTATCACCACCATTATAAATAATTCTGACTTGGTACCCACATTCTCAGCTTCCTCTGTTGATGATCTCCGCTCCGAGGTGCTCTAGCTAGTTCTTCCAACCCCAGATGATTTTGGCAAACATGTTCCTTACTGAAGTTGGTTTTTATTAGGTTGCTGCATCATCTTGGCTGAATGATTTATGGGATCAGGTCGAGCATACAAAGGTTCTGAATGTTGTCTACCGCTCAGCAACTGCACTTGGATCTCGCTTACAATCTATATCTACTGCAAAGGACAGCGTAATTGGTGCGGGTGCTATTTTGCAGCCAGTAACTAATGGCACCCAGGTACCTTCAAGCTTCCTTGTCTCTATTTGGCATTTAGAGTACAAAGTGTACTTCTGGCATATAGCTTCCAGTGAGGTATTCACCAGACACTGGCAAAAGTTTGCAGTTGTGCACTTGCAGAGCTGTTATCCAACCATAGAAAAATAAGAAGGGACAGTTGATCCATTGCACTTGCAGCAATTCTAGTATTCGAGATTTCTATGAATTGTATATCTCCTTTTTGCATGGGGAGTTCCCTATATAATGTGTCTTTTAGCTTATAGATATCCTGCTTTAAACCTGCAGGTTGTGATGAAGCGTGCACAAAGTGTTGCTGAAGCTGTTATCAAAACTATGGGTACACGCCGTCGGAATATTAGCCCATTGCCAAACTCTAAATTAGAGAACTTCGCTGAAGCTTCTCAAGTACCCGAGAGAATGAAAGAATTTGTTCTGACCGAAACGCCTGTGCTGAGTAAGGATGAACACATCTCCTCAAGTGGAAGATATGGGCATGATGCCATAGATGAAGAGGAACAACTCATTGATGCTAATGAGTACATAACCACTTCTTCCCCGGTAGATGACATCACTGAAAGCAAATTGTGGTACGAACTAGAGAAGGAGCTTAAAAGCCGGGACAATTCCCAGAACAGTCATGCTCAGGAAGAAGAGGTAGCTGCTGCAAAAGAGATAATTGAAGAAGAGAATCAGCTTATTGATGCTGCACAAGGTAGCAGCCATCCAATCACAGCATCTGACGACTTGGATAGCTGTCGTTTTTATCCACCAGGTAAAATCATGCATATTGTCTCCTTACCCTCGTCTGATGACTCTACTTCAAACTCCGTTGAGGACCATGTCAACTTGTATGAAACGCCTAGAAAGCTGTATAGCAAGCTCAGACTTTCAAGAACGATGATAAATGATCATTACATGCCCATGTATAAGAAGATGATCCAATTATTAATCCAACAACTAGAGAAAGATGATACTGTGAAATAGAATGCCAAATCTATATAAATACTAATCTTATACATATTTGGAAAAAAACAAATCGTCCAAATAGATGAATGATCCAGAATCAATACTTTTATGATTCTCATTATTTTGCATTCGTCATTTTAACTCGCCCCAGAATATTAACGGAAAACTTGTACATTAATGAACGCAGTTAAGGGCTTAAGCTTTAAAATAATATACCATAATTATAGCCAATTTTGGACCGTTTTGGTAGATAGCTTCTCTTGAGGGGAGAAGCTTCCAAAAATTGACGGGCAACTCCAAACCAAAGTAGGGTAGGAATTACCCGTCCGATATTTGTGTGTTCGATATAATAGGTGTTGGCACGACCCGCCGTCTCAAAACGATCATTGACGAGTCACCTTTCACCCCCTGACAGAACAGGTTAATATGAGGATAAGTATGCTTGGTTTATTTATAGAAGCTCTCCACTCTTAAATACACAAAATATCCGATGTGGGACTTGCGACATAACCTTGTACTTCTAAAAATCCAATCGTGAACGCTATTTATGAAGTCTGGGATCATGTATGTTTCATCGCTATTTGTTTCTCTACATATGTACTGATTGTAGTTGACGTTTGGGAGAGACCTGAAGGCTTGAGAGATATTTTTATCCCTAAACGCTTTGTACAAGAAAAATGAAAATGATAATATATTGCAAAAACTGAATAATTGTGTATTAAAACGATTATTTTATTCCATTTTATTTCTTTTTTTTTAATACATGAAATCATGAAAATAGAAATTTTATGCTTCTCTCTGCACATTAATTACTAACACGGTATATGACATTAGTATTTAAATAGTGATTTTCTCGTGTATTACACGTACTGTATTAGTATTATTAACTTAAAATAATATTTATAAAAGATAAAACTATATTATATTATAATTTTAAAGTTTAATAAATTTGATAAATTTTAAAAATAATATTTTTATTGTATTAAATTAAAGAAATAATTTTTAATTGAGAAATAAATAATGAAAAATATAAATTTTAAAAATGAAGATTGAATTTTAAAAAATAAAATGCAAGAAAAGTCATGTGATACAATAAAAAGATTTCTCAATATTTCCATTTAATATAGTCCCTAAAAACTATTTATCGTTGGTATTTATGTGTCATGAATTTGAAACAACTGGATATTCCTATCCCTTTGTCCCATTATATATATATGCACAAATATGAGGATTTTTTTTTTTCACATCCCAATATTCTTTGTCTCTTACCCATATACCCTTGTACACGAGTCTTGATTTTTTTTTCGCGTGATTAACAGAAAACGATCCAACCCAAGCGCACACTTCTTATATCATATTACAGGAAATATAATGGGATGTAACAAAAAAATAATTTGAATCAAACATTATTCTATAAATATTTGTTGAATGGGCACTGTTACGAGCTTTCATTCGCGAAATATTGATTCTAAATATTTGCAGGGATCTGCCCTTAACAAATATTTAATATATCTTCATTCTAGAAAGCACGATTCTTGGTTTTGTAACAACAACCTCTTTTCATTCTCTCTTGCCACCCCTATTCAAAATTCGTCGCAGTTACAGCAGCAATATCTTCTGTCTAGACATTTCAATAAGAAATAATGAGAATAGTCAAATTCAGCAATGGCATATGTCAAGGTTCTGCCTCTAGAATTGTATCATCTAACGAGTCTCATCAACCACCATAACGGGTTTTCAAAGATTCCGGGGGTTCTTCTTCCATGATTTTTGTACCCACTTTTTCCAACTACTGGCGTGTGGTTGTTCTACGATCACCAAGAAAGGTATGATCCAAAAAGTTGTTGTAAGCTTCATCTCCAAGGCTTTTTGCAGCCAGGACACTGCAATAATTCATTACCATCATATAATTTTACAAATAAATCCCTAGATATATGCCTTTCCTTGGAATATAACCAGAATTATACTGCATGATAATCATTGGATATACACACATCAAAATACAATGGCTAACTTAAATAAAAAACTAAAATAATGGTTATTAATTTATAATAGATAGTAAAGTTAATGATTTTTTTTTACTTTTAAAAATCTCTCTCCTCTCTTTTTAAATAAAAAAAAATATCAGAGAAGAACAAAAAAACAAATGTAAAGAAATACTCAAAAAATTATCAAAAAGCTTACAAACAAAGATTTAGATAATTTTTTTAAATCCTTATTATGTAAGAATTATGAAATTTAAAATTTTTTTAAATTGCAAATCTAGAAGAAAATTAGGTCTAACGTAGGATTAGTTTGGAATGTTTATTTGATATGCTCAAACCCAATAAGTTACTATAGTATTTCCATCTCAGTATTTCGAATATAAAAATAAATAAATAATAAAAACCTCACAAGCATTGACTTTACAGTCATCAATTAATTGATATAACAGACTACTTACCAGTGACGAAGATAAACACGGCATGGTAAAACATCATCCCGCCAAATCTTATGGATCTTAAATTCTCCATATTGTTGAAAATATATTTCCCTGCCCTCTATATTGGAAAAGACATGGCACCAGGTTTTAGATCATAAGTTCGATCACAAGTACACAAATTAGGAATTACCTTTTTAAAACAAAGCAATATTATGAAGTACGTTGTAACTCTAATTGTTCTTTAAAGATCTTTATACAAGTTTTGTATATTTTACTATGTAAAATTATGAAAGATAATAAGAACTTTCTTCTCATTTCGTTACTCATAAAATCCTAAGCCTACTGCACTTCAGTGTTTTTGCATAATCTACCATTCTCTAACCGAATAAACATGCAAACTGTAATTAACATTACCACTGCATTTTAAATTGAAGAATTCCTCATCTGTGGAAGAAGCACAGAGAACCTGCACTAGGGGCACACAAAACCATCAAACATTAACACCATATCTTAGGAAAAATCTAGCAACAAGTAAAAACCAAAGTTACTAAAGCTAAGGATAAGAAGATTGCTAGAAATGTAACATTTGAATAACATACCGCAGGATTGATGAAGGGCTTCCCATCTAGTGATTCAGGGATAACCTATAAGAGACAAAACTAACATCAAATTATCTTTAGAACTCTTGAAGCAGGTGTCAAATTGGATAATACTGTACTATCATCGGAACAAAGTCATAAGCAACTTCGATAAATAAACAATAACTCACAGGTAAAAAACGATATTCGCGCTCCCTTTCAATAAATGCTGGAATCTGAATCCATTAAAAACAAACAATATATTGATAAATTAAAACTAAAATTTATTCCCACAAATAAATGAATTCCTGTCATCTCATCCCATATGAAGGCCAAGTTGAATCTGAAGAAGTAGCCCTCACAAATACTTGAAAGTTTTGAAAAGGCAGTACCTCTGTTATCTTTATCTCAAAAACAGCCACTACAATGATTTCACCTTCACACGGCTCAACAGAGAGGCCAGCAATTTCCTGCAACCAAACAAACCCAAGAGACTCAAACATTCCAAACCAATATCACATCATGAAAAATTAAATATAAAAATCAAGAATGAACAAATTTTGTTTTAAAACTAAAATACAAAACTGTTTTCAAAGGTTTAAACTTAAAATACATATTTGTTATCAATTTTTTTAAGTAAATGATGAGGGATGGAAAAGAGGACCTCAGTTTTGATATTGGCAACACCGTGAATGAAAAAGAAGCCTCCGACAGCGTTGAAGACACGACGGAAGCCGGTTAACTTGGCGATTTGGAAGTTAACGAGATGCGGGAAAGTGGTTTTTGCACTCTTCTCTGTGAGACAACAAAGGACATTGACACAATTAAGGTTAGTTAACGGAGAGGGACACTCACGGTTGAGGAAGAGGATGTGGTGCGTTAGTTACGACTTAGTGGAGAGGAGGGAACCGTAGCCGCAGATGGAAATGTAACCGTCTGCGGAGGCTAAGGCCTCGAAATCAGAGTGGTGATTGAGGGGAGAGAGCGTGGTGATGGCCATCGGAAGAAGATTCACCCACACCAGTGGATTGGTTGGCGTCAACGCAACAAAACAAAACAAGACTAAACTAGCATTTTATTCCTGTTTTGACTCCAGTCCACGTTTTTAAGATATTTAAAATATTATTCTAGTCTGTAATGTATTATAGTCTCTAACTTAAAAAATCGTTACAGGAAGCTAAATTGTTACGTTAAAACTAATTTGTTATTCATACAATTAAGTCACTGTAAATTATTAGTAACGAGTAACTTTATTATATGTAGATATTTAGAGTTTAGATATTTATCTTTTTAGCTTTTGTGACAGTTTCTTAACAAGTTTAGTATTAAAAATTAAAATATATGAATAAAAAAGTTACAAACTAACATAATATTTTAAATATCTTAAAAGACTAACATGTTAAACTTAAATTCTCTTAAGAGATAAAATGCTAATTTAGTTAAAACAAACAAAAATACATACACCCTTTTATTTCTGTTAAAGTATGAAAAGCAAGGTATGAGTGAGAAGTAAGGTTTAGAAGAGAATATTTTTTAAAATATTAATTGATATTTATATTTAAAGAAACTATTAATGTCAAATATATTTATTTAATAAAAGAAAATTTCTTTCCCAAGCTCTTTTTTACAAAAATCCAGAAAACAAAATAATGAAAATGAATTATCTGAAGCTAGCAAAATTGCGGCTTACAGTTCTGCTTAAGGGAAAGGTGTTTACTCTTGTACTTTCACATTTGAGGGGCATCAGATACCCTTTGTACATGGCTTAATTTTATTGATATAATTAAATTATAATTTATTTTTATTATATTTATTTTTTATTATAAAAAGTCTTTTAATATTTTTCTTATTACAAAAACTTTTTTAAAGAAATAACAAAGAACTCTGAATTTATAGGTAGGTTCTGTTCTTCTTTTTCAGCTTTTGACTAAGTTTTTTTTATCATTAATTTTCTAGTTAAATTCTTAAAAATGTTGAAATATAACTTAATTTTGTTGTTGTTGAGTTTAGATTCAAAGTTTAAAGAGTCAAAAACTAAAAATGGAGAATACAGTAATGCCTTCAACGATTTCGCTTCCACGACTCTGCTATGGTAAGCTCGGTTCATATCCTGGGAAAACCACTGAGGATATGTCTTTAGTAGATCGTCTATTCACCTTTCGGCCCTTGAGATAGGAGTTCCTAGCCTCATTTAGCAGTAAACTATTTGATCTTCTTTCTTCTACAGGCAGTTCCTAATAATCAATTTCGAAACTTCGTTAATACATTTTGCTGTCATCCGTCATGATCGTGAAGAACACGGAAGAAACTTCGAAACTCCAGACAAAAATTACAACGCTTCAAAGTAATAATCAAATGGGAAAAAACTAAGAAAGGTGTGGGTGTGTGAAGTTATGAATTGAGAACACAAATTCACATATTACCTGGATATGAGACATTTAGAAACAAAAGAAGAAGATTTCTGGAGTATAGTTCCAATTCTGCACTATATTATTTGCTGGTTTATCACATCAAAAAATGTAAATAATCTAAAAATGAACCAGTAAAGGTAGAAATAGGGTTTATATTCTTAAATTTGATTTGAAATTCAGAGAAAAAAAGTGAGTGAATAATATTAATTTTTAAATTTAAATTAAAAAATTATTTAATAAATTAATATAAGTATTTTAAAGGATTAATGAGCAAATATGTTTGACCAGAGCATGGTATGCCCCTCAATGAAGAGCACAGTAGATTTTGCCTAGGAGAAAACGTCGCTAAGTTGACATATATAAATGTGAAAAAATGGATAAGTATTTACATTAAAACTGACAAGTCTTTCGTGCGTGATATATATTATGGGAAAGGATTTTATAAATTGTTAAATGAAAAGTTCCGATGCTCATAAAACCCCCGAAAGGAAGGTTATTTTGTACGCTTATGCTTATTACACATTACAATTAATTGCTGCGCTGCCAACTATAATCGTACGTGCCGTGTCCAAGTACACCCGGATTATTTGACATAACTCGTATTACCCTGATTTAGTATCAACGTTGCAAGGGTAATCAGCTTGATTATTTATAAGCAGGTTCCCGCTATTCAGTTTTGCAAAATCCCCAATGTGGGACTTTGTGGGGATATCTCTGAAACACACCTCTCATTCTAATAGTTTATGAATGGTGCATGTGATTTTCCCTTTGTAGTTATCATTTCATTGATTTCTTGGTCTACTGTTAATATCATTTATGAATTGCTTAAGGCAGCCAACAACGGCTGTAGCAGAATATAAGAAATTATCTAATCTTAGTATTTTTGTGGATTGGCCCATAATTTGGGTGCTTGTAAGTTCAGTAGTCTCCGATGAAGACCACTTAGGCTGGGGTGTACCCTTTCCACTAGCCCAGCGTTAAAGAATGGTGGTTTGGTTTGTTTGAGGATGTTTCCCTACAAATGCTCCTCATTGCTTATGTCTAAGCATCATCAGCCAGTCAAAGAATCTTGATCTGGGAAACAGAAAATGCTTGTGCTTTTGGTTACTGAGATAAATTTACCTTCCAAATAGTTTTACTAACAAAAGAAAACAAATGTATACTCTATAGACTCAACCACAAATGCCATTTTAATTTATGAGTTTATGTACATATTTTTCCGTGTTACAAGTAAGCTGCCATGAGCGGTTCAATCATGCAGCATTCTTAACTGCTTTGGTGATTGGGAGTTGATGAGAGGGGGAACAATTTAAAAAAATGCAAATAGCTGACATATCATCCATAGCAATGCCACTTTTCTTCCGTTTCCATTCATGTATAGCACATTTCACGAGCCTTTGAGCTGCCTTTTCTTTATGTGGCGTTGCAGAAACAATCTTCACTGCTTCTTGGTTGGATATAACATCCCATACCTGAGAGATAGCAAAAGAAGTAATTACTTAAAAACACTTCAAAGATACCTTAGATTCACAATTCTTTTTACCATATGAACAAGTGGCACGCTCCCTCTAATGCCATTACAACTTTACCAATCGAGTATGATGATATCTGTCATCATACTAAAACCAATTGTTTTTCCTTTTTCTTGATACCCTTTAAACTTGGGATAAATTAAAAACTGCCCCTTAAAGTAGTCATGGTACTAAACACAAAATGCACATACCCCATCTGTTGCCACGATGACAAATTGATCCCTAGTGATAAGCTTTCTGTGTGTCACATCTGGCACAGATATTAGTCCAAAGTCCTTCACACAGTAGTCACCAAAAGCTCTAGATATTGCTAGTCCTGGAGTTTTAGCGTTTGGCATCCAGACCCTGTATACTCCTGGTTCATCTTCCAAAGAAAATACCAGTCCTCTGGATTGTGTTATGCGCTCTGCTTCCTCTGAAATCAACAAAAACAAGACTCATATTTTCTTCAACAAACAAAATAATTTTATGTGCGAGTGTGTAAGAGAGAAAATTCTCACGTGGTAAATTTGGCTTGAAGTCAGTGGTAAGCTGATGTGGAGTTAATTTGCCATCCTCTGAAGTGGTTGCCAACACAGCCCTAGAATCACCTACATTTGCTATAATCAGATCCTCACCCTGAAACATCGGTGACAAACATTTTCAGGCAGTATTGATATATCAAAGTGAGATATAGTGTCATCAACAGTTAAGAGCAGTTTATTTTCTAATCCCGTGTAATGTCATCAAAATATCTTATGTCTTCGTTATTGATTCAAGACTAGGATTAGATACTCAGCTATAATTTATTTTAATTTTTCTTCTTAATCAGAGAAACTTTAGAGATTGTCTTTTCTAGTAAAATACCTCACTTCATTGAAAATATATTAAAGAAAAAGGAACTTCAGACATTGAAAGCATAATATGTGTTGAAAAAAAAAATGTAAAAGTTGGAAACATGTTGCCCAAAACACTACAAGATTCAGATAAGTAAATCAAATATATCAAAACTTGAAAATAACAGACCATGTGAATATAGATAACCTGTTTGATGATTGTCAAAGCTGTAGTGCCACTTTGGAAGGAATCAATCCCAGTGTGTTGCTTCAGATCCTGATCCACGGCAGCACAAGTCTTTATATAGGATTGCTTCCATAAGTTCAATCCATGGATACTTTTGTCCCCCTCCATTTTGAAATCCAGGTCAAGTGATGTTGCAGCCAGATTTTCTTGCCAATTGCAGAGCAAAAAGGCTGGCACAAGCTTTCTGACCCTTTTGGCAACAAAGTGTCCCCAAGGGCCATGTCCATCAAAAATTCCGCAGAACATCATGTCTTGTTGGCAACCAAATTCCTAGCATCATCAACAGCAAACAAAGTAGAACATTATGATAATTCCTACACTAAGCCAATTTCTCAAAACTCCACCTACGTTGAAAAAAGTGTTGCCATACCTCCCAAACAACAAGACGATCCTGGTTGACTCCTTTCTGGCCCCTATTAGTGAACACAGAAACAAAACTATCGGCCTTAGGGGACTTAATAACTCCAGATGAAAGCAATAGCAATTCATTCTTCCTTGCTTCCTTTGCCAATTCTTCCACAGCTTTCCATTCATCATCCTTTTGACATCTCTTCTCTTTCTTGATTGACACACTTCTCGCCAATCCGTTGACAAAAGAAGGAAAAAGAACCATGATAACTACATTCCAATCACAGTTACAGGTTATGCACACTTAATTTCTAACAGAAAAGCAAATATTTGTAACCTGATAGTGAAGGAGCTTGAAGCTCATCACTTTTTTCACTTATCTATTTCAGAAACAGAAAACTAATAGAGTACAGTTTTTACTAGTAATTATTCATGATAAGAACATGATATGTATGTGATATATCAGCCTCCAAAACGAGATATATGAAATGCGGATAAAAAAGAATGGTCATTTATTTTTTATATATAGATATATTTCCTAACTTTAACTCGTCGAAAAATCAAATGAAATGAAAGTGCAAGTTTTCCAGTTATCCGAAGAAAGCTTTTTTCCTTTGTGTGTAATCTTTCCTTTAACATAAAGGACGATGAACATGAATTCATATCCACTGAAAACTCAACCAGAGTAAATGAAAGAAGATATATAAGACCATGATTTCCCACTGAATTTGAGGAAGAAAAAGAATGAATTATATATATGCCTGTGATTTGTAATTAGTCAATCCAAGCCTGAGGAAATGAGGGAAGAGTACTCTGAAGCTATACTCTTGATTCCAAGTTCCAAGCGTAATCACTTCACGATTGTACCTAGATGTGACTTACTTCTTGTAATTGTAACTTTGTAACGTGAGTGGTAGGTGATTTTACCATTCGTACCCTTTCATTGGCCGCCATAAGCTACAGAACAGGTGGGCATTTTGGACAACGAAAGTTTATTAAACCCTATACTAATTAGAGTATTTAATATCAATACGTTGTAAAACAAGAGCTGACAAAATTAATGAAAAAAGAACAATAAAAGGACAACTATTGTCTTACGAGGTCGGTGTTTAACAACTACTATTTAGGGAATTGACAAGAACGTAAAGCATTAGCTAACCTATTTCTGTGGATGCAATTCGATAGTAGTTAGTGGTTGGCTAAAAAAATTGATCCTTCATCTTTTCTTTCAGGTTTTTTCTTTTTCTTTTTTTATATCTTCGATCTTTTTGATTAAACACGAAAACAAATAGACTGGACACTTAAATGAGACTTGATCTGTTGAGATATTTTAATAACACATCTTCAGTAAAATATACCAAACACAAGGCTATCGCTCGGCCAGTTGTTCTTAGAGGGGCCCGGGAAGCCAAGGGTCAATACAAGTGTGCGCTTGTGGATATACAAAACAAACAAAGTGGATGGACCATGAAAAAAAAAGTGGACATTTGTGGTATAATGGGTGATGACCCACCGTGGACTTCGGTAAATTACCAAGCAAATATTCATGGCTAAGGTTGCTTTAGGTGGAGCCCTGACTGTAATATTAGACGAATAGCGACTTAGAAAACAATATGTTGCCCAAAATAAAAGGAAGGATGCATAATGGTGGGGTTGGAATAGAATAATAAAACATAATCATTTGATATATTCTTTTGAAATTATGAAAAAAATAGATAACCAGAAAGTAAACACCAATAAACAATTTAATCGATGATTATTTTTTATAATAAAAAAATAAGGACATGCTTTACAAGAACATCTAAACTAAATCCTCTTCACAAGAAATTCTCCAAGTAATAATTTATAAACCTCGTCCAAAAAAAAATTTCTCTGATGATTTTCGCATACTTAGACATCATATATTTTAATGGAAAATTTGAGCAGCATAGCACTCCCTCTCGTCGAAAGCAGGTCTAAGATTTTCTAAACATAACCCTTCCATTATGATAAGTTTCCAACGTTCGAGGGACTATTCCTAAATCAATGGTAGTAGGACCCATTTTTCCTTTCCAAAAAGTTTGGTTTAATTCTGTCTAAAAGCAAATGTGCTGAGTTAGGAATTTTAAAAAGCATATAAGGATAAGATAATATGAACGAAAGAAGATTCACTAATCCATAGGCTAAGCACGGAAAACGAATCAAATGATCACTGCTACCTATAACATAGTTGGTGTGCATCAGATCGTTGGGAAAAGACATCCTGGTAAATTGTGGCATTTGTCTACAAAACGGGCCAGCAACAACTATCAGTGTTCTTACTCTTAGTTTTTCTTATGTTCACCTTGATACAGGAGTAAAAAGCGGGTAAAAGATTCGTGAATCAAAATTTTCTTAGTGCGTGATTCATGAATAAATTCTATCAATAACATTGCTTCAAAAACTTAATTCGTGATTTTGTTTTCACCCCCGTCTCTGGTTACACCCATACCAAACTAACCCTTACCTAAGTAAATATATTGTTTATTTTATTTTATTTTGTCCCAGATGCTAAGGAACTTACTGTCCTAAGATGGTAGAGTTAAATTGTTTGCATGATAACTAAACAGATAAAACTTGAAACAGATCTCTCTTAAACAATTCAATCATAATGCAATTTGATTAACTCCCCAAGGGATTGGGCTAATATTGTAAAATTATGGCCATTTTGATAACATGAAGGAATTATTGAGTAATTTATTTTTTATATATATAGTCATGTTTTTATTTATTTATTATTAATTTTCATGTGTATAATTTTAAAGCAATTTATTATATTCTATCAACTAAACCATGTTGGCTTGCAAACTGTAGTTTGTAGGCCAGTAATTTTATGGGCCTATTTATTTTGCAGACCGACTTAGTCTAACTTGTTTGAATAACGATTTGTCTCAAATAGTTAGTTGGTGTGAGTGAAAATTAAGATACACTTTAGAGCATAATTATTTGTGAAAGAAAAAATTGTAAATTTAGTGTGCTAAGAACGTTGGTTAAAGAATAAAAAAAATATTTTCTTAATTAACGTTTTTAGAAAATTGGTTAACAAAAACACATAATAAATATTATAATAAGAATTTTTTTGTACTAGAGTGAATGTTATATCAATTTAAAGCATCACAATATATTTAAAAGATAACTGCTACATGCCTACATATAACGTACCTGTTGAACATTTTTTATATTTATATTTTGTTTATATTCTCGCTTTTGTGGATTTCTAATATCTTTGTTGTTGTTGTTGCCATACAGACATTTTTGTAACTAGACTCAATAATTAGATCCATGTTTTTATTGACCTGAGAGAAAACACACATACAAATTGCAAACAAGAAATGCAAAACAACTACTCTGTAGAAAGTTGAGATTTACCAACATCTCTTGCTTTCCAATTTCCATCCATATAAAAACTGATCCATTCTTCAACTCCTATAATTACGCCAATCTGAAGATGCATATATAACAATTAAAGGAATTAAAGCTGGTGTGAGAGTTATGCATTACTCTAACCTATAAAATATAATTGAAATATGACAACAATGTATTTTTTATATTATTATTTATTTATACATTCTTATATCATTAGAAAAAATTAATTTTTACCGTATATTAAAATTATATGTATGATTTTTTAATTAGTTGATAAAAAATATTTAAAGCAAAGGATATTAAAATTAAACTCTTAAATATTTTGTGGTCAATCAACAGTCAAGCTAATACAAGATAAACAAGAAACAGGGGTGATCCATGTAGTTGTCCATTCTTGAGCTGGGCTAATAATTCTACAGAGAAGGACCTCAACTCCAAGTTGTCATACCTTAAAAGGCCTAGAAGCCCAATCGAGTCATTGAAAATCGCTACACCACCAGTACGACATCACGTTTTTCGAAAAACGACGTGTAGCAATTTCATGGTCAACCTGACACGTTTGCATTTGGGGGAAACCTGTAGTCTTCATATCTCACAAGGAACCTCAATCCTTTTCCGATTTCTATTCCGCTTCTTCTCATATTAAATAAAATATTAAATTTGAAAAAATAAAAGTAAATATATTTGCAAATTAACTTCTCCGCTTCCAGTCGCGTGAAAATCACGATGATCACGATGATGATGGTCGCCGACACTGTAGCAGTAACCGCCGCCAAAGGTCTCGCCGTCCTTCGCATCTGTCAATCCACCTGTACCTTTTCCATCGCCGATTCCGGTGCCGACCAGATCTCGGCGATGATTCAGGCCTACGACGCCGTTGCGCCGCCTCCGGTGAAGCCAAGCACGTACAGGATACCACGTCGAACACTTCTCCGGAGAAAACGACGAACCAGACGCAAGTTGTCGGGCGATGACTCCGGGGACGCCGGGAACGAGGAGTTCTTCTTCGGTGACGGCGGCGATGGTCCTTTCGGCGGTGGCGGAGGCGGCGGGTTCGGTGGCAGTGGCGGCGGTTGGAATTTCAATAGATTTGGGGGTGGTCATAATTGGGATGAACCCTCATCTTCGTTGCCGGATCCTGCGTTCGATTTCGTGTATCAGGTGCTGTCGTGGATTATGCTTTCGAATTGTTTGCATTTTGCGTTCAAGAAGATTGTTCGAATTGTTGCGGCTGGGTCGATTGTGGATTCCGATAGGGAAAAGGTTCCTGCCAGATTGGCTCCAATTTGCTGATTTGGTACCTTGTTAATGTGTTCATAATTGCGCTTTGCTCCCCTATTTAATTGGGCATTTACTGTAAATAACTTAATATGTTGTATATAATTTATATCATTTAGTATCTAATTCCATGGTAATGATGACATGCTTAGAGAATCATTTATAATAATTTGATAGATAGTTCGGGCACATAGACTCGTTTACAGTTATGTTATAATGGTTCTAGGTTGAGTGATTAATTGCTACATTATTTGAGGTGGTACTGTATCCTAATCCAAGTCGAGGCATGCCCTTTTGTATGTTATATCTTATAATCCCTGATTCATGTTTTAGACAGTAATACGATAGAGTATAGAGAGACAGGAGATTTTTGGATGTTCCTTGGTAACAGCTTCAATCATCAATGCCAAGGTCGCATTACTTTTCAACATCCTTTTTTCTGTGCCAGCAGTGTGTACGATTTACAATGTTTGCTGTAAAATGTATAATCAGTTTTGATGTTGCGTTTAGCGTGTTGTACTACTATTTGTTTTGTTGGTTTCAATAGTTAGCGTTGTTGAAAAATATTCCTTGTCAACCTGGTCCTGGTGTATGGTTCGTAGCAGATAGAATATGGGATTTTTTGTATATCATTATATGATCGATAATCAATAACTCATTGTGCTTTTGTTCTGCTCTTGGTGATTATTTATAGCACGTAGATTAGGGATTTTATAAAATGATGTTCGATTGACTATTTGTGTATTTGAACGGAATGACCAATATGTGTGTTTTTAGGATTGCCCCACAAATGTTTCTTCCCGACTTCGTCAAAAAGAGGCAACTAGATTCTATTTTGTATGGTTTTGTTTCCTTCCTTTGTTCTCTTTGTTGGTTGTTCTTTCTTGGGTACCATGTTGAAGTCTTGAACATGACGGGGCCTTAAAAAAATGTATAAGTATCTTCCTGGTAGCAAATGCAAAAAATTTAAACATGATGAGTGATATTAGAGAAAACATGTATACGGTGTCAAAATGGTGAAATTGGTTGGCAGGAGTTACGAGAGTTATTCGGCATATATGTTATTTGACCAAAACAAAAAGTTACCTAGCTCTTTGCTGTGCAACTAAGATATATAATAATAAGAAGAACAAGAACAAGGAGAAGAAAAACAAGAAGAAAAAGAACAACAACAACGACGAGAAGAAAAAGAACAAGAAGAAGAATGACAACAGCAACAAAAAGAAGAACAAGAACAAGAGAAGCTCTTGTGTGTTTTTAGGCTTGCCCCACAAATGTTTCTTCCCAACTTCTGTCAAAAAGAGGCAACTAGATTCTATTTTGTCTGGTTTTGTTTCCTTGCTTTGTGCTCTTGTTGGTTGTTCATTCTTGGGTACCATGTTGAAGTCTTGAACATCTCGGTGCCTTCAAAAAATGTTCTATGTTGAATCACCAATTGACAGGACTCCTAAGACTTGGCTCTCTTTTTTGGGCAGGGCATCAAATACATGTATATTTACCAATTAACCAAGTATCTTCCTGGTAGCAAATGCAAAAATTTTAAACATGATGAGTTATATTAGAGAAAACATGTATATGGTGTCAAAATGGTGAAATTGGTTGGCAGGAGAGAAGAAGAAAAATAAGTTGAAATTAAGCCTCAGTTGAAATTATGCTTCTTATCTCTCTGCCTCCATCTATTTCACACCCCATTTTACGGGTGCAAATGGATCATTTCCGGAGTAACAATTATAATTATGCTAGATAGTCTGATAACAAGTGTCTTATCGGGGAGTGATATTGTTCCACTTGTTTAGTAGACCATTTTGTTTGTAGTAGCAGCGTGGTATTTAGTAGGAGAAATTGATGTTAGCTTCAACTTTGAGGCTTAATGTTTGTTTGGTCATATTTTGCTTACTTTGGATAGTCCAGATAGTAAGGCTGAGCCCTGGGCAATGCAAAACTGAACTGAAATTGCGTAGTATAGTTGGTTTAGGACTGTTAGGGAATGTTGACATCCCAAGGGACTAGGATTGGCAGAAAACTAGTTGGATACTTGGATTGAAGGTTTGTTGAGCGAATGAGATAGTAAGTTCTATTAGCAGATATAGTTCACTGCATAGATAGACCATCGTAGTTGCTGCCCTGTGATATTAATTTGCTGGTTTGTTTATTTTTAGGTTAAAATCATACAATTTGAGGGATGGATCTATTACTCTAGAATATTTATTGTCATTTCTCTTCAGTAAATGAATACCCAGTTGCAGCGCAGTAGTACTGTTAAGGCAACGGTAATTTTCTTTTTGTAAAGTATAGATTAGTAAATGAATACATTCTCCTTTACATATTCTCTTTTTTACAAAAATTCAATAAGATATATTGAACAAGTTACAAAAAGAAAGAAAGAAAAAGTATAACACACGAGATAGTTGAATATAACAAACTAGAAATAGTAGTAGTAAAACGGGCGCGAAAAATGCAAATATGAGCCTAACACTAGGCCTGGACTTGAATTTGTTGCTCCACTGGACCTTCGATTTGGGCTGCAGTTTCTTTCTGCAGGCCTTTTGTGGATATAAAATTGGATTTTTATTCAATCACCTGAGACTTCAATCTTTTACACATTTGACCGAAAAAGAAAACATTTACACTTTGTTTAAAACTTAAAAATAGAAAAGTGCACACGTCTTAAAAACACAAAGGAGGAAAAAGATAAATTATTGGGACCCGTGACAAAAGCTTCTCCCCTCACTTGGCAAGAGTTACGAACCGTGTAAGGGAGTTTTCTCGTCTCCATTTGATTCTACAACGAGCAAAATGGACTAGCTCAGCTAGGTCAACCTGATAAAACATTATACTGATTAACAATTTTGTAAAGTTAATTGGCCCCTCAACTTGGTCTCTGTCGAGTTATGTAACAGCAACAAGGTAATAGTTGTACTATGTATCAACTTACTATAATGTCTACGCTATGATTAATGTAAAAATTTGGTTTCTTGTTTGTTTCTTTTTTAAGTTTAGTGAATTTAGTTTTTTTACTATGTTTTTACCTTCTAACTTCTATTTTTTTCATTATTTATATTTTTTTACAAATAAAATAATTTTTTAAGTTGAATTTCATTAACCAAAATATAAATTTTGATTAAAAAAAATAAAAAAAGGGTTTTTACTTTTGCAAACCTAATCTCATTTTATAAAATTCTGTAAATTTTATTGTTTTAAAACTTTTTAACCCTTTAACTTTTAAAATTTCAATTTTATTTCATGTTTTAATTTCATTCCACAACTCTAATTTTGTATTTAAAAACAATAATTAAAAATTTTTAAGTAAAGAATTAATGGATGATCAAATTTACGTAATCATAAAAATAGAGAATCTTAATTAAGTAAAATAAACTAAAAACCAAAATACACAATCCAAATTAAATAAGCTTAACTTAAAGTCTATATTATTTTCGATGGTTTAATTTATCATGTCATGCACTGCTTAACATCCATTTTACCTTAACAATAAATTTTAATATATTATAACCCATTGAGTAAATTTTTAGATAAATCCTTATAAAAGACTAATTAACATAAAATATGAATAAAATTATTTTATAAGTTAAAATTTTTGTTTTTCTATTTTTTGTGAAGTTCATTTATTTAACTTCTATAAAATTAAAAAATGTAAGTTATTTCTAACTTATGAAAAAAAAATTATTTTTATATTTTTTTATAAAAACTTTTATAAAAGTTTACTCAATCGGGTCAACATAGGTAAAATTTTAATGAATCTCCTTGCAAAATTAACTAAAATATACATATAACTTATATATTCAACAACCTGCAGTTTATATTCGTTCAGAATCCCTATAAATAAAGTCTTTATATGAATGACACACTTAAGTTGGTAATGAAAATAACATGCAAATAGACCAAAAAAACACGTCACTAAAAATAAAGAATATGTTTCCTTTTCGTATTCATTAAGATATCATGTCATGATAGAAAATTTCAATACCTATCTACTGAGAAATTTGTTTGACGGGAGTAATGATTATGGTGGTGAGCAATAGCAACGAAATAGTTTAGATCCATGTACCACATCCCATTTGTGAATTTGGATAAACGCAAATATACTGTTCCCCGAAATATTTCTTTCACATCTCATTTACTCCGACGTAGGACACAAACATCATAGTAAGTGTTTTCTTCATTGAATTAATCCGAAGGATAGATTCCATACCAAATATTGCAAGTTGATTCTTTGTTTATCATTAAATATGTGCAAATAGACAAAATAAATTATTTTTATATTCCCAGTTGACATTGTGTCCACTTCAAGGAACCCAAATTCCAACTGAAAATGACTAGGTTAACGGCTTAATTATAAGGATTTGTCCTTTGTGAACCAAAAAAATTAAGAATTTGTTCTCTAAAATAAGCCAAGTTACATGAACCTGAATATTTTTTTGGACGTACATGAACCCTTTTTTTTTAAAGAAAGACAAACATGAACGGCCTGAATCTTAAACTGATACATTGTTTTATAAAACATTTTAGTTCTCTCTATTAAATTTTCGTGATTAAAGAATTCTTATTTCTCTCATCTGTTTGGTTCTACTGTTGTCTACGTATTTTTCATGATTTATATGATCGATGGTGGATTCTGCGTTTCCACGGACTAAACAACTTTTTAATTTATACTACGGTACGCAATTGGATATATTATTGTTTTTCCTGTCTGCTACAAAGAATATGACTTTTTTTTTTATGACAAAAGAACAATTCCATATGATCATGACTTAAAAATTAAATAGGTCTATTTTGTTTCTTGTCAATGTAAAATGTTTTATTAATTATCATTTAATCATATGTCATGTTATTAAATGAGTTTGGTCGATCTCTTACATAATTATACCATCGTACTAAATTAATTTTATTAAAATAGTATTATAAGATTAAAGTATATAATCCACAAGAAAACTGCACTTATAAATAAATTAATTTATCCCTTTATTATATATACACATGATTGACATATTTCATTTGATCAAAGGAATATATTAACTAAATTGTACACAAATTAGAGTAAAAATATAATAACTAGAATGTTAATGATGCAGTAATTATGTAAATATTAGAACGGAGAATAATAACAATAGCTTCAATATTATTAAAAAAATATTGAAAATAATAAAAAAGCTAACTTTAATGCTTTATCGCTTTATGCATACCTCATATATTTATCACTGTGTTTTTTTTCCACCATCTCATGTAGTGTATAACAAAGTTCACTTTGTTTGAATGTGATCGACGAATAGAAATTATTAACCTCAAATTTTAAGCCTAGATTTATAATAATAAAATTAAATAAATATTAAGATGCTGTAGTGTCACTTTAGTTAAGATCTAATGCACTATATGTTTGGGTCCCACTCTACGAAAATGAAGCTTGGTTCATGCACCTTTTTTTTTTAATTTCAAGTCAAACTAATTTATCGGTTGTGCTGGTTACCAGTTACTATGCTGTCCATCTAGCTTAAAGCATTAGCGTGTTTAGTAAAATAATAGCATGAAATGATTTTTTTTTTTTTTTGGGGTTCTTTCTTATTTAATTGGTTTAAAAATTTATTTGATTAGATTATGTTTATTTAGTTAGAAAGATTATTTTAGTAGTTTATAATATCTTTTAACATAATTTGAAATGCTGTTCTTTTTAGTGTCCGTGTTGATAAACTTCTGTCTTAATTAACTTTTAAAACAAATTTTAAATGTTTTTAAATACATAAGTTTATTTAAAAAAAGTGACAGTACAGATTTTAAAATAAAAAATATTTATCCGCTATTTATCAAAAACTAATTTTCACTGATAAATTAAATAAATAAAATTTAAACTATATAATATTACTTATGATAAAATTTAATAAATAATAAAAAATTAACTTAAAAATTAGAACATTTAGTAACATTAATATATTAAATTTTATCATTTTAGTAAAAAATTATATATAAAATTTCTTATTATTTACGACAATGCACACGTTAAAAATCATTAAATAAGACAGAGGTGTAACCGAGTAAGCTGTTGCAACACTTTTGCCACCTTCTCGACTGCAAAATCAGTGCAGCCCGCTTCAACTAAACCTTAATTATTGTTTCATCTTCCTACTGATCAGTCTTTCACAACTACTGGTAAATCAAAAAAAGGTGTAAAAGATTGATAATGATTGAACCTTGTTTTTAGTGAAACATGTCTCCTGAGGTAGCTTGTCAACTAATGATAATATCGATTTGGAAACATCATGAGACCAAAATATCATGCCACTCGTTTTCCTTCTAAACAAAACCGAATTGAATTCAATCTGTAATTTATCTGTTACCTAACTGATAATTGTTTTTGGTTTAATGACTTTGTTTAAATGGTTTTTTAAACCAAACTCGAGTAGTTTTATCATTTTTTTTTACTAAAAAATGTATACAAAAATATTTGTCAATTTGAGGTAATATTTACCACTTGATCGACCATAAGATTATTATCAGTATTTTTATTTATTTATTTTTTGCGTTGTACCTCTACAACTAATACAATAACATACTTGCGGGAAGTGCAACACATGAAAACATATACAAAAATAAAAATTACAGTCACGTAACATATGGTGAGTTTCATATGTTAAATAGGTGCAACTCACTTCATGTTCTTACATGACAACCATGCAAGATTTACGTTAAAATGTTTAACAAAGATTTTATTTGAACACTAAAGATTAGTTAGCAGTTAACCCATTTAAATACTGTGTAAAATTTACTTGAGTCTGGGTTTCAAATTTCCACTTTCAATCATAAACGAGTTTCGTAGTTCAAAATTGCCAAAACTGCTGAAAAAACTTGGAAGTTGGAATTTGAACCCATGCACAAGTAATTTCGACAAGTTACGATCGAGTTAACTTATGTAACTAAATTTTTTAACGCTCAGTAGAATATTGTAATACGACACTTGCATGATAATATAAAAAAGTTTTAAAAAATATTTGAATGCATTTTTCAAACGCTGAAATGAATAAAAATGATAATAAATTAACCCAACTCCAAAAACAGCTTCAGGGAATGGTATATATAATGACCTAATGACAAGTTCGTTACTTTCATCCGATTGATGCACCGACATCAGAGTTTCAGGAAACCAAGCATACGAAAAAAGTCCATAAAACGACATACATGTACGAGCGTGACGCAACCATGCCACACGCCCCTTCTATTTTTTATTATAAAAATAGTAAATAAGACATCCGAGTACGATGCACTTAGCGTTGGTCCGTCCAAAGCAAAAGCAGAACAGCATGGAAGAAAAACACGCAACGCAGTTATAATTTTTACAGTGGCCACGCCAGTTAATTTCAAAGACCCGTTTCAGAAGAGGTGGCGGTTGGGCATAACCACGTCGTCCAGAGTCCACAGGTCAGTGGAGACGGAGTCCCAATCTCCCAGTGGCTGCTGCAGCTCATGGTCCAGGCCCAGGAACGATTCCAGCGACGATATTTGGTTCTTGAAGGCAGGATCATGGGCCTGCGGGTTGAAAGCCGGTAGCCCAATGGGCTGAGTGGAGTCAGGGGTGGAGCAACGCTTCTTCGGAAAGTTGAGCTTGGCCTTGTCTCCACGGATGCGCTTAGCGGCGGCGTCGTAAGCGCGTGCGGCTTCTTCGGCAGTGTTGAAGGTCCCAAGCCATACTCTTACACCCTTACGTGGATCCCTTATCTCCGCCGCCCACTTGCCCCATGGCCTTTGCCTTATTCCTCTGTACACGTTCTTCCTTACGCGCTCATTCTTTCTCTCACTCTCACCGCTCTTACCTTTTCCCTTTTCTGTTACCGCTCTTTTCTTCTCACATGCCACCACTGCCACTGCAAGCATAAAAAATTAATCGTTTTATGTATTTGTTTATTATGAAGTATAGGAAAATCGGAAAAACAAAAAGTTCTCTACTTAACATTAAATGATATACCGATCTCCTTTTTTTCATGGTGTGTAGGGATGCTTGATGAAAGTTTGTGACTATAATAAACTTTTCTTTTTCTTAAGAACTATATCAAGTGTGCTACCTTTCTTTTCAATGAATAGAAAAAACGTAAACAAGAGAATCATCTATGTTTTGTATACTGAACAAAAAAAATACATGGCTTCAACTTCACTCCAGAATGAAGTATCTAACTAAAACAATTGAAGAATAACATTAAACTGACCTAACCGGATGGATGTGGACTCCATGAGGTAGAGAGTGGGAGATTCAGGTATACGAGAAAGGAGATGAAAGAAACAAAGGAGTTTGGCTTTTTCATAAAAGAGAAGCTAAAAACCTGGAACTGAACTAATGCAACACTCGATCCTCGTATGAACTGAGTATGATATGATGGGTGTTGTTGGGTACGTACCTTTGTTGTTGGGAAGCTGAAGAGGGAGCTTTGGATGATGTTTGGAAGAAGAGGCGGTGTCGAAACCAAGAAGATCAGAGAAAGGGTCAAGCTCAGAGCAGAGGTGATGGGTGGTCAATTTCCGGCCACACTTCAAGTTGGTATCGATGAAATCAGAAATGATAGCACCCCCACACATTTTCACAGAGAGTTGAAATTGGGACACTGATTGCTTTTTTAGGACAAATAAATACGAGAGAAAAAGGTTGTCTCAAGTCTAAATTTATAGAAACAAGTATAGTGTTGCTCACATCAACACAACATCTCTCGCACCACACGCAAGTGGACAAATCATGGATCACGTATCTCGTCCACCATCATTATTAATACAAAAGTTAGTGAGAGTAACTAAGAAGATATTATTTAACACATCTTTTAATATATTTTTAATTATTTCATTAAAGTTATAAAAATATAAAAAATATGAATTAAAAACATAAAACTCACATAAATTTTATAAATTTAATTAATAATTTAAAATATAAAAAATTAAAAAAATACAGTAGCGTAACATTTGTCGCAATACTCTTCTTATTATTAAATGAATTTATCCCACTTCTGTTAAAAATTTAAACTTTTTTTCATTAAACGACAGGATTTAAATTTACTGTTATAATTTCTTTTTCTACTGTGCTACAAAATCTAATAAAGAAAAGAGGAAGGTTATCAACACATTTTTTTAACAATATTTTAATTATTTATTAAATTTTATTAAAATTATAAATTATAAAAAAAAGGTTAGGTAAGAATGGAAAAAGGACTTATATAATTTTTAATAAATTTTAATAAATATTAAAAAATATAAAAAAATTGGTTATAAAATATATTACTTATATTTTTCTGAAATATCATATGGTTGAGTTATTAAGTATTTATTAAAGGTTGAAGTTATAAAAAAAAAATGATAATGAAAAACAGGCAATCATGAAATATAATATTTTTCAATCTTATGAACCAGGGAAATTTAAGTCTGATCAGAATGTAGTCACGCTCAATAACTTTGACTACTCATAAATATTGGGATATATTTTAAATAATAAAGTGTACAATAATAATTGCCAATTAAAAATAACGGTTAAAATTTAATAAATTTGAGTTTATTTTATAGGAACATATTATCTTAAAAATTGTATAATCGTTAATATACTTTTGTCTTTAAAGGAACTCTGACAAGTCAAAATTGATCTCAATTCGGGATTCCCACCACATAGCTTTAAAGAAGGTTGGGGGCTGCCCATTTTGACTTATTTACTGAACCTGGTGAAGAAGATGTCCACGTGGCATGTATTGGTTGGGTGAGCTTAGCCCTACGATGGTCTTGCAGTTTAGGAAGTCCGTCGGAAGGTGGTGATCGGTGTAAAGTATTGGATAAATGCGTAAAAGCATATAAAAACCACAATTTTCTGTTGCTGGTTTCGTCACTCTTTTGGTCCCCTACCTTGTTTTCAAATAGCTACTATCACCGTTCCTTTTATGTAATCATCGTCCACCTGTCCTGTGGATATATATTTTTTAAGGTAGCTTTATTTTTTCATTTTTTGTGAATTTAATTAGATACTCCCATATATCTAACGACTAAACAGAGATGTAAAATATTCATGCTCTGCTCTGTCTTGATGCTGCTTTGATTTGATCTCATGTTCTCTCCAGAAAAGAATCACAACCATTTATTTTAATTTTTATATATTAAAATTTTAATAAAACATAAACATTAAAAAAAAACTGATAAATCTCGACTAAGGCAATCCTAGTGACAAAAGTAGCATAGAATATTACTTAAGTAGGTAGCCAAACCAGCAAGTGACATCAAGATGGAAGTGAGTGAGGAGCATCACAAAAGTGAAAACTGGAGCCATACTTAATTTTACAAGCAAACAAAATCGTCCATGGAACGTCGGAACAAAAATTCTGTAAATCACAGCTTCTTTCCATAGAGAACTAGAACACTTCATAATTTTAAGAAACAACAAATGTATGCAAGCGGTCCAAACACGAGAGAACACAAATAAAAAAAGAATAGGGCAATTCTATTAAGTTCAAATCTGGGTGAAGGAAATCAAGAATGTTAATTTGAAGGCATATAAACCATACATCGAATACACCATATGATGCGTGACAACAATCTAGAGCAGTTCATACGTATCACCCCCTAACTATCACAGCAAAGGAACTGGGGGTTGAACGTGGTGTAAAAACCTATTATATAGCGGAATAATTGGAGGAGAAAAAAGGACAATAGAATTTCTACTCGGCCATCTTAGCCAACCGGTGAACGGTGCTTCTAGCAATCCTATTGCCAGGATCAATCTTCAGCACAGTCCTAAGGTCTTCAGCCCCAAGTTTGTACTTTTCCATACTCTCGTACAAGAGAGCACGCTGTACCAGGACAGATACATTGGTTTCATCATTTTCAAGAACCTGCACAACATAATGCTGATCAAAACATTCTTCCTCATAGTATGATATGGAGATCAAGAAAACGTGGTTCAATTAATCATAAAGGGCAACCTAAATATGTAGTGGGGCCCGGCAATAAGCTAATGATGGAATTTAAAGCCCCACAAATTTTACTAACACATGGAGATTTGAGCAAAGAGTTGTTCAAAATTAATTCTGAAATTTCTAGAGACATGATGTATGTTTTTATTCCAAGCATTAGTTCCAAGAAATAACACTAATTAGGAATTATTTCCTTAAATTAAACTAAGGCATTACATATTTATGGCTCAAGACATGATTCTTGAACTTGTCAAAAACTTTTATTCAAGAAGGTGGTGTATCAGAATAGGTTGCAAACAACAAATGAAAAAGATGAATTTGGCTCCTTTAAAGTGAGGGATTCAATTTAGAGGGAAAAGTGAAGCGTTATAAATTAAGTAAATCAAGAAAGTAGATATAAACAACTTCATTGTTATACATGAGCAAATATTTTATCATATTTTCAGCTGTTGATTTTTCAATTGATGGTTCTAATTCTTCATTTTTTCTAAAGTGAATCCCTAGCCCTAAAAATCATTATCTCAAGCCCACCACACCAAAGTTGCTAGATTTTCTAGGAGCAGCTTCAGAGCTGGTTATTTGATCCACCTTTATTTAGAACAACCTGCCTCCAATATTCCTCAAACCAAGTTTCTATCTTTGACTCTGAATATTAGGACTATTGGAGTGACCAAATGAAGATTTTCATCATTTCCCAAGATCATTGGAATGTTGGAGAAGAAGGATATCAAGAACAACCACAACTGGTGGCTTTGCAAGGAAATCAACTAAAGCAGTACAAAGAAGCTATGCGGAGTGATGCAAGTGCAATAGCATTTGTCCAATAATTCTTGGCATTGAAAAGGCAAGTGAAACTTAGGATTTTCAGCAGACTAAGAACAAGGGCATGAAGAAACTCGTTCAATCAAGACGTAAAAACTTCAGAAGGATTTTGAGTAGTTGTTCGTCGTAGAAAGTGAAAAGGTATGTGATTTCTCCAGTAATGCAGTTGAGATTGTTAATCAAATCTAAAGTTACGGATATAGTAGTCCAGAAAAAATTTGTTGAGAAAGTTCCTAGTAACTTGCCACAAATTCAATAATATAGTAGTCAACCTAAAAGATTCCTTAGTTATTTTCTACATATACTATGCATGATTCAACAAACTCTCTTGAAGCACACTTGGATAAAAGAATGGATAGATTTTTAGGTCAGCCTTTAGAGCCATTCTTACAATCAAAGGAACATTTTTCTTAAATGAAAGGTGTGCAAAGAAAATGGGTGTAGCAACAATCAGCCACAAAGGAAATTGGGAATATCCAGTAGAGGACGTGGGAGGGGAAGGTCAAAGCAAGAAAGATAAAAAAGCAATGACAAGAGCACTCTCTAGTTCCCTATTTGAATGAGAAAACAATCAAGACAACAACCATTGCTGGTTAAACAATGTGCCAGATGCATAAACTCAGGTCACAAGGTGATATTATCCAATGAAGGAGAAGAATGAAGCCTACTTTCCATAGAATATGGAAAGCAAATCAGAGCATATTTTCTATGTATCTAGCAATTCAAAAGAGGGAGGAGTCTGGTATGTTGTTCGTGGCTACATCAGTGAAATATTTTTCGTCATGATGCATGTTTTAATCCCTAGATCCAAGAATTAGTTCCTAAAGATAAGGCACTGTGTATTTATGGTTCAAGTACGTTCAACCTTTAAAGAATCCTATATAAGTAGGTGATGCATGGGTTGCAAACTGAGACACAAAGATAATAAGAAGTTTCTTTTCATCTCCTAGCTCCTAATTTGTTCTATCATACCTTACATTTTCAACAGAATCTAATATTTCCTACCAATATTAATCTTGTTTAGGTTACTTTTTATCTTCGCTCTTTTACATCTCCAACTTTTTAGCAAATACCATATCACGATTCAGCCAGCTTATTTATTATTTTCAAAGGCAGAGACAGCTCTTTTAAATTATCCAACAATTCAATCTTAAAAACACCGTTGGGGTTTAGTGATTTACCAACTCATCAACCTATTCATACCTTTGTACAATCTGCCACGGCCTTTTTATACTCCCCAACTTCTTTGTAACACGAAGCCCTGCACGACAAAACCTCCACTGTGCCTACACTATCCCCCACTTTCTCTAGAAGGATGACAGCCCATGAAAGCCACTTAATAGCATCAGCAAACTGTCCCTGCTTGTAATTGTCCATCCCCTTGCCTTTGGCAGTGGAACCTGATACGCCAGCAGGAGGAGGAGGAAGCCCCTCAAGCTCAGTAGTTGCGCCACCTACATCACCTCCCCCGCCAAATTCAGAATCCAAACCCCAATCATCCATTTCCGAAGAGGGATGAGCTCCGGCAGAGGCGGAGGAAGATGTGAAAAACATGTCCATTGGATCACCACCCGATGGCTGCTGGACAGGGGTCTGATTTGAAGTGGCAGATCCAGTAAAATCAATGTCAATTCCCCCAGAACCACCAGATGGAAATGCGGCAGAGCTAGGTTTGGAAGCATTCTGAAAATCTCCAAAACCATCATCCCCCAATTCAACCTTTTGGACTTTAGCAGCAGAATTAAGACTGGCAGATTGTTTGGATCCAATACCAGCCAGAGAACTAAACGGATCATTGTTATTAGAACTGATCCCACTTCCAGTTGCAGTTGCAGTTGCCGGTGCAGCAGCAGTACCCATACTCCGCATTGAAGGACCCCCAGAATTAGGGGTTTCATTGTTATTCATACTAAAAGTCCCAGAAGATGCCCAACTAGCACTGCTCTGTGGTGTGGAGCCAGTTTTAGGCAAAGAATCCGCCATGTTTGCCATGGAAAATGAGGACTTGTTGTTGGGTGTGGGAGCTGATACCTTGGTAGCATTTTTCAAAGGAACGTTGGTAGAAGCAGTCTTGGAACCCTGGCCAAAAGCAGAGCTCACCAAATCTCCAAAAAGATTAGGGTTCTTATTAACGATCCCAATGTTGGAACCCGAAGTTTGAGTGGATGTAGATCCCCAACTCTTGCCGAAGATATCCCCAACCATGGAAGGGGGTCCACCCGGTAACGCGGTCTGAGTCGGAGCGGGTTGGTGGGTCCATGACGGTTTGTTGGGTTGCGTAGAAGAATATGAAGTGGTTGTGGTTTTGGTTGAATAAGAATAGGAGGGATTGGGGTTTTTCTGATCGTTTAGGGATTTGGGACGATTGGATCCGATGCCGATATCAAAATCGAAGTTGAAGTTGTTCAGAGAAACAGAGGAACCTTTCTGTGCGTTTGATTTGCCGTAGTTGGAATTCATTTCTGAATTGCAGAGAAAGGACGAAGGGCACTACCTGATGATGGGCAGGGGATAAAGAGGACGATCTTCACGACCGAGGGAATTTGCACACCACCTTCTTCCTTATTTCTTCGCTGGATCGCTATTTTTGATATATATTACAGCCATTAAAGCGATTATGTGATATTTTTATTTATTTAAGATTGGAAATCTTGTAAATGTGTTAAAAACGGTCCAGAATATTAGTTAAATAAATAAACGGACGATACTGATTTAGAAGTGGAAGTTAATTTAAAATGTTAAGACAGACCCCGTTATGTAAATGAACCAAAATAGTAAATTCAATAAAGGTAGGTGATCTTTCAGCTGTCAAGTATGAAAATGGTGTTGAGTAAAAGATAGTGGAAATAAGACGCGCACCAACCGAGAGAGGCCAAATGCCGTGCTCTCGTCACGGCGTGGCCTAACCTGTATTTTTCTTTATTATGCCACGGGATCTCTGCCCGAATCACAAAAGCTCTAGGTATTGCATAGCACATTTTATTTATACCTATTTGAATTCAGTTTAAGTTATCTATGTCATCATTTTTTATATGCATTATCTTTCATATATTTCATTTCATAAATAAAGAGGCACAGGTTAACAACATAGCTTATGTTTTGGTGTATCAATACAATTAATTAGCCACTACGATTATTTTTCAAAGTCATTTTACACCGTCCAAATTATACAAGAATTTGCATCACGTTTAAATTTGGCTGTTGACATTGCTTTGAAAAACATGCACATTGAAAGAACATTAATTCAAACAAGCTCTCACAGTGAGTAAATCCTCAAATGGTTTCTCAAAACTTTTTTTATCGAAATTAATCCTGCAAAAATTAAATGTCGCTGAAATAATTATTTATGTATCACTATTGTAGGCTCTGTTTTGGTTGGTTCAATACAAACTCACTTTACGAGAAGTTAATGGAATGCTCTGATTGATAGCGCACAAATCCTACCCACATTAGATGGCAAACAATCCTAAGATTGTATGCCCGAACAGAAGAAGTTAAGCACATGTAAGTCAGTCATGCCAACAACGCCGAGGCCTAAACAAGGCCTCATGGCCCCGCTTATGAAAAATGAAGAGAATTAGGAGAGAAAAAAAACTCATTATATGACCTCTTAAGTAGAAATTCAAAGTCTCTACATTTGGCGACATATTGCTGATCGGCTATAAGCATAAACTATGTATCACAATCAAAATACAAATGCTTTTATCGAAGGAACACCTTAGGCTATGTTTGAGAATTAAGTTTAGGAGAAAAAAGAAAAAGAAAAGAAAGATTAGGAGAGAATTAATCTTATTTAGAAGTTATTTAATCAAGAGAGGAAAATTTTGAAAGTTTTTCTAAACCTTCCAAAAGCTTTTTTTTTAATTCTCCCATTTTAGAAGTTTTCTCTCTTCTACTCTTTCATATTATTTTACAAATATAATTTTTTTAACTTTTTTTTAAATGTTAGTTTTTAAGTGATAATTTTTTAAAAAAATTTTAAAAATAAAAATATTAATTTTAAAATTATTTATATAATTAAACTCCATATCACTCCCCCTTCTCAATATTAAACATCCAAACAAGAGAAAGATTTAACCTCCTCCCTCCCTCCCCTTCCCCTCCTTTTCCCTTCAAACCCTTCCCTTTCCTCTCTCTCCAAACTCCCAAACAAAGGATTATGGTTTTATGACACATTAGACACATTTGATAAAAAAAAATTACAGGGCATCGACATTGAGGACAGGTTCGGATACAAAAACAGTTTTTTTCAACTCTTTATCAATTTAACAGTCAGAGATCCAAATTGCATATCAGAACATGTCGGGAAAAGACTGAAAGTCATTGCAATCGGCAGGGCATACACAGCATCATAAGGTGCTAAACATTATTATCAAATGACCTTTGAGGGCAAGCACAGGTATTTTCCACACAAAAAGATTTCAGTAAATATGACCTCCGAACCTTAAATAAAAACTCTCCATCAGAAAAACTTGGTTCTGTTGTCTATATGTGATAATTTATAAAAGAAAAGTTCCTATTAAAACATCTAGTTCTCTCCACCCGAAGCCAAGTTTTGGCTGTTCATTGCAGGTGATGGCTCCATAGGTCCTCCCTGACCCTGGTTCCAATTCTGCCTTTGAATAGGGTCTCTCCTTTCAACCTGCATTGTTTCCCGTCGTCTATCATGCCGTGGCCGTGGCCGTGGCCTACTCATACTCCTACTGGGTTGCCTTTCGGAATATCTATATTGTGGCCTGGGGATTACTTTCCCATCAATAAACAAATCACCTGAAATTCCCCCGAAAAAATGATAAGGACAACCAAAGATAAACAACAACAAAGCAATCTAACAATGAACTAAGCTCTTACTAAATTCAAATCCTCAACTAACCTCCATAATCCTTGTTGGGAACATCAAGATATGAATCTGGCAGTACCCAAAGAACTCCAGGCAACTCTAATTAAGGCAAAATAAATTGTCACAACAGTCAAGCACATGGGGTAATTCCCAATTATCCAAAATGCAACGCTTAAGAATATGCAGTGCCAATTCTCATTTAGATCCCAAAATTCAAAACAAGGACAAATAAATTTGATTACATGGGGAAAAAATCAAAAGAAAATCTCGAAGAAATTCCGAAAAACTTAACCGCCATTAACATCCATATAAGATGATATTTCCAACCAAACAGATAGTCGCACAGTACTCACAAATATAAAACCCTAATTGTTCACAGTAACAAGTTTTCATATTCAAGCAAAATGAAAGATGAAAGAGACCAAGGTAAAGAATGTTGACACCTTTGACTTTATAGGAAAGCTCTTCCGAAATTAGGGCACCGAAACCTGTATATGTAGTAGTGGAAACAGAGTATATCTTCTTTTTGGCTTCCTCCTCACTACAAACGCAACCCATAGAAGAAAATTTAAGTAGAAATTAGAAAATAGAAATAACTGGTGTAATTAACGAGGAGAGATAAAGGACCTTCCGAGGACTCGGGCTAGGGTTTTGACATAAGCGTTAACCATTTCGTCGTCGGAGGGTTTAGGGTTATCGGGGAACTCCATGACGATGAGCCAGTGCTCGTAGTCGCAACCATCCAGAAGAATGGTCTCCTTCGGGGGACGGTTGCTCCAGTTCGGAGAAGGGTCGTTAAGCGGCGAGTAACCCGAACCCGAAGATTTGGTCCGAACCGAGAAATTCACCGATTCGGGGACGGGTATGGTTTGTTTGGCGGGGAGCAACGCGTATGCAAAACGACAGCGACTGTTAGAAGCGGTTGCAGAGGATGAAGAAAGAGCTCGTGCGAGGGTAGATGCTAAGGTGCGCCGGGCCCTCAAGTACGCCATTTCCCACCTTCAACCTCTACTCTGTATTCTGTCTTGGTTTAGAATACAAAAACTACCCTCCTGGATATGGGCGTGAGTTAGGTTAGTAATAGTATTATTATCAATTTCAGTTAATTTTATTAAAAAAAGTTATTATATAAAAATATATAAATTGTAATAAATATTTTTATTGAAAACTTATCTATTTTAAATAATAATTAAAAAATATATATATATAGACAACTTGTTTAGTTCATAATTAGCATGAATTGAGTTAAGTTAACAAATTTTTAACTTGACGTTTAATTGATTTTAATTTAAAGACATGCAATAAGCTGAGTCCAATGGGATAGATCGTCTAAATTGACTTCCCAGAGTATTACAACTTAATAAAATATTATATATATAAATCGACGACCATAAATGTAAATATTTAACTGGTGACAAATATTATACAAACGATTTAAAAATATACATAAAATAAAAGACTTTTTGAAGAAGTATGGTAAAAATCTTTGTTGAAAAATATTAATCATTTTTACATAAACTTATTATTTTTTAAACAAAAACTAATTTTATTTAATTTTTAAAAATATTTTGTAAATATCTTAAGAATGTTTTATAATATTTTTTCTATAAAAATCTAATATTTTAAACTTAATATATTAAATTATTTTACTAAAATTTTAATGAGTATTTTCAAAGCATTTATCAATATATTTTATGATTTTTTAACGTGTCTTTAAAAATATATAATAAAAATTTATGTATAATAATTTTTATTATATGATTTTTTTGATTCAATATATTGATAATATTAAATAATATAATTTTTAATTAAAATTTTATTATTTATTAATTTCTTGTAACGTGTTCTGAAGAGTGAAAATTGTGCATTTTAAAACTATTTTAGAGTGATTTTAATTAGATGAGGCAATTTAGCACTTATCAGCTTCGTTGAATTTTTTTTTTAGTTAAAATTGTATTTTTTGCAGGAGATGATAGAAATATAATGAACATTATACATAATATATCACAATTTTATAATTTACGTATTGTAAGAAGAGATTAGAAAAAAAAAACTTTTTTGATATGTGAAATAAAATTATTTCTATATTATTTTCTAAAAAACAATTACAAGTATAATCTCTTTTTAATAGAGAGATTGTATACAGCTGTATCCTAATAGTGCTATATTAATTTTCTAATTATAATATAATAAATATTAATATTACACAAGGTTTATCATAATAAAATACTAACTAGCCATAACTGTGATTATCTTTATCATGTATTATTTTAATATTTGAATCCTCATACAAAAATAACTTTTAATCATATCACTTTAGCGTTACAAGTTCCGTTCTCGACTAGACTGCCTATTACTAATCAATATATATTTAATAATATTGATAAACTGTCTAATTCCAATACGCGAGTCAACAATTGGTAACATTTCTGATATTTTTATAAATAACCTGCATTTTGTTTTCTTTTTTTACCCGTATTTTTTCAGCACAGATGATTAGCTATTAGAGGGAAAATGTATTTTTTTTATCCATTTGCATTGCAGGTAAACGCTTATTTGAATTACCATGTTCCATTCAATTTCTGGCTTTTGAAAGAGCAAAACTCATTCAAATATTTAGTCAAGTATTCTTCCGAAAATTGGATGCAACTGGGGTCGGTAACAAGCCTGGAAAGATAAGAAACTCATCTATCACAGTGCCAATTAATCCCAAATTGTGTCGAAACGACGGAGAATTGAGGACCTTTTGAGTTAATTAACTGTGATTCAAAACCATTCTTCAAAAAATAACAAAAAAATTTCCCATTATAGTATCCATGTACATTTCACGCATACATGTTATTAAAAGCATAATGTGCTATAGTGCTCCTAGCATAAACTCCCATTAGCTCTAAAACCTCTTCTTCACAGGTATATTGCGCCAGAGCTGGTTTGTTAGGTAACAAATTAAATGCCATGGAATGGCACCTAAGGGCAAGGTGGTGGATTTTGCAAGCCACCAAATATAGGTTTAGTATTGACACATCTGGCGGAGGTTGGGGCGAGTCCAAGCTTGAGGTCAATGTCCTGCACTGTAACACCTTGGCATGGGAACAGCTGGCTGCACCTCAAGTCCACAGCAATTGGTGAAATTGTAGTTCCCTTTATATTTGAAAAGTGAACATTGTTGATCTTTACAAGTGACGGCTATACACAAATAAATCAATGCCAGAATTAGCATGTTCCAAAACTTTATAATAATAATTAAATTATATCCCGTTAATTTTATGGCCCAAATACCTTCTTTTTGCAGTTTGGATAACATTCATACTCCTCGTCAATGATGATGGGGTTCTTAACATTTTGCATGATAATGTCACTGAAGCTTATATCTGATGCTGCACCTGGGTACTTTTCTGGCCAAGCTTTGACTCTAAGGCCATTGGTTGTGCCAATCAATGAGCAGTTCTTGATACGAACGCCTCTCACCTCTTGCTCATCCTCATACTTCCCAAGGCTACCAATACTGTAATATAATAAAACATTAATTAAGAAAGAGAACAGTACTTGACAAGTTTTATGTGTGTATTCGGAATTACCTAATACCGTGTCCAGGTCCACACTTGAGTCTGTTGATGAAAATATTTTTTACTCCTTGAATCATAGAGATACAATCATCCCCAGTTGCTATGGTATTTCTTGATATTATCACAGTGTCGGAAAGGCTGATATGAATCCCATCAGTGTTGGGGCTGGTTTCCGGTGCCACCAGCTTAAGTTTACGTAACCTCACGTTTGAACTTTTGGTAACAAATATGTGAAAGCCTTTGGGATTCACTGATCTGATGTTCTGTACAACCACGTTGGACACCTCCTCGAAATACAAGCTCTGCACTCCCATATAAATTTAAGCTCAATCAAATCAAATATTATTTTATATAAAATCATGCATATGCAAATGAATTAAATGTTAACTTACGCTAGGATTTCTAACGCATTGGTCGTCAGCGCTTGATTCGCAATTCTCTGCGTATTGCCAGGAACTTTTACCCTGGCCATCGAAGATGCCCCCACCAATGATCTTCAAGCCATTGAGTTTCTGGAACATGAGCCATTCGGAGTTTTCAAACTCCGAAATATCCTCTGTAGCCAAAACAGTCCCTTCTACTTGAAATGTTATTGGACTTGGAACAGTGCATGGCCCTTGAAAAATTATAGGAGAAATCAAGAATCTGCCAGGAGGAACGTAAAACCTCGTTGGCTCTGTCGATTCATGGCACACCTTTCTCCATGTATTCATGAAAGCCTGCATGCACAACGTATAAGCCTTACAAATATTGTTTAACTGTCTGAAAAATAAACATGAATGTATTTACATGGTTTTTTTTTAATGCATGCATACAATATAATATATAAATACTAAGTTTTTATTGAAAATCGCACTGAATTCAATATATTTATAGCATTAGCTGCGATAATTTTTAATAAAAAATTATTATTTATCAATTTCTTATTCATGGGTACTCGCTAGAAAAATCGATATTTATGCAGCAATATTGGTTGTGGTGCTTTAATTTAATTACCTGAGTGCTGTCGAACACGCCATCAGGTTTGGCTCCAAAACTCATGACGCTAAGTAATTTCTCACCAGGAAGGAGCACATCCTTGGCGACATTTTTATTCTTGAAGATATCAGGACCAGCAACTGTCCTTGGCCTTGGAGTTGCATCCACATGACAGGCCAATGCAAAGCACAAAATAAGAATGGCAACACGCTTTGCAATGGCCATTGCACCTCAATGCCCTATAATAATATATTATATTTTATATTTTTCAAATTTTGAGCACAGGGGCCTCCTTGGGGAGGCTTGCTAGAAGACTAAGTGGGGAAAATGATTCCTTTTTCTCAGCCTCACTATTTGATAACATTTTATAGGCAAAATAAATGGTTCATCTACATCAACGGAGGATGGTAGCTTTTATGGCTTTTTTAGCTTTGCTGAACTAAATTTAGGGATGCTTTCTTTGTATTTTAGCCCCTACATTCAGGTTCTTCCAAAGTGGGTGATTCACTGGCTGCCACATTCTAATAGCAACTACAGGAAAAAGAAAAGGAAAAGCAAACAATTTTTGTCCTTTCATTGATTCAAAATATATGCTGTCTCCATAACAGCGGAAAAATGCTTTCAGCAGCCAACTGAACTCACAATGCATGTTTCTTTAAAATTACAACCATTTATCAATCTATATTTTTGTAAGTTATAGTAAAATTATCCTGAAGAATATAATTATATCATATATGATAATAATATCATATAAATTAATAATTAAACTAATATTTATTTTTGATGGAAAAAATTAATGAAAATTAGAGCAATAAATTTTTATTATACAACTATACATTAATAAAGGAGCATATTGAAGAGATTTCCATCATTAAGTCACAGGCAAACTATAAAAAAAATTGAATACTACATCTAATTTAAAATCCTAAGATATTAATATAAAATAAGTATTTATCATTTATATATTATTCAATTTTTATATTTTAATCTAATGCAAATTTTTTTAGTTAGACTTATTTTTTCAACATAAATTATATTCTATTTTGGTTCTTAAACTTGTTTTTGAGTCAATTAAGTTTTTTTATTTTTAAAATTTAATAATATAGTCTCGTGTCAATTTTTCTGTGGCTAAAATTCCCAAATTTTCATTTTCTATTCAAAATACTTATAAATTGAATCAATAAAATATTTTTTATTCAAAACTCATGAACTAAAGTATCAAATTATACGCAAAATAAAAAAAAAATTCAAAATTTTCTCTCTTCAAATCATAAGCTCATATTGAAATATAATTCTTTAAATTTTATTAAGATTTTACTTTTTTTTTTCCTATTCCATTATAAAATCTCAAAAAAATCAAATGAAAAATAATCAGAGTTTTAAGCAAAAAATAAATAAATAATCAGCTCAAAAATAATTTGAGAACCCACCAATATTGAACACAAATCAAACTAAAAGAATAAAATATGTAATAAACCCAAAAGTTATTTAATAATAACTAATCATTTTAAAATAACATATAATTTGATATTTTAATCATAACCATAAACTATTAGATCTAATAGTTAAATTTTATCATGTTCACTCATAAAAAAAGTCATATTATTTAATGCACACACACATAGAGAAAGTCATATTTTTTAATATGTTGAATAAAAACAAGTTAATTTAAACATGTTCTAAATAATTAACAATTAAATAAATGATAGCTATATAAAAAATTAAAATAATCCATCATTTTGGCTTTGTATATTTCTGTATATTAGAATCCATGTATATCTTATCAGCAGTTTGTGTTGTTCTCAAAAATTAGAAGAAAACTGTCTTCCCAAATTAAAATAGTAAAGAACCAATTCGGTAGTGTGTTTATGAAAATCAATTTAGTTCGATTATGGAAAACAGTATCCCGAATTTTAGTTAGGTTTGATTCAATTTTTTATGCTTATCCGAACTATATATGACCAGATCAGGCCTAGTTAGTGTTACTTGCAAGCAAATTTTACCTGCAATGTTAGCTATTCAATCCTGAAGTTTCCTTTCCAAGGAGGACTTTAACTAATTATGATCCCGACTCAAGGATTAATCTCATAAGCTACACATGTGGAGACACATGATCAAAGACAAATAAAAAAATGATGCATACATAGTACACAGGAGACAGTAGATAGATAGCAACTACACACTGAATTCAATCCGGTTTATATGGCTTATCTAAAGTTTGGTTTTGCAAGGTCTACTAATGAACTTTAGAAATTGAAAGTTCCTCAAAGCTTACATGTCAGATTTTTTGGGTAAACAAAAATAAGATTTGCATTAAACAGCTAATAGATGAGGAGATCTATACACACAAATCTTGTTTCACAACTTCTTTTTGTGTTTGTTTAATTTCCATGATCTTAACTTCCAAACTTGTTTCTGCACACATATCACAGCTGAGGCAGTGAGATTAGCAGAGCAAAGCTGCCAGGTATATATTATATAGTATTAGCTTTGATATGTACATAACTGTCAGGAAAAAATACAAGCCTATTGAAGACCATATTGTTGATCTTCCAGCTGATGAGCACTTGTCCTATGCAAGAAGATTGGAGATAGGAGTAAAATTAAAATAAGAAGGAAAAAAACACTACTTATTACTTCCTACTGAAGAAGGTTATTGTCCGGAATCATGATAATTATAATTACCCAACCAAGCCTCTCTGTTGCAACTCTGTTTTGTTTTCAGCTAGGAATCTTGAAACAGCTTCATTGCATTTGACATCTTCTACTTTCATTTGGATGACCTTAGCAGTCAAATAGGCTGGATAAAATTTGTATTGACAGAGAATTTGAGGCTCTCGAGGTTTCCAAAAGCTCTTCTGCCGACCATAGGACTCCAGTCCAATGTTAGCAAGGTCTGTTTGAGGTTTCATTCTTGCTCAAGGGAAGGGTATCAAGAATGTGATAGCTATGTTAAGTGTTTAATGTAATTTTATGAGTACAAAGTCCAATATGAAGGCCATATTATAGGTCCACATATGGCACTGCAGCTTCCCACCCTGTGGGACCAAATTTGCCGTGTCAATTAAAAAATAGTAGAGCATCATCGCATAAGGTGATCTGATCGTTGAGGTCGTTACCTCCTAAGTAACAGATGACTTGTCATAGAATACTTAGCATGGTTATATTCCGTTGATATTTTCTGATCATGTTCTCATTTTGCCAAGACCCTTTTGTCCTATAATAATATGGAGTGGAACTACGTTACTATACTAAATCAAGGTTTAATAATCCTCTATATACCATATCTTCTATTCAATATCTTAATCTCCCCTTACAGTTTGACTAGAAGAATGTTTTTACTTTTTTCTTATTGATGAATCAATACCTCCACTATATTTATTATGGTATTACTCCCTCGTCAACCAGGCTTATGGGTTTATTGTATCTTATCGAAGTAATAAAGAATGATTTTGATTATTTTGGTTGACTCGGTGGAATTAGTTTTGGTTGATTACAAGTAGAAGACCTACATCTGATCCTATTTGGCAATCACAACATTACCTTCTGATAGGTGTTAAGTGGTGGTACTGTGCTTGTCAATAAGCATCCTGATGATTTGATCTTACATGTAAAAATATTCTTTTCAATCTCAGGGAGGACATGTTGGGTCCCATGAGCTAGCAGAATAAGGTTTTATATTTATAGAAAAAAAAAAAAGTGTTGTTTTGTGGCAGATCATATCAAATACCGGGTAAGAATAAAGTGCATCATCATCTATTGGATTAACATATAGATTTTATCCATATAATGTTGATCAGGATAAGGGGTTTGAAAGCCGAAAGGTTTCACGCGTCTAGCATGACTGATATCTGGGTTTGAACGTAAAACAAAGAGTTTCACTAACCGAAAGTGCATCAACCTGATCAATCTGGTAGGAGCTTCGAAGCTGATTTATTCCCACGCATATGCAAACTTCTTTACGACTTTGTCATCTTGAAATATTATGTCATTTTTCATGTCATTTCCTTCCTTAAGATATACGTTTTCAAATTATTTCAATATAATGATTACTGATTATACCCAAAATATGTATTATATAAACAATTTTTATGCATTAAGTTAATATTTGAATGAGAAGTATTTTTAATAAATAACTTACGTTGTTAAAAAGAAATGATTTTCTTTAATTTTTTTAGTTTTATTTTGCATAAATTACTTTCAACCCCTTAGAAGAATTAAAATAAATTAAGTTAGTTGGGAAAATTAGGCTTTCTTTAACTTAAATCGATTTATTAAATAATTTTTTAACGTGTGTTTAGAAACGGGTTAAAAAAAATGTTAGCGTGAATCTAATGCATAAAATATAACTAATAATTTTGAAGTCTACTTTCATCCTATTGTGAAATTAATCATATATACTATTAATCTATTTAATGTAAAAAGTTAAAGTGACAAATTTTAAACTATTTAAAAAACTTAGACCTACTAAACTAATTTATGTAAAGAAGCATAAATGAGTAATAGTAATAATATTACTATTATAATAAAATTTTAATGATATTTAAAATTATATACTTATTTATTTAAAAGCTTGAGTCTATTCACCTATATAAAGATTTTTATTATCCTATCTAAAAGTGGATTTATCAATTAATTTTAAAAAATTATTGTAAAATAAAATTTTTAGTTTAAGTCAAATCATTTTAATTTAGAGTCTGCTTGTTGAAAAGTTAAACTCGATTATGCCAAAAACTAAAAATATTTACCACTATTCACTATACTTTGTAATTCGCGTTAAATATGCTTTCCACTGTTTATTGCTAATTAACTCAGTTTACAAGAAGGGTAAAACAAACATCTTGTTAAAGTATAGTCTATAGATTACTTCCTAAACATGGAACTAAGCTATTTGTGGGCAATGACTTAAAAATTAATTATTAACATTAATTTATTCATTTCCTTCTAGTTTGGCAGCTATTTTGGTCTGCGTCGTTAAAAATTATTCCCTTTCATTTTTTGGTCATCCTCTGATTTTCGAATTTATTAAGGAGAATCAGATGACAATGATGAAGGAAATGGGATTGAATTCACATTTCGTTGTTGAATCAATCCTTTTTTCTATGATACAGATCCCCTCCCCCCCTTCCTAATGTAAGGTATATATTCCCAATCTGCTAGTTGGTGTGGTGTATATATGATTCCTCCTCCTCCCAATCATTGCTCTTTTCAATAATTTGCATCGAATAACATCAACTTGGCCCCAAAATTTCAGAGAAACTGGCCTTTCAGTCACCCTAAGGCCTAAACTACGTTTTTTTCCCCTCAGTAATTTTTACCCTTGTTGGGAGTTCAGTTAATCAGCTTCCATCTCTTTCTCTCGTTTTTGCTCGGTTAGCACCCGTGTATTCTTCTTTAGCATTGTTAATATTATTTATTCATTAAAACTAGAATTTACTTTTGATGAAAGGTTTCTGTTTTCTATTATTATTAGAGATTATTAAAATAAAATTCTATTTTTAATTTGCTTGCTCAGACTGACACCTCTAGTGTTTGTTAACAGTATCATAGTATCAAAATTGAAGTGAAGTCAGTCTACTGCGAAATCCAATTCCACTTTTGAACCATTCCGCTTAAGATATGTCTATTATTGTTATTGGTAAAAACACGTGTTAGGTCACGTAATAAAATACAATTGAGGTTGAGAAAAGAAAATCATTTTGCAGTTGACGATTGAAAATACGAAACAAGTACTAATAAGTATACGATTTAGACACTATAAATTAGTATTATACTAATCATACTGTTATCTAAAGAGAAAAGTTCACGAGCGATTATAAATAATATTTAAAAATATAATGATTTTACCATATGTACAGAGAATGGCTACTAGATGGTGTTTATTCCTTCGTGCACACACATTCATACATGGAACATCGATCAAACTCATAGGTACACAAAAGGTACATCCAACTTGCTTTTGAGTTATACATCATAGTACATAAAACAAACAAGGACTTAATTAGCTAAATATATTTAGTCCCACAGTAACAGCTGCAGAAGACCTTCATATATTATTTGAAGGTCGCTGAGCGACTTCCTACATGCTCCTACGTATGTCTAGGATAGTTAATTCACATAAAGAGGCACACTTCAAATAAACAACTACTTAAAGATATAACTAATGATACTATCTCTAATAGTATAAACTCAGAACCAAAGAGCTCAAGTTCGAATTGGTCTACCACAACGAATTTGTTGTTTTCCCTTGAAGTAATTCACTGCCATTATCCCACCAAAGCGTGCAGCTACCTCATTGCTATTCAAGGGAAGCTCTTCCATCTCATCATTCGGCACTTGAACCACCCAACGTCCTTGTCTCGCAGGAAATACCCCACTTCTGTTTCTGGGAGCTGCTTGTGCACCATAAAACTTGTCTATCAAAGCAAAGCCTTCTAAGCCAATCTCTCTCAGGTTTGCATGGGGTGCCATGGATTGGATGCTCAAAAGTACTACTAAGATAGTGCACAACCACAATGAGAGAATAGTTTCTTTGTTAAGTTAATGCTTTGTGTTTGTTTTCTAGTTGCTTCTAACAGCCACTTGTCTCTCCTTAAATAAGGTGGCAAAAGTGTTCCTTTAGCTTCCCCCGCAATGCAGCGCGTTATAGTATAATGGAACCAAGAATATTTCTTTCTGAAGAATAAGATAAACTTCGCGCGTCTAACCCAAAAATTAGAAAAAACGAAAAAAAAAAATGTACATGCATCACTGAGTTGAAGTGGCGTTTGGGTTTTTATTTAGGTAATGTTTGGTCTAAGTTTTTTTCTACCTTCTCTTTAAAATGAAAAGTTGAGTCAAAAACGATTTAAAGAAATAATAATAATAACTTTTTTATGAACAAAAACCTCAAAAACAAAGTTCATACAAAATTTCAATAATTAAAAGAAATTTTATTTTTAAAGTAAAAAAATATTTCAAAAATCATATATAATCGATGTTTCAATGTTTGGGCTTGATTAGTAGGTCGAATATATTCATCTTATCGCCTAAATTGTCGGAAAAATGGACTAAAAATAATAATTGGTGTTTCTCCAATCCCAGGAAACAAAAGGTTTTTTTTCTTATCAACTGGTTTGATTTGGGTCAAAAGTAAGGAAAATGGCGCGTATGATCTGGGATCATAGAGGGGACGGCGAATATGATTCTTCTGTTGATTAAAGCAAAAGAAGATTCGTTCTTAATTTTTGAATAAAACAAACATATTGGGGTGGGGTGGGGGGAACTTGAATAACTCTGATTCATTTGCATTTTTCTTCTTTGTATTGTATATTTTAATTTTTGGTCATTAAAGATGGTGGAGGGAGAGGGGGAAAGAGAAAGAGATGCGAAAATTTTTAAGACGAAATTTAAATTCTAACAATCATACATATATCTTGCTAGTTCTCATTACAGTAATGTGTTAATATGAAATAGTTGATTTAATACATACTGATCTATCCTTCACGTCATTATTTTTTAAACCAACAGCTAATTAACTAATACAATTTGACATGGATTATTTTTTTTCAAAAGATTATGCTTTTTAATTACGTCAAAATTCTAATACGATTACGGTTGTAACCCAAGAGAAAAAAAAAAAAAACAATTGCCGTTAAAGAAAAATATTTAAAAGGTAACTATTTTGTATGAAAAAATTGGTACAAATTGTTGACAAAAATGATTTCTTCTCTCTGATTGATTACAGAATAAATTTTTGAAAAATATAGATAATTGTTTATAATTTTCATTAAAGCATTTGTTAAAATAATTTTCAATATTTATAAGACGGTGCAGATTTGATTCGTCAGCGTTATGTTCTAATCCCTCAACATATATATAGGCAAAGTGTCAAACCCTGAATATATACTTACCTACGTAAACACCGTGACGTATTTCTGAATGATATAATCTGAACGGAATTTGTAAAAGGGAAAACGAAAAAGCAGCAGTTTTACGATACATACGTTCAGTAATCAATATAAAATTATGAACCACGTAATAACAGGAAGGATATTTTCAAACTCATCCGTAAAACAACAAATTTGAAATAAAAAATATACACAATGAATAATATAACAAGAATGCATAAAAATAAAATATAAGAGAAACGTATTAAAAAATTAAACTTAATTTGTTTTAAATTAAACATATTTATTTTATATATATACACTTTATGCATATTGAGTTAGTTCAAAAATTAATGAATTGAATTAAGTCAAGTTAAACTTATTTAACATGCTTTTTAGTTTTTAGGTCAAGTTCAATTGATTTAATTTATTAAAATTTATCAAACTAATTCAGAAATGGAATCATAAATTAATTTTAGGTTGATTCGATTCATTGATTGCATAAGCATATATAATAATTGATAATTGTATTAGTATTAATAATTAAAAAAATGAGATTAACTACAAAACCTTTAATAATATATATACACATGGTTTTATTACCCAAAAAGAACAAGGGGAAGCATGGGAGCTATAGCAAATGACGAGCACGCCCTCCAAGCTCCGACGCGTTAAAATAGGCGCTTTAAAAGTCCATGAACGAAGGAGCTCCTCAAAATCACAACGATTTACCATCGTTTGCTCTACAATTAAACGGATGAAAATTAGTCACTGAGTATATTTCGGTCAATGCCGCATGGGAAGGATGCGAATCTGGTGGATGATATTACACATAACAAGTAAAATCCCTTTGATTCAACAACACAAATGGTGTATAAATAGCCACCATACCACACCGTTCCGAAGCAGAGCGCCCCCAGGGCTTTGAGAAAACCACTGCCCAGAGGGCCAATAATCTCAATCGCAGGGGAAATAAATACATACAAGCCAATACAAAAAACAGCAAACAAAAAGAGAAACCCAAAAAAAAAAAAAGAGTTGAATCCTTAAGCTGTTCAAAGATGGCAGAAGGATTCGATACCGTCCACGAGAGGAAGAAGAAGCTAGCCATTCTTAGCATCTCTTCGATCCTGCTTGTGGCTATGGTCGCCGCAGTGGCCGTGGGCATAAGAACCGACGGCGAACTTAGCGAAGAAGGGGGTGATGGACAGATCGCAAAGTCTCAAAAGAACGTTCAGGTTATATGCGAATCCACCGAATTCAAAGAAACATGCCATAAGAGTCTTGAAAAGGCATCAAACGAAACCACAGACTTTAAGGGGCTTATCATAGCCGCGTTCAACGCCACGGCAGAGGAAATGGTAAAGCAAATTGAAAACTCCACCCTCTACCACGAATTGGCCACCGACAACATGACCAAACAGGCCATGGATATTTGCAAGGAGGTTCTAGGTTACGCTGTCGAAGATATTCACAGATCCGTTCACATGTTGGACAGGTTTGATATTAACAAGATGGATGAGTACGCTTATGATCTCAAGGTTTGGCTCGCGGGTACACTCGCTCACCAACACACATGTTTGGATGGGTTTGTGAACACAACCACCGATGCTGGCCAGACAATGGCTAAGGTTCTGAATGCCTCTTTGGAGCTCAGCAGCAACGCGTTGGACATAGTGAACGGCGTGTCTAGTCTCTTCAGGGGTCTTAACTTGACCGCCTTTACTACCACCACCAGTACTAGAAAGCTTCTGTCTGAAGCACCTTTGGCTGATGGTTTCCCTTCATGGTTGAGTGAAGGGCAAAGGCGTCTTCTCCAAGATCCCGAGCCTAAACCCAATGTTGTTGTGGCTCAGGATGGGAGTGGCCAAGTCACCACACTCACCGAGGCTCTTAAACTCGTTCCTAAGAAGAACAAAAAGCCTTTTGTTATTTACGTGAAGGCTGGTATCTACCAGGAGTATGTTAACGTGGAGAATCGCATGAGCCATGTCACTGTTATTGGAGATGGCCCCACCAAGACAAGATTCACCGGCAGCAAAAACTACGTCGATGGTATCCAAACTTACGGCACTGCCACCGTCGGTGTCAATGGTGCTTACTTCATGGCCAAAAACGTGGGATTCGAGAACACCGCTGGAGCTGAGAAGCACCAAGCCGTGGCACTCAGGGTAACAGCAGACAAGGCTGTGTTCTTCAACTGCGCAATGGACGGGTTCCAGGACACCCTCTACGTGCAATCACACAGGCAATTCTACCGTGACTGCACTGTTACAGGTACCATTGATTTCGTTTTCGGTGATGCGGTTGGAGTGTTCCAGAACTGCAAGTTTATCGTGAGGAAGCCATTGGACAACCAGCAATGCATGGTGACAGCTGGTGGAAGGGCAAAGATTGATAGCACTAGTGCACTTGTTTTCCAGAGCTGTGTCTTCACGGGTGAACCAGATTTGTTTGCCTTGCCCCGCAAGATATCGTACCTTGGAAGACCATGGAGGATGTACGCCAAGGTTGTGATCATGGACTCTCAAATTGACGACATATTTGTTCCACAAGGGTACATGGCATGGATGGGAAGTGCGAACAAGGACACAAGCGTCTACTACGAGTTCAACAACAAGGGTCCTGGTGCTAACACTGCTGAGAGAATCACGTGGCCTGGTTTCAAGGTGATTAACCCTGTTGAGGCTGCTGATTACTACCCAGGGAAGTTTTTTGAGATCGCTAATTCAGTTCAGCGTGATAGTTGGATCATTGATTCTGGAGTACCCTATTCCCTTGGACCCCTTGCCCCCGTCGCAGCTTAATTCATGCTCTTTTTTTAAAATCTATTCATTTATTTATTATTATAGTCTATGTAGCCATCCCTGCATGCATGCAAGAGCTCTTGCTCCATCTCAACCATTTTGACATTTTATATATGTCGGTGATTAAGGAAGGTGATTCAGTGGTATTTGTTTTTTAATTCATTTTTCTCCCTTTTCACCAACTTCCTAGCCACTTCCGTGCTGGTTGCACCAGAGTTAATTCCAGCTAAATTACCCATTGCTTCGGAATTTTCCTCACTTTTTTATTTCTCTCTTGCTTGTTCCTTCTTGCTTTTATGCAATCCAAAAGCGTCATTTTGATGATGGGCCCACGAGGCCCAAAAACCTCAATTTAATTAATTTTTCCATTTAACCAAAATAAAATAAATAACTTATTAACATTAATTCTTAAAAACAAATTTAAGTAATTAAGCATAATTTTTTATTAAAAATAATTATAACGCCTTAAATATTTGATACAATTTATTTGAAAAGATTATAGAGTCAAAACATGGGCAACTTGACTGATATAACACCTTTAATTTGTTTTTTCATTTGAAATTTTGAAACATATTGTTATGTTAAAATTGAGCGCTCGGAGATATAAAACCTCCAAGTAAGCTCAAACTACAACACAGGCTGTTAACATTGTGTGAAAATTTCGTTTACAATATACTGAATAAACTAATAAGGGAAGGTTAGGGATCAAGACTTCTTATATAGAGGTTCTATATAAATAGCCTGCTTTAAAGGGATTAAGTGTATGTTTGGATTAGTTATACAGATGTTTACTTTTAGTGATCTTGAATTTTCAGATTTAATTTTGAATAAAATTAAGTTGAAGTCAAGTCATTCATATTTTGTAAAATTTATTATAAAATTATTAACCTAACTCAAAAATTACATGAGAGATTACTTCTGCTAGAATCACGTTTGAATGCATTTTCCCATGTGAAGTACCTCCAAACACTTCTCCCAAACACGTTAAATTCACAATAAACACCTAAAAATGGGTTTGGTTCTAGCCAACAATGGGACCAAACATCAGCTTGGAATGCATGTGATAGGTGTTCTGGCTCATTGCGGGTTGAGTCCTAACAGGAGAAGTAGAGTGAGGTAACGCATAGTTTAGAAGGGAGAAAAATAAAGGTGAAAAAAAAATAGACAGAAAAAAAAAAAGAGAATAAAATCCTGTATTTTTAATATGAAAGAAAAAGTAAAAGAATAGCAGTGAAAAAGGGTAGAGTTTAATTTCCCTCATTTCATTTGATTAAAAAACTAAAAGAATATATAATTATTTCGTGTAAAAGATAATTACGTTGCTTATATGCTTTCTCTTCCTTCCATGATTTGACGTCACGGAGCATGCCAATCGATTAAGAATATATCCAATTAATTATAAATATATTATTTTTACACCATTTTTAATGATAAACTTTTATGATGATAAATAGTTTAATATCTCTCCGTTACATTACTCATTTAATCATGTTCTTTCTCTCTTGTCTTTCTATTTTTCTATAATTTTAGGAAAAAAAATACGGCAAATTTATTAAAAAAAATCATTTCTTAATTAATTACATTGTACGCTTTAGCATCTCAATGATTGAACATTGTACTCAGAACAAGGGTCACGTGTTAGTATAATTTAAGGATTTATGATTAGTCCACCTATCTCCTTAATTATTTATCGACACCCATTTAAGGGATTCGTGTGAATGAATTTTGTGGAGTACCGTTTAGACTGCTCTTCAAGCTGTTGTAAGGGTTTTAGATGTCTGTACGTAACAAAACCCTCTGTGGAGTGAAAATTTTGGGAAGGTTCTTAACAGCCCATGAGGAACTAGGGATTGACACTTGTTCAGTTGGAGCTAGAAAAATGTCAATTAACAAATCCCTTTTAAGATTGCGTGTTAGACTGTTAATTACTTTATGGAAAACTGAAGTGGAAGGTTTATATGTATAATGAAAAAGTATTGGTATAACTAATTTTAAATTAATGAAAAGGATAATATATACTTTTATCTTCATTTTTTTCTTTACTTACTTTAATTAAAAATATAGTTGACCAGTGGTGTGAAGTGATTAGAAAGTTGCTTTAAAATAAAAATATGTAAAAAAAAAATGTTTTACGTAATTCTACGAATCATGTTAAAACTCAAGAGTTTGGCCGATTCTTCAATTTAATTTAAAAGATCTTGGAATTGTATTAAGGTTTTAATTTAATTTGCACCCATTTTTTATTTTCATTTGCATCATAGTTTTCTTAAAAACTATATATTTGGTTTGTCATAGGAATATCGACCTCGATCATCAAATTTTATTGACTTTCTGCAATGAGTTTTTCGTATATGCATCAATAAAGCTGTTCGCTAGCAATTTATGCAATTTACTGTGTTCAAATCATATCGTATTTTATATCTTATACAACTCATGATTGAAATCTTATTACCAGTATTTGTCTTAAAAGTTTTGCCTACTTATTAGGGTTTTACAATGAAAACTTTAATTAAATTTGTCTAGTGCATTTTCTTAATTATTTTAATATCATCTTCCTATTCTCAAATAATACTCATTCCGCTATGAAATGATCACTGTCGTTTTGGCAAAAAGAAAAATGTTTTACGGTATTAAGAAAACGGTATATATATATTCCTCTCTATAAACTAAGTCTCAATAACAATAGTTCAAGTTTTAAATTATTTTAACGAGTTTAAAGCATCTTACAAGAATAAGTAAATTTTTCTTCTAAAAGATGAAGCATTAAAAATATGTAATCCAGATTTTAGCATAATTATTAGTTTCTTTAACCTTTGTGTAACGGTGTGAAATAAGGTAATTACGAAACGCAGCTAGACATTTTAAAAAATGAAAAGAAAAAAAGTTGGTGCTTCCCAAGCAAAGTCAACAACTTATCATTAGCAGGTGATTAGAATGTCTCAATGATTTGGTGCCAAGTCTGTACCACTGCAACTATAAAGAGAAGCTCTTTCGGATTCCTTTTCCAGAGCTTCTGTTGCTTCTTTTTCTTCTTCTTCTTTTTCAACACGCTTCCAACTGTTAAAGCTTTACAACTTGTAAACGCACCACAAATTTGTTCGTTGGGAATCTATAATTTAACTTATACTGAATTTAAGTTAAGTTTAATTATTGAATAGATTAAATAATTAATTTTTTTAATCATTTAAGAATATTGTTAGGCTTAATAGATTAAATTAAATAATGATGTAAGATTTTAAAACTATATATCTATTTAAATATTTAAATTCGTTGACTTATACATTGCGTTATGAAGTAAGTTTTTTTTATATTATTATTAAGTTTACAAGTTAAACAAAACCTTTAAAAAACGTGACCTTAAAAAAGAATTAGAACAAATTCAAATATCATAAGATCTAGCTCAACTCAATATATTTTATCCTTAATTAATCATTATATTTAACATTTATTTTCTATTATTTTTAAAAAAATTTATCCGTCACCTTTGTTTACATTTTTATCACTCCATTCGTTTTTTCTTTTTCTTTTTTTTTTTTCAATCATTCAATAGGTGTTAAATGATCATTTTATTTCATTCCTTGTGAAGTTCAGCAAACAATTTACTAGAGTCATACATCAACTATTATAATGTCAAACTCATTTTTATACATCAACAAACAATTTACTATCGTCACATTATTAAATACTTCTTATTGATTAAGTAAATGATTAGTTCCTACAAATTTTATCATTTTAAAATTTAGTTCTTATAAAAAATTATTTGAATTAATTTTTGTATTTACCAAAAAAATATAAATTTAGCTTATCGTAAAAAATAAAACAAATTGTTTTGTTGTAATTTGTATGAATTAAAAATATTTTTTTATGAAATAAAAAAATTATTTAGAGAAATGGATGACTTAATTAAATTATTTTTATTTTTCTCTTTCAGCTCATTTAAGACCTAACTAATTAAAATGACAGGTGTGCAGCAAGGACTGGGGCAAGAAAATGACGGGACTTTGAATGAAGAGCACATTCCAAAGGGAGTCACTCCCTAGTCACGCTAAACCCAATACCACGCAATGAATGTTCCCGACACGCTTTACTATTTTATTCAAATAAAAAAAAATTCTAAAATAAGAATAATGTTTTACATTAAATATTTTTAAAATATTAAACATCCGATAATTTTCAATGATACATGCATTGATTTTAATAGATTTTACTAAAGACCGACTATGGGACCACATACAGATTTAATTTAAACTAATTTATATGTAATTTTAAATTTTATTAAAAAATATTGGATCTAATATGAATGGTGGGTTAAGTAGAAAATTCCCAAATTTGCCTCAACAGAGGTAATATTAACATTCTGAAAGGAAGGATCAGTTTTGTCACGTCACACACGTGTAACTTCTGCCGCCAGCTTGTAATCTTCTCGATATGACATTTTCGATTCCACCGGCGCCACGTCATCCACTCGCTGAGTCTCATCGTTCTGTGTCTAAATCGGTCATGTCGCTGCACCCGCCACCACAACCCGAAACGCTTGCCGTCTTCTCCCTGCTAAGAATCCTCTTAAACGACAATATGCGACTCACCGGCGACCGAAACGACGACTCCGACTCCACCCTCAAGCTATGGTTCCTGCCTTGCACCTCAACACGCAATGAAGAAGAACCCACCGCTCCATACCCGTTCAGTTCTTCCCCTCCCACCCCCAATTCAGAACTTAAACTCGATTCCGGTTCAGACAAAGCCACACCTTCGGGTCGGGCCTCAATGTCTGTTCGGGTCTCCACAGGTGACCTGCAAAGAGGACACGTGGAGTGAGACTGGAACCACATGTCGATGCAATCAATGTGGAAACTGTGGTTGCATTTGGGTAAGACCCGACCCGTTTCCCCATTTTCGAACTCCGACAAACAAACGGCGCATTCCACTGGGTCCGGGTGGGTGGTGTGGGAGAAAGTGAAGACTGGGAGGGAAGAGATCACGGAGCGGTGGAGGCCGCGAGAGGCCACCGTGACGACAGTGGGGTCCATGTAGAAGACGAAATGCGGTCGGCGAGCGCGGCGGATATTTCGTCGGCGGCGAGCGCGTACGAGGTGCCATCGGACATAGACATGGAGACAGAGCATTATGATTATAATGAGGAAGAGAACGACGATGGCGATTAGCATTATCTTGCCGCTGAGAGCGAAGTCTTTTGATTCGTATTGGATTTCCTTGCCATTGCCATCGACGTCGTCGTTGCCCATCTTCGATTTGTGTCAGAGAGAGAGGTTCAATTCTGATATTTTGGAGTGAGTAGGTTGGATTCGGCTGTAATGTTTATTTATCTGCTATGGCTGTGCCTGTTACTGGACATTTCATACTGTTGACGCGGTTTTGTTCAAATGACCTGTCTGCCCTTATCTCTCAAATCCTCAAAAAATATCGAAAGTTTTATTTTTAATTATCAAAATCAATCTCGTATGCATTTTATTTTTAACTGTTTATATGAAAATAGTATAAAAAATATTATTTTTTATGCAATTATTTGAAATAATAATAATTTTGTAATTGAATTTTTTTTTAAAAAATGGCCTCCAGACTTGTTTGTTTTCTTTAATTTTCGCGTTGAAATATTGTCTGGCTTGTTTGGATTGGGCGTGAGTTAATGACGTGGTGTTGTTAAAGAGAGGTAGCAGATATATTTCCTTACGTGATGAAAGTATGGAACTGTGGAAATGTGTTGCGCCAAAGGCATTGGTCAATACATGTTTGCTTACCTCAAATGATATCCCACTTTATACGTTTCAATAATTAATTTTGAATGCATTATGCCACTGACCAATTTGTTTGGACTCTATATCACAACCCTTTTGCTCTTTCTTCCTTAACCATTGTCATCTTCCAAACACTTTCCTTGTTTCTGCTCCTTTCCTACGGATTCAACCTATCAAGACCAGAGATTTGTAAACTAATAATGCAATCCTAGATTATTAATTATTAATTAGATATTCTATTGTAGTTAATCGATGATTAATTGCCATAATTAAATTAGTTAATTTTTTTCTTACTAAACTTAACTTGGATGCACCAAATTTAGTTAAAACAGGAAAGAAACACAAAATAAAAGCATGGAGTATCATACAAACTTATAAAGTATTTAATAATTTATTCATTTCTACAAAAATTAGTCTTAAAATAAAAAAATGCTTATTTTAAAAATAACAAGTAGAATAAAATGAAATGTATTTCCTAAAAGAATAAATATAATATTTGCTTATATTTTTGGTAAAAAGAAAAGTATTATGAAGTGAAGTATACGAATGAAGTTGGTCACTTCATCTATCTCTCTCACACAGGCACAGCAGAAGTTGCGGGATCCAATGGAGGAGAGGCTCGTCCTCACCTGGGGTTTTGACCGATTCTTTCTTTTACAATTTGTTCTTATATTTTAGAGCCTTTTCATCCATACCCTGCTTACCTTGTTTTATTTTATCCTTTTTCATTTATATTAATTATTTATTTTTATGAATACGACGTAACTTTTTAATTAAAAGAAATATGTATTTTTCTTTCCTATATTTCTCGACTGTCTTCAAATACTGGCCCTCTTTTCAAGCTAAGCCCAACTGTGTGGTTGCTTTGCCTTGTTTGAGTTGAATACACAACATTGACCGAAAACAGTTGTATACATAATTTGTCAAGGCAAACCCATTCCCATTCACACTTCTTCCAGGTAGAGGCGTCCTAAATAAACAAATGGTAGTTGCAATAAAATGTTACCTATAACGTTGAAGGTTCGAATCTTGAATTTGTTATTTTATAGAGTGCTTTATCGTACTACTTATGCGTACGTGAATGTAAGGTTAAGGATAAAGAAAAAGGTTTTTTATTAAATGAATTTTTATATTCCTAAAGAGCTTTTTAAAGACACTTTTTCCAAAATTTTAAAAGTTGTCTTAAATTCATCTCTAAAAATTTAAATTAATAAAATCTTAAATTTAATGAGTGACAAAACATGTCAACAGATAAAAACACATTAAAGGTATTAAATAAAAGTTGATGATATTAGTTAATGTGTTTAGAAAAGGTTAAAAGTAAAATAAGGAAGGAAGATGAAAACAGTAATCACTGTTTGATAGTTTACAGTTGGCGCTGTGACTGAGCTTCACTCTCCAAAAGGGGCAACTGGCCGACAAAACGTGATTAACGTATGCATAGCATACATTACACTGAATTGAGAAACTGATTTAACATTATGACCCACACAAAGCAGAAGCGACACGTTAAGAACAGAAATTAATAACCAGATACTCATTATCTCAATAACTAAATTAAGTAAAGAATAACACAAAGCAAAAGAAGCACACTGCCTTTATTCTATTCCTTGTCTTCGTAATGCTTTGAAACAAGCTAATTCATCAATTCTTTCCTATATAATCTCAAACACATTAACTAAAAATTCCATCGATCTTAAACATGGAGGGTGTAGAACACCGAACAGTGAATGTGAACGGCGTAAACATGCACATAGCTGAGAAGGGTCACGGCCCATTCATACTCTTCATCCATGGCTTCCCCGACCTATGGTACACGTGGCGCCACCAGATCGTAGCTCTCGCTTCCCTCGGTTACCGCTGCGTGGCGCCCGACCTCCGAGGCTTCGGCGACACCGACGCGCCACCCACACCCACCGCCTACACCAGCCTCCACGTCGTCGGCGACATCATCGGACTCCTCGACGCCGTAGCCGGCGGCGAAGAGAAGGTGTTCGTGGTTGGTCATGACTGGGGTGCCCTCACTGCTTGGTATCTTTCCCTCTATCGCCCCGAACGAATCAGAGCTCTCGTTAACTTGAGCGTCGTTTTCACTCCACGAAACCCCCAAAGAAAACCCCTTGAAACCTTAAGAGCAGTCTATGGAAATGACTATTATATCTGCAGATTTCAGGTTTGATCCAGCTTTTGTGTGTGTCTGCTTTCTGTTATCTGTGTTTGGTTTGGTTCTAACTGTCTATTAAGTTATTGCTGTTGATGTGGACCACTAATCACCTAGTTTATTATTCTCTCTCTTTATGTTTATATATAATATATAAAATGTTTTTATACTCTTCTAGGTTTTACATGAATCATAGTTATGGTAGACCTTAACATTAACTTTATTTTGAAGAGTGTAATAAACTGCACGTGTTTGGAAAAATATAATTTTTAGGTCCCAAAACATGGTTCAAGTAGAAGTGAAAATAAGTTGAATTTGTGATGGGGCAAATCATGTTTTGCTAAGTGGTTATGTTGCTGAACTGCATTATTACAGGAGTGTGGAGATATAGAAGCTGAGTTTGAGGAGATTGGAACTGAAAGAGTGCTGAAGGAATTCCTGACGTACCGGAACCCTGGTCCACTTTATCTACCTAAAGGGAAAGGGTTTGGACACCCATTTGATTCTCCCATAGTGTTGCCCTCATGGCTATCTGAAGAAGAATGTAACTACTATGCCACCAAATATGAGAAGACTGGCTTCACAGGGGGTTTGAACTACTACAGAAATTTGGATCTGTATGTTTATCCTTCAGCTCTTTCCCTATAAAATGTTAGCTAGGTGACACAACTTAACTGCATTAACTATCATGCATTTTTCATGAAAATAAAATGACAGGTGTGAAAAGTAAGAGGAGTACACAGATTTTGGTCATGGCCTAAACAATTTATCCAATTTTAATGGCTTTTAATACTTTATTTGTGAGAATCTATTGTAGAATTTGACTTCTCTAAAGTGAAAAAATAATGTATATTGATCTGGCCGAACCTTCACAATTTAAAGACCCACCAGGTCTGTAGTTGAAAGTATGACGATGGTGATGCTAGCTTAGCAAGATAGAGAAAGTGAGGATACCTACAAAGATATTTTAGTGCTCAACTTAATATGTGTACCAGTAGAGTAATAGTATAGGAGAGAGAAAGTCTATTGGTTAAATTGAGATCAGGAAATTCATGTGTTTGGAAAAATTAAATTTGAAATACAAGATACATGTATTATGAAATTCAGATTCGGGAAATTCATCATGTTTTCTCCAAATATTGTTTATTTTTCTATTCAAATAAACATATGTTGAGGAAAGTGTCGGTGAAATCAATTTTATAGTTTTTTTTTTTTCTAAACCATAATATCCTTCATAAAAGGCAAGGAGTTTTATAGTTTATATACTCCCTTTTTCCTTTCCTAATCAAAACTAATATTTTTTTATTGGTTCCCTTTGCATATGTAGAAACTGGGAGCTCACTGCTCCGTGGACTGGTGCTCAAGTCAAAGTTCCAGTTAAGTTTATTGTGGGTGATCTTGACCTTACCTATAATGCACCGGGCACGAAGGATTACATTCACAAAGGTGGGTTCAAGAAAAATGTGCCGCTTTTGGAGGATGTAGTAGTAATTGAAGGGTCAGGGCACTTCCTCCATCAAGAAAGGGCTAATGAGATCAACAAACACATCCACGATTTCTTTCAAAAATTCTAATTTGCTCTGGATGCCTTCTTCTTGTTAGGCATGCATGCTTCCCTTTGTTCTTGCTCTATTGCATCTTTGTCCTTCAGTTCCTGCTTTGTGTGCGTATTTGCTAAAGTGCGTATGCATGTATATCTACACAACTCTTTGAGGCTTATGTTTTATTGAGAGTGATACGAGTACTTTGGTTTGTTGGAGATGAAAGAAGCTTATTTCCCACGCACTGAAATGTTTACCACTCAAGCTCATGGGTAAAGGAGTGGAAACAATTAAACATATCGCATGTCCTTTAACCACAAAATTTTCTAAAATCCTTCTCTCCACTAGACAATATAATAACTGAAGACGTTTACATCTTCCAATTCAAGGTAACAAATGGAAAAAGTTTTTCCTGCACTAACCTTTCTTTCCCTGCTGTTGCTTTCATAACACAGTTAAAATAATGATCTTGGTTGTTTCTTTTTACGGTAATGTCATACTTTTCCACCGTTATAATTGCATGTGTGTCATAAAAATTGCTGCTTATGTAGCACTATAGTTATAGTTATGGCTTCGTCAGAAATTCAAGTGACCTCTAGACCTTTTATTGAACGGATCCATGAGCTCCATCACAATCGTTAATTTCCGATTTCCATAGTATAGAATATTATCATTTTCATGACAAGAACCTAAAATAGCACTCCCTCCAAGATCCATAGTATACTGATTCAATGACCATAATTAGAGAACAAACTGATAAGTGGTGTATCGACTCTAAACTCTAAATAAAAACCTAAGGTGTCCCCCTCTTTGTTTCCACTTGGCAAGAGATCTCTGCTGCAGAATTGAAGTCCCCTCGTGCGTTTATCAAGAACTTCCTAGCTTTTTCCTTTTTTCAACATTAAACTGTACGTCCACAAGGCCAGTAATACCCGCAGTAATTGTTTGACCCTCTTTCACAGGGCCAACACCCGGGGGAGTGCCTGCACATCATTTGAAACTGTTAGGCAGGAAAGAGTCTCAAAAGATTTCCCTATTTTATGTGCCTAGTGTTATTCCTGCAATGCATGCATTTTATTTAGTGTCCGTTTGTTTTACATGATCCAATAAATATCTATGGCTAAATTAATTTTGGGACATATCCCAATACTCAACGGTTTAAAATTATTTCTATCAAAATCAATTATAATTAATTTTAAAACAAACACGCCCTTAATCTATAAATGAACCTACTGAAGGGCAACATAAGTCCACAAATTAGGCTGGAAGTGAGTCAAGTTGATTTCTGAGCCTAGCTCAAGCTTGGAAATTTGGCATAAGCTTGACGTACTTCAAACTCAGGCACCATTTGAGCTTAATGAACCAATATTGAGCCTTATATTAATTAAATATTTTGGTTTCAATTGGTTAGGCTCAAATTTCAAATAACTAAAACCAATATTTTTTACATGTATTCAATTAGTAAATAATTCAGTCAAATTAGAAAAAGAATTAAATGTTAATATATATTAAGCTGTACCGTTAGTATTATTTCTAAAAATTGTGTATATATTTAATATAGTGAGCCAGCTCATGAGCTAATGAATGAAACATGTAGAAGTTCAACAAAATACCAGTTAGTATGACATCTCCTTCAAACAATGTCATGACAGAGCTTATGTGACTAATTAGAAATGGGATCTTAAAGATCATGTCCTTGGTTGAGCCCTTTTGCCGAATTTCCTCATCTACCTACATCAAAGTAAATTCATTCATCTGCAAACCATTCAGGTTTCCAATGCATCACTGCAGTAATGCACAATCAATGTTATCAGAACCAAGAGATAACAAAATAAGTATTTTTATCTCAAACCTTTAACCATAATTCTAGGTCATCAGGGTTTGGCACTGTAGTCTTGGGTAGCTGCATAAAATTAAAAGAAAAAAATACTACACTTAATATAGCTTATAATATAAGTAGATGAACAAAACAATGTCTATCATGACACATTCATTACTTGCAGAATTTTAAATTTCACCCAGAAGAAAAATGGGTATTATTGAATTAAGGACCTACAGTATTATATGCATAGGAAGTTGGTATAGGTTCATTTATTGCAAAATCTCCATATCACAATTTTAGTAGCAATAAAATAGATTACTTTCAAATCACATGTGCCAGGGTAATGCAAGTACACAGAATAATTTCCTCATAAAGTTTATCAATGGCTGAAATTTGTATAGTCATTCTCTGTAGTTCTTGACTCCTTAATACTATCCAGGACCAAGCAAATTCATTTCTCTAACATTACATTTATAAAATAGTTTCAGTATACAATAACCATCATAGTGTACAATTTCTTACAATAGAACTAATCGGGGTGAAAGTGTCCTGGCCTTTTGCCAAAGTCCATGGAAGACCTGCAGACTAACAGTACAGTAAAAAGAAAACATCAATGATTAGATCATGGAAATTTCATATCTAAATTGCATATTTAAGATTATTTGAGCAGAAAAACATAACACATACCAAAATCTTGGGAGTTAACACAAATCATTCATTTTGTTTACATCCCGAAAGTCTAACCAATTTTTTTACAGCGATTTTTTTTTATGGGGCCAAGGGGGGATTATTTTCTTTTTGGTGCTCGGTGAAAATGATTTTCGGAAAACATTTCCCACTCCTGTTAATTGTCAATACACATTAAACAGTCCCCCCCCCCCACCCACCCACACACACACTTCATCCTCCTGAGTTCATAATTAAGTCATACAAGGGCGAAGGAACTACTTATTATTGGTGTTTCAAAAAGTAATTGAGCACATATTCACAAATGCTAAAACGTTTTTTAAGCTATTGAGGCTTCAAATCAAACTGCTGCTAACTTTAACGTTTGGCTAATGCTAGAAGCTGATGTCCATGTTATCTACGGGAAATGGGAAAAAGTTACCTTAGCAGCAGCTTGAAGGTCCCTGGCAGTCATATCCAAAGCCAGCGCATAACCTGCAATACCAAAATGTATATCAATTATTTATCTTTACTTGTCAATTAGCATAACAAAAATATATTAAATCAATTGAAAGGGTAAGACGAATGAATTTGTTACCGGCAACGTAATCCATGGCAGAAGATTCGGGCACGTCACGAGCTTTCTTGGCGATGACGACGGCGAGCTCAACCTCATGATGCAGAGAACCCTCGTTGTGTGGGATTTGGATGGTTCCACCGTTTTTCAAATAAGACGACGTCGGTTTGAGAAACAACACTGGCTCCTGGAAATCACAAAACACCTCCATCAGTCTCAGTCCCATCCACGCTTACAATTTTCAATTTGGAATGGGAATTTTATGGGGTGTGCGTAGAGAGAGAGAGAGAGTACTTTGGGAACGGCGTTGCCTAGTTCTTTAGCGTGAGCGGCGTAGTTTCTGCCAACAGCGACGATCTTGGTGCTCAACTCCAGAAGCTTCTGACAAGCTGCAGTTGCCATTTCCTCCTCTTCTTCTTCTTCCCCTTTGCGGTTCTATAGTTTCTTCCACGATCTCAATTAAGGTTGTTTGTTTGATTTATAGATGTTTTCAAAGGCAAGCTATTTTCTCCTGCGCCTAAACCATTGTTTCAATACCTCACTTTGTTTTGGACAAAGAGTGAAATGGATCAAAGAGATGAAAAAACATAACAAAAAGAAAAGAGATGCAATAATTAAAATAAAAGATTAAGGTATAATATATATATATATATATATATATATATATATATATATTATTTATATTGATTTAAATAAAAAATTATTATTATTATTCATTTAGATGAGTGGAAGAAAATTATTAAAAAAATTATATAATTATTGATTATATGATTTTGTTTAATATAAATATATCTATTGTTATTATTATTATTATATGATTTTAGTTAGATTTAAAAATTTAATTTATAAAAAATAGCATAAATTTTTTTATAACGTTAATTAATTAAAATATACAGAATAATTTAATTATTAAAAAATTAATTAAAATATACAGAATAATTTAATTATTAAAAAATTAATTATTTTTTGCATATATGTAAACTTATGATTAAATGAGAATATATATATATAAGAGCTCGTATTTAAAAAATTTTATTGTTTTCCTTTATAAATATTAGATAAAATCTCACCAATTCAAAGTTTATCCAAAAAAGAGAAATATAAATCTTAAACATTACTTTCCATCTTAATATTTACTTATTTACTAATATAAAAAGATACATTTTCTTATTTTTTTGCGAAGAACAAATGAAGTATTCATACAAACACATTGTCGAGTTTGCTAAGTATATTATATTTTTTGTGTGTGTGATTAGTTGAAAGGAAAGGAAAATTGTTAGTGAATTGGAATCCTACAATTTTTAGTTAACGTAGTGAATTTCTCGATTTAATGTCCACTTTTCAATTTCAGAATATGACGAGGACATTTGTTGATCAGAATAATTACGATAAATTTTGAGATCTTCATTTTGATCAATTTTAAATGCTCTGGTTCATAAATTTCTTATTGTGGTCAATATAAAGATTAACCACCTAAATTACAATTTCAGTAATTGTCCCTCCATGTAATCAAATTTCATCTCAAATGCAGCGTGAGGAGCTCCGGGTTTTCAATTAATTGTTTCCACTCGTTGCAAAATCTTGCAACGGTTGCTCCGTCCAAGACTCTATGATCTGCACCAATATTAACCTGGATGCAGAAGAAACAAATCAGAAAGTGCTGTTTATTTCATCTTCTAACCCATTAAAAATAATAATAATGCATAATATTTGATTAATAAATATATTATAGTTTATTAAAAATTTTGGCATTCATAGTTCAAACGTGTGCTTACTTTGTCATCAACCTATGAACTGCTCTGTTTAATGCAAGTTCAACCTATGCATCTAAGTTATCTAACTTATGCCATGAAGTCAGTGAAGACAATCGAACTACACAAGCTGAATTTGCAGTAACCGCTATGAAGTTCTTTCCATTGGCAAAACTAGGGGGATCCTCTAAAATCGCTTTGTATTTTTACTTCATTAAATCACAAACTAAGCAGTTATTTATAAAGTGAACACGTTATGCCATGAAGAACCATTGCAGATTATTGTAGTTTATCTATAAATATGTGTTTTTTCAGTTGTTCATGTAGTTTACCAATGCAACTATGCAAGACTTACAGTCATGAGCGATGCAGGATACACACTTTCATCGTCAGCAAACCGTGGAACTTTCTGAATTCGACCAATGGCAATAATGGAGACTTCAGGCAGATTGATAATTGGGGAACCAAACTTTCCACCAATAGCGCCAATGTTGCTTAAAGTAATAGTCCCACCAGATATATCTTCAGAAGATAACTTGTTATTTGATGCCAAATCTTGTAACCTTGCCAGCTCTTTGGTTATCTTTGTAATAATGAAAATTAAATTAATAAGAACAGGCACAAGAATATATCCAATTGAAATGTGAGGCATATCGTCCTTAATCTAGCTCAACACAATATACACACGGGAATGCTATGCAAACAGAAGATTTTCACCAAATACAAAAACAACCTGGCCTCATCCCTAAATCTGAAATCAAATCATTGATAAAAGCAAGGGTGTCTGAGAAAGCCGAATGAGAAGTTGGCTGCCTTTTTCCCAAGCAAGAAGTCTTATAAAATAGCCTCTTCATTTCTTCTCTAATGAGAAACAACTTTGAGAAAACCAATAATTTCATTCAAACCAGAAACTTATGTAAAGAATTAAAGTATATTTTTTCTAGCAATTCAAATCATAAATTTATCTTCATAGCCCTGAAAGTAAACAGCAAGAATGGGGACTGAGCATGCACTTCAACAGTTCAACTAAAACAAGAACGGATGAATAAAGCACAATTATCAACGTGCATATACAATAACAATCAAGCTTTTTCCCATTTTGTAAACCAACCTCCAGTATGGAAAGTGACTGAACATTTTTAATGTTTGGCACAACTAGACCATGTGGTGTCGCCATGGCAATTCCAATGTTGTGAGAACCTATGGCAAAATAAATCGTTGAATTAATATCCACTAGATATCAGTAAACACAAACTGGAAAAAGGTTCAACATCAAGCACCTTTTTGAGCCCACTACTAACATGAGAACAATATCAAAACATATTACGCAAGGAAACTATGAAACATTATCCTTGTGAATTCCACAATCAAAAACACTGCCTCAAACTCTATGGGATACACTAGATGAAGAAAATAATTCTCAAAGACTTGCACCATGTGCCAGGAATCAATATGCATACAAACACAGTAGATGAATTTGAAGGTTATTTTGAGCATATAGAAGGGAGCTACCATAAAACCAGAGAGAGAAGTGGCTAATGGGAGCAACCTCTTTCACCTCATGATAATTTTTTTAAGCTTTTAAAGTAATTGTTTTTTTTTTCCTTTAATTCATACTTTTCACTAAGAAATAACCTTATATTCATTCTACAAAAATTTAAGCACATTCAAGCTTCAAAGGTAAGCAAAACTATATCAATGGTTCATAGATTATGTCTAATAAACAAACCTTTGAGGGTAACCTCCAATGCATCATCTTTGAAGCAACTATTCATAAAAGGGTACTTATTGAGGGCCATGGATAGTGATTTGATTAATATTGGAAGGAATGTGTACTTGACATCAGGATAAGGGTTATTTTTCTGAAACGATGTTTTAAGCTTCACTAGGGCATTACAGTTCATCTCATCTACATAATGGAAGTGAGGTACTTTGACAGCCAGTGACATTGACTTTACCATTGCTCTTTGGAATCCCCTACAAAAAGAAAAGGAAAGAAAATACCATTAACTTTTCCGTGACCTAGTTCTTTCTAATTCAAGTTCTAGAACTGAGAGTAAAGCAAAACACCATAAACTACTGCAGCACTGAAGTTCATCAAAACTTTTACATTTACATAAATAGTTTGTCGCAAAAAAACTTTGGCAGGTTGAGTAATTGATATTCGTCACCATCTCATAAGAAAAAGGAAAAATCGGAAGGATTTAAATTCTTGTTTGCATCCAATTTTACCTAAGGGGAAGTATCGTGTCCTCAGAGAGCCTATCATATTTAGCTGTGACATCACTGTTGTATCCTTCTGCTTCCTGCAGCTGTTCACCAGAATCAGCTTGCAAGGTAGTAGATGGATTTTCAGTGAGATCTTTCTTGACAGCAAAGTTGAGGACATCTTCTTTCAAAACCCTTCCATCTTTTCCAGTTCCACTGATTTCATTTACATCTATACCATGCTGCTTTGCTAGATTCCTTACAGCAGGTGTTGATAGAACTCCAGTTTGTCTCCCTTTTTCAAGATTAGAATCCAGTGACTTAGCCTTTTCTGAGTTGCAAATTGTTGTAGGAAATGCAGACTCATTTACCAATGTCTGATCAGATTCAGGTGGCATTGCATTTTCTGAATCACCGAGAGTCACTGAAGAAAACGCTGGCTCATCAACTAGTATCTTTAAAAGGGTTTCTCCAACCTGCAATTTTACCCAACAGAAGCTCAAAGATATTTGTCGACTCATATCACATAACCAAATCATTATTGTAAGATTTAAATTGTTAAAACATTCATATATTCCCCAGTTATTGCTGCTTTTGAAGACCTCAGGCAGGTTCCATTTGTATTTGCAACATAAATGTGGTAGACAAAACCATGTCCATATGTCATGCTCTTATGTAATCACAGAGAGACAGCTCAGGAATTTAAATGGTAAATGAGTGCCAAGACTCAGGTGTCAGCTATTAAGGGTATTTTTCTCGTCTATTAGTGGCCTATCTAATCCTAAGCATCTACAGCTTATCAAATATTTCACCTTTGAACAATATTCTGGAAAAACATGAGTCAAAATATTAATGAATGTGCTTCACATGAATCTAAGTCACATATAACTTTTTCATCATTTATATAACTAAAATATAGGGAACTGTCCCAACCATCAATATAGCTCTACCACTTCTTACACCAATGCACTCTAAACAATTTCCAAATTCCAAAGTATCATCTTAGTGAACCATATCCAACAACAGAGGATTTCACATCTCACCTTCACAATATCACCAGGAACGTAGAGAATGTTAGAAATTTTTCCTTTGTAGCGGCTTGTAATTTCTATGGTAGCTTTGTCGCTTTGAACTTCACAAAGGGGTTGAAAGTCTTCCACATAATCCCCCTGCCCCCATAGCAAATAATTCAGAAAAATTAGAATAAAAAGATGTCTACGCAGAATGGAACAGAGTAACTCTCAACAACTTTAGTACAAAAAACTACAACTGAATTTGCAAAACGCTGAATGTTTTCGCAAATCAACAGTCAGCAGCGCCACTTTTTAATTGGAAAAAAGAGCGCCAATATATAAACCCTTTGAAGTTCTTCTTCTTCTTGGCACGGAAGGAAGCTTTTTTACATTTTGAAGCATAGAACGATAAGAACAACACAACAGGCTGGTTCACACATCACAAGAGCAATGAATTCACTCACCTCTTGAACATACCATTTGAGAAGCTCACATTCTGCAATACCTTCACCGGTTTGTGCCAACGGAACGTCCACTATCTTCCCCGCGGGAAGCTCCAACACAGGTTGAGTAGAAAAGCAGTATCTGTTGAAACACACAGAATCGAACTACAAACAGAATCGAAATTCAATCGACGCGAAACAGTGAAACAACTTATCGCAAATCCACACACATAAATCAAAGATGTTAAAAAATATATATGTATTTTCGAATTAGTTATTATGCCACCGCCGATTAAAAGTTAGTAACACGAGATTGAGATGTATTGAAGTCGAAGGGGACTCACAATCAGATGGGAAGGAGCATTAGCTTTGGCGAGGACAAAAGGGGAGGAACAACCAGAAACAGAAGCAGAAGCAGAAGCAGAAAAGAAGGTCTGAAATGAAGGGAGGAATCGCCGAGCGGAGATCAAAATTCTCCTCTGCAATATGCGGCTGCACAGCATCTTGCAACGCCCAAACCAGAGAAGAGGGAAAATGTGGTTAAATTTATTTATCTATTTATTTATTTATTTATTTGTTATCTGTTTGTGGTTTGCGATGATGAATGAATAAAGGATATACAATTGCGTTTGGAAATGGAACAATGGTGAGTTGCTTTTCAGATCAGAGATTCAGACAGAGATGGGGCTTTGGAGGGAGTGCTTTGCATGCTGACCGGTCACAATGTACTTCTTCCCTCAAACATTACGTGGTTGGATAAGGACTAATTATAATATACTCGTTTATCACTTGTCTCCTTTTCATTTTCCTAACTATTATTCAAGCCAATGAATTCAAATATATATAGTTTTAACATTATTAAATTATGCTTTTTAATACTTTTTAGCTCCAATATGCTGCTACTCATCATAAAATAAAGGTTTGCTAATAACGTGTTATTAACAAAGACTCAACCTTAAAAATATTGCGTTAATCTAATTTGTAAACAATTTTACGTAATCACAACTACTCAACTGGTTCCTAAGAAATTTCATTAAAAGTGGATATTCACCAAACTGTAAATTTTGGACGATTTCATGAAAATTCAAACTCACGACCTCAGAAAAAACATTTTCCTCCAAATGCTCAAGTATTTTATAATCCATATTAACTTCCTCACTTTTTGGTTCGAACTTCCTCAGTTTCAAACAAGTACCATTGGAATGTTTTTTGGGCTATTTCTAAACATGAGCTGAGTTTGATATTCTATAAGCAAGGTAACACCATGGCCCATGTTACTCTCTAGTTTACATACGGAATTTACCATTGAGGCCCAAAACCTGCTTTAGGCTTGAGATGACGGCCCAAATGGTGGTAGGGTGGTCAGTATTGATTTTTTTTTATAACCCAAAAAAGAAAAGAAAATTGACTATCGTTTTCCTATTTTATTGTCTTTCTTTGTTTCTCTTCCCTTGCTCTCAAGAATAATATTTCATATCAATATCTATCGTGCATGGATCAAAATTTTTGTACTTGCATATTGATAGATTGTGTTTGATTTAATTTCTTCCCCCCCCCCCCCCCAAAGTTGTAGTCCAATTAATGTATTTGTCCCCTTCACCCAAAAACTTATAAATCAAGTTGTGTTTTATTCTGACAGTGTTTGCTTGGAAAATGATGGAAAGTTCGGGTTTATGTCAAGTCGCTCACATGGTCTTGAAACCAGGCCCCAGGAACCAATACTTCACATGATTAGCTGCCCACTTTCTATATCAATGTTCATCCTCTCCTTTTCCTTTTTTTGATTTCAACTTCCATTTTTAGATGTGAGTTTGGTCACTATCCCTGGTCTTGTAGTGCATTTCATTGCCATTCCTTTCTTATTGATCAACATACAAATAATTAGAAATATAAATCAGTGAAGTAGAATTTGCAAGATTTTGTCTTGTGCAAGCCGAAAGGGGAAGGGGCAAATAAATTGCATTACAAAATATCAAGCCTTTTTTTTTTCTGACAGAATAATAAATTGCAACTGTTATACCTGTGTTAAGTTAAAAATCATGCCTGGTCAATTCAAAGATGAAGCAAATTCAATATTCCATGTTTCAACGTTGTAATTAGGGGATGGGAATATTGCAGGTTTGTCTTTTCTCTCTTTAACTTTGACTACCCCAATCTATTAGAGATAAAAAAAATTTAATACTTGATCCCATTTTTATCTAAATTAGGGAAACTGTCATTTGTTCCACACTTTTTTTTTCTTGGGATACGATTTTAAATTTTTATCAAACAAATTTTAATTCAAATAATACATAAAATTAAACGTTACAATTCATTCAAAAATAGTAAATTTAAGAATCAAACATATGTTATAACCAAATAACTTCATAATTTAATAATTATTACAATTAAATTATTATCAGGACAAGGTTATCGAACATGCTTTTTTTCTTCTGCCGTGTCTAATTCCACATATTAAAAAGGCTTTATTTTTACTTAGTTTACATATCTTTTTCTTATGATTAAAAACAATCACCACATGTGCAACTACTTTAGATTCGTGAAGTTTATTTAACGCTACAGCCAACAAATATTATCATTTTGAATTTTAGCTATGTTATATTCTCCTACATTATTCTGTTATTAATTATCTCAATATGTTATAAAAAAAATATATCAAATAAAAATAAATATTAACAGAAGATAGTAATTAGTGATCATAATTAAATTATTGTGACACTGGTCTCAAAAGATAATAACTAAATTTACCATGGCAAATCGGTAGACCTAATTTGCACATATACGTGGCCATAGGGTACGTATGTAGCTTTCTAATCTCCTTTTACTCGACAATCCTCTTTTGTATGGCACCCAAGGCAAGAGCAGACCAAACAATGTGGATGATCTATTTATGGAGAATATTCCCACGACCATTTTCTCCCATATTAGACTCCCTTTCATAGCTTTTGCAAAACTATTGTAACAAAGAGTGAATTAGGGATGCATTTAGTAGCAATGTAAGATCGACAAAATCTCTTCATGGGGTGTGGTTCTCTAATTTTAACTTACTAAGTGTTGGTGTGAACCTAAATCAAGAGTAGTATGACTTTGTCATAATTTTTTAATTGAAAAATATCAAGATAGGCTCTGATAGATGATTTTACATATAATAACGTATTTCTTTAGTCGAGGAAATATTTTCTATTTATGTTAGCTCGTTTAAATATAGCTAGTGGGAGAAAAACACCATACATAAATAAATACATTTAACGAGTTAATGGGTTTAGATTTAAATATATTTTTATCTTTAAAAATATATTATTTTTATTTAGATTGTTCAATATTTAAATCCTATAATTAATGTTTAAACTTTAAAAATTATAAAATTTATATATTTTTAGTTTTAATGAAGAATTAAAATTGATTATTGTTGTTGATCATAAAAATAATAAAAATAAAAACGGTGATATTTTTAAGACAGTATATATCTTAATCTTTAGACTGCATAATGGGATAGCTCCATCGATCTGTAATGTAATTGATCGTAAGTTAGATTGAAATGTCTCTCCTTAGTCTTTACCAAATCCTGAAGCGATTCAGTTTAACCGTGAAATGATGATAGAAACGTCCTCACTCCTTGTCACTCATGGCACGGAGAAAACACAAAGGCGTCGGTTGTTCTAATTTTTCCATAGCTGATGGGACCAAAGGTATCAGATTCAGTGCATGGAACTATGTATTCGAAAACAATGGTGTTATGACACTGAGATGCGTTATATCACTCCGTACTATATAACCCTCGCAGCATAATAATGCTTTGACTTAGGTATAAAATCGCATCTTAATTTGATATTGTAGATAAATAGTTGACAGATGTGCAAATTGTCGACAAGATTAAGTGCGGGGTTCGTTGTTGGTGATTAGGATTCTGGACATTAATTTGGTGCAACTAGATTGCACATGCATGGTTCCATATAAGTGCGACATGAAGATATAACAGTTAATCTGTAATACATTAATTAGCATGCCATCCGTGTTGGGTTTTTCCGTTTTTGAAGTTTCAAGTTTCACATTATTAGGGTTGGAAAAGGTTGAGATTTCGGATATAAATAAGCCTTTATTTATTGGATTAAAATAACATGCTTCTAGCTAGTTGGTAAAATTAAGTCAAGCCTCTTGGCGCAACGTTTGATAATGGATGGTAAGTGGTAACGGGTAACTTTGATTCAAGTAGGTATTAGATGGTTAATCAATGGTCTAAATCATGAGATTTAAAAGAACATGTGCATGCGGCTAATTTGAAGCGAATGGATCATCAAACATGGTCAACCCCAATTGAAAGGGCGAAAAGGATACATATGACTAGCCATGCAGCTTATAGGCAAGACATGCTTTCGTTATTTGTCAATTTCTCGACTTCACCCACCGCCCACGTTCTCACTATGATGAGTGCATTTGTGGAAAGCCACCTTTAATTTTGATATGGAGTGAAAAATTCTAAGGCTCTCTCATGGCAAGAGAAATTTGCGGTTCCATTTCACTGTGTACCACATCAATTGTATGAGTTGTTATTGTCTCTCATTTTAATTATATTTGGAAAAATTATTCTTTGATATTTTATTGAGCAAAAAACAGAGAAAATATATTAAAAAATAAATATAGTTATTATATCTACGTGGAGTATATATTCGAGATGAAAAACATTCAATGATATGAATTTATATATTAAAATTTCTAATTTAAACTTTGGCATTTAACACCCCCCCCCCCCCAAGGGAATGAAACAGGAAGAGAGTTTCTTTTGCTCTTAAAAGTATATACTAGTCATGTCGATGGTAGGTTTCTGGCTTTGTCCCAAAAAGCCAAAAACACAGGGTAGGGGGGACATATGACATATTGGAGTTTCAAGTTAGGTATAAAAACTTTTCTTAACAAGGCATGCTTGTGTGCTCCAATAGGAAAATTTTGTGGATGAAACAGTTCTGTGTGATTTTGAATATATAAATAAAATAATGGCGAAAACACGTGGTTGAAAGCAATTTTTGCTTACAATACAATCTAATTTTCGACTCTCTTTTCTGATGTGGAGTGAAGGCCCCAAAATCCTAATGCTGTTAGTTTCGAAGGCCCTACTACCGATTACTTACTGAAGTGACCTCACACTAGCAAATTATAAAAAATGATTAACAGAAAAATATATATTTTGCAAAACTTTACTTTACTTTACTTCCCTTTTTTTAACCTTTTGTACTTCAATCATGCTTTAGAATACTTGTTTTGGTATAGGATTCAACTACGATTCTACTATTTACAAATAAAAATTTATCTATAATGGTAAAAAAGTTGAATTGAGATTATTTGTGTACCCTGACACTGAAGAAAATTTTAACCTAATAGTTGGTGTTGCGAATGTTAAGAGTAAATTATCTTCTACTTGATATACCAAAATCAGTCTCTGTCTAATGCGACAATTAATTAGAGATATTATGTCAGACAAGAACATGTATGAACATGTTAAGTGGCATTTATATACGAGTAGTCTAACTCAAGAAAATATTAGCAAAATTAGTTATGTATTATAAAATAATTTAATAAACAATTCAAAATAACTGACTAATTACAACAATATAAAAATAAATACAAGGATAAAAAAGTAAAATTTTAATTGAAAATATCAAAACACCCAAGATATTTTTTGTCCTTTATAAAATACCGAATAAGATACTATTAAGCATGCAAGTAGCGAGACATATTACTTCTCAAATCTTAGTGTATGATTGCATGAGAACTATTGAACAATAGTCAGCACCCAAAATACACAAAAATGAACTAAGTAGATCTACAATAGCAATAGTCTCGCTCACATGCACAATAATATCTTCCTTTCAGAAAGAGATGATAAAATTTCTGGTAATACAGCATATATATGCAGTTTTTATCTGACAGATGCTTCTATATATTTGGAAAAATGACAAAGTACAGGGTTTGAGTTTGCGGCAGTCTTCCGTGCTTTCACTACTGCAGCACTACTCGCACATTCATATATCGGCCGTTAGGTATTTGGATTCTGTTCTACACTATTCACAACAAGGAGTAACTTGTCCCATCCAACATGTTCAATGCGAATTTGAATACCATCTATGTGACCTTTTATGAATGTGGCATAACCAGGTCCCAAAGTAATCGAGAAAATATCTTGGTTTTTGGTTCCGATATAGTAGATATATGTGCAGTAGAAAAAGAACGGGAATTCATATGGGGAGTCATGATCTAATTTTACTGCCACAAATTTGCAAATGTTTGAACTTATAAAAACTAACAAAAACTATTATCGCAAACAAGGAACGTCATGGGTAAATTGAAGGCAACTCGATCTAGGCATTTCAAACTTCAAAGTCTATTACAATAGTGTTTGACAGGGAATTTTAGTTGTCAACATCACGGGAAGGGATTATATATGTACTTGATGGGGAGGTCTTTTAGTTGGGATGTAAATTCAGTGTAAGGTCAGTCATAATTCTAAGTTACTTTTCGGAATGCAGTCTTTATTATTCTGTTATTGATAGGGAAGAAATATTACTTAGAGGATCGGTTGTTTCCCGTAGTTGTGAGGACATCACTGATAAATGTTTTTTTTTAACAATTTTAGGGAATAATTTTAATCGTTTTTTTATGTAGTTTTGAGATGTAAAGATATAAAAATAATAATAAAATAATTGCATAAAATATCACATATAGTATTAATTTTTAGTTATTCAAATAACAAAATCAATATTAAAAGATTTCTAATTAACATTTCCCTTTTCTATATACACTTAATTCAAGATTGTGGTACCAACAAAATATTTTGAAACTACTGTTAGTTGTTCTTTGGGTTTATTTTCGTTGAGAGATGATAATATTATAGTTTTTGAGGCTGTCCATCAATGCTAACAAACGTACATGCGTAACCGACCACCTTCAAACCTTATAAAAGGGTCTTTGTGGTTACCTTCCTGATCAACCCACTTTGCTTGCTCCCTCTCCTCTCAAACTCCTGGTCCCCTCTCACTTTTGTGTTTGAAGGAGTGTTTTTTGGAGGAGAGAGGAAAAAAAAAGACACCCACCGCTATATTCTCCTTGTGTATTCTTCATAATTAACTCTCTCTCAAAACACACACAAACGAAAACTAACCAAAAGGTTTAAGATGCTTGCAGAGGAGAAATCTCAAAAGACATACCCGACAGTTGCCGAGGTACGAAACCTTACAATTCGATCCTTTCACAACCTTTCTCTCTCTTTTTCCATGATTTTCAATTTGAGCTACTGGCTACACACACACACACACACACACAAATGCACACTACTTATTACTTAATTAATTTGGTGCGCTGTGTTTTATTCATTAGGTATTGGACGAAGTAAAGAGAATGACAGACATAGGGTTGCCAATAGCAGCCATGAGCCTTGTGGGCTACATAAAAAACATGACCTTAGTTGTGTGCATGGGAAGGTTGGGAAGCATCGAGTTAGCTGGTGGTTCTTTGGCTATTGGCTTCACCAACATAACCGGTTACTCTGTCCTCTCAGGTCTAGCCATGGGCATGGAACCCCTATGCAGCCAGGCCATTGGTTTCCGAAACTTCTCCTTAGTCTCTCTCACTTTGCGCAGAACAATTTTCATGTTACTGCTATTTTCTCTCCCCATTTCTCTCTTGTGGCATAACCTCGAAACCTTCATGCTTTATCTTCACCAAAACCCTGACATAACCCAAGTAGCAAGCCTCTACTGTCGCTTCGCCATCCCAGACCTCATCGCTAATAGCTTCCTCCACCCTCTTCGTATCTATTTACGCAGTAAAGGAACAACCTGGCCACTGTTATGGTGCACGTTACTATCCATTCTTCTACACATTCCCATCATCACTATTTTAACTTTCAAACTTCACCTTGGTGTACCGGGAATTGCTATTTCATCTTTTGTCACCAATTTTAGCACCCTTTTTTTCCTTCTATTATACATTTTCTATACACGTGTCCCCAAGGAGTCTTTATATGTGCCATTATTAACACCTCGTCCCCTGTCACGAAATTTAATAACAAGTAACACTATTGCTTCGGTAGGCAAAGAATGGGGTGTGCTAATGAAATTGTCAATACAAAGTTGTCTAGCTGTTTGCTTGGAATGGTGGTGGTATGAATTCATGACAATTTCAGCAGGTTACCTTTATAACCCTCGTGTTGCTCTAGCCACGGCTGGCATAGTGATACAAACAACCTCTCTTATGTACACTTTGCCAGCAGCACTGAGTGCATCAGTGTCCACAAGAGTAGGCAATGAACTCGGGGCGGGGCAAGGTGAAAGGGCAAGGTTGTCAACAGTGGTAGCCATAGGATTAGCACTTGCAGGCTCAACTTTGGGTTTGTTGTGGACCACGGTGGGAAGGGAAAGGTGGGGGAGAGTGTTCACCAATGATAGTGAGGTGCTACAATTGACCATGGCTGTGTTACCCATAATTGGACTTTGTGAGCTAGCCAATTGTCCACAAACCACAAGCTGTGGAATCCTTAGAGGAAGTGCTAGGCCTGGTGTTGGTGCTGTTATAAATTTTTGTTCATTTTACTTGGTGGGAGCACCAGTGGCAATAGTCTTGGCCTTCGTTTGGAAACTAGGAATGGTGGGTTTGTGTTATGGGTTGCTGGCAGCGCAGATCGCATGTGTGGTGTCAATTTTTGTTGTTGTATACAAGACTGATTGGGAAAGAGAGTCGTTGAAAGCCAGAAGCTTGGTGGGAAAGAGTTCATGCGGCACATTTCCACATGCTGACCAAATTACAATGTGTGAAGAAGGTTTTGTCTTTCTCAAAGAGAACAACTCCGAAAAGTGAAGATACGTCCGATTAATATTAGTGTTAAAGAAATATACACCGAAAAGCAATCATGCATGGAAATAAATGCTCATATATAAAATAACCATACTTTTAGTGTCTGGAAAACGAGTTTTTTTCACACTCCAAATCCTACATCCTTCCCCACCGTACCCGTATATTTGTAGATTTCTACTCCGAAATTCGTGAATCTAGGGGTAGGATGTAAGATTTTACGGTGTGAGATATTATTATTGTGATTGTGCATATATATGCATTTACACAATCAATTGCGATCATGTATTTCTTTTTCCTTGCTGCCTCAATGCAAGGTCTAGCTAGATTCTGCCATGATATTCGATGTAATTGTAATGGTAATGTTATGTAAATTAAGATTGATTGATATGTCAAATTTTCTCTTTCTTCTTTTATTTGTTCAACTAAATAAACTGATCGATTTATATTCCAGCCACATGATTCAAATAGTGACTATTTATGCATCAAATTATACAAATAGTGCATAGGTATTACTCGATGGACTAATTGGCTTTAATCTTGATTTCTATATATTCCACTCAATAAAAGAATGTATGAATAGTAAAAAAATGATCAAATCTATGTTGTTTATAGAAACAATCGATTCTCCACGTCATGGTCCCTCTTTACAAAAAATAAGATAAGCAACTCACAATATATGTGCTCCAACGGTGTAAAATAAGGAAATATAATACATATGCATGTTCAACTTCACATATATATTGCTACCAGTATATCATAGTTTTATAGATAAAATTAAATTAAATCAACGGCCTTGATCTATTGATTTTCAATAATCCTTTCGAAACTATTTTTGTATGTTACAGTTTATTCTAACCAATCACAAAAATTCTATTAAATAATGATTAGGGTGACCTAAATTAATTTTCCACAAAATAAAAAATCATAAAAGCTAGCTAGATGGTTGTATAAATTAAACCTTAAAACTCCATTATACAGTTGTATAAACAACAAATCATACGAACTGAATATGATAAAAGGACATTTCTTCGCAAGATCGAAGACTTAACTAACATTTTTAAAAGATATTCCAATAGTTGAACATTCATATATCTATTTCAACTTTTTAAGTTGTATGATGAAAACGATCGATTAGGATATACAAGACTTGTTGGGTTTAATTATCTTCACTTTTTTAAAGCATGTGCTAGCATGTGTTGAAAAGCACGCATGTGCGGGGACACATGGTAAGAGGAATATCATTATGGTACACTTTCATTTAAGAAAAACTGAACTTCATTGTCTCTTTTGCCAGTTATGTGCAAGTTGTAATCTTGTGATATGTTCTTAATATGTATACACTCTGAAGAAGTGCTCTTAATATGTATACACTCTTATATTCCAATACATGCAGTGACACGTCTCTTCTTCCCCCCTATATATCACATCCCTTTGAATTTTAAATAGACTCGACGTATAGTCATATGCGAACAAGTTTGGCATAAAAGTACCAATTTGATAGGAACGGGGACCGGCATTTATCAAATAAAGAGTAAATCACTACTGAAGTCTAAATTGAATTAGGTCAACTATTTTAATTTCTAAGTATAAAATAAGTGACTTCATATAAAATTAAACTAATGAGTAAATTTTAAAACCTTAAAAAATAAAATGCTTTAGCTATATAATTTTATCAAATATGGCTTAAATGTATTTTTGCTCGCTATATGTCTCCTCCTTGAATAAATAATCATCGGTATACTTTTCATAGTAGTTCCTTAACCATGATATATCGGTATACTATGGTAGCTTTTCCTTTAACCACAAAAGAACAAATAATTAGTGGAACAACTCAACGTTGGAGTAGTCCTTCTAACTTTTTGTCCCCGTACTTAGGAAGCGGATTTTTTTTATTTATTTATTATAAAATCAAGTAATGTATATATATTACGAGAGTGTTTGAAAGAATTTTCACAAATTAAGTTTATTCAGTCTCATTTTACTATATAGGTTTATAAGTTGAAAGATTATTTAAGCTAGTTATGAAAATGATATATGATATTCTTATAAGAGGTTTTTCTATTTTTAGCTTAATCATTAGACATTGCAATAAAACTTACTAGAGTTAATTAATTTTAAGCTTTTATATTATTAACAGTTACTAATTTATTCCAGTGTTCTAATACGAATGGATAAAACATCTGAATTAATTCGTTGTTATTCTTTCCTCCTAAGTGTACACATTTGTATAAATAAAATTAATGATATATATGGTAGAAATAGTCATCGCGCATTATGATAAGATGCATAACTGACTAACATTATTATCTACTACACGTGTATAAGTCAAGCATTACCCGAAAAAATGTCAAGCTTTTTCATGAGTCAGTTGTAGTCGATTGACAGGTTAATGGGTCATTGTTAAAAACTAAAAAAAAAATATTATAATAAGTAATAAAAATATTTTTATATTAATAAAAATTAATATTTAATTTTTTTAATTTTTTAAAAAAATATTTGGATTTGATGGACCCGTCCAAATCATCATTAACTTGCATTTGATGAGCTAAGTTGACCCATCAAGTTAGGTCCATTTTCACCCCTACTCGATATGATGGATTTAGTGTGAAAATTAAGTGTGAGTGTGACTTTTTCTTTATTTTTTCACAAATATATATGCAGATTTATGTAAATAAAAAAAAAATTGTAGTGATATAATTATTTATCTTGCTAAGTTACACATAAAAGTTTAAAATACTTTGCCTCTCATTAGACTTGCGCATGTACAATTTATGCTTATCCATACAAGCTGATGAGTGGGATAACAACCAATGCCCAATGGTCACGCTTAAAATCATAGAGAATCTAAAATCTTACATAGTTATATCATGCCATTGTAAAACTAATAGCATGCCACTTGATAAAGCATATAATTTATTTTCTAGTGTTATTTTGCTTACACATACACTTACTTGATTACACTCAAATATTATATAACTAACATCATATCACTGAGATACATAATTTATTTTTATTATTATAAACAATAACTCAAGCGTTGAATGTTTTAATAGTTACACTGACCCGTTTCATCCCCAACTGTACACATTTCATTGCCATCGGAACCCCTTTCTCTAGATCTAATGAGATTGGAGAAATCCTATATCAATTACTGATGTCAAAAACATTTATTTTTACATCTATCTTTGAATATTTTCTAAATCTGTCCTTCCATCTCCTCAATCTGAGCATAGTGAAACAATACTGTTTTTCTCCTGGATTTAAACTTTTATACTTATAAAAACTCAGATAACAGAAACTCATAAATTATTATAAAACGCTTGATCAAATGCATAACTATGTAAAGTGCAAATTAGAGCATAACTGAAAAGATAATAATTAGTGTTATTATAAAGTGAAAAAGATAAAAAAAAAAAAAGTTAAAAGTTGATAAATAAATAACAAAAATAATAATAATGATGTAAATATGACATATTCACCACAAATATATAAATTCCTATTTATAAATTGTACCAATAAATTATAGGAGGAAACTGTAATTTCCAAGATCCGAGACTTGGACCGACCGAGGGGAAATTTTAAGGAGAGCATAAAAATGATCACGAGAATTGGAATCTACCTTTGTTTTCAACAAAAAGAGGCACAACATATAAAACTATGGGGCATTTCGGTCCAAATCAAATCACGAGAGGAGAAAGACGCTGTGATCGTTATTTTTGGGTCCATAAAGACGCCAAAAGTTAAACAACGATGCTTTTAGAGTTATCGCTATCTATTTTTAAACTACGTATAATGATTGGGCCTTCCCCAAAGGGACCATAATTTGTTGGCACCCCTCTCAGGTCATTTATATATGCTTTATTTATTGACCCAAAAAATTTATGAATCCAAGGTCTGGGGTTTCTTAAAGACTAAAGCCCAAGTCCTTCGAGTGTGAAATGATTTACGGTTAATTAATTCAATGGAAACTAAATTTATATTTTTAATGATATATAATATCTTGAATTAAAAATGTGGAACTTTTACTTTATATTTTGTCTATAGAAGGCTGTATCACGAGCTAAGAGTCTTTTTAAGAAGACAAAAGGGAGAAGAGGAACAGCACTCCCAATGTTAAGCTCTAAATGAACATCCATTGTCTTCTGTCCTTTGGATCTGCGTTGATCTCATCCTTTGATTTATTTTATAATTGATGAAATCATTTTGAGACTAAATTGAATAAATTATAACTGTAGGTCCTTCTTTCTTGAAAAAGCATGGCCATCGAGAATACGATCAATGCAAAGCAAACAAAAGGGTTTCTGCAACATAACCACTCACTCTCACTCAATTAAATATATCCGTCGCTTTTGGTTTGTTCCAAAATCTCAATCCTTAATTTTCTTTTAGTTCCAATGCAGCCGTCTTGGCTCACTTTTGTCTTAGTTTTCGTCAATTTCCTTTGCTTTGTTACGATTGGGCTGCCACGTAATTGAAGTGGATTTTTAATTTGGGATTGTAAAGAAGGAACCTTCGGTTAATTTACTATTTATTCGTACATAGTTCATCCTTCCAGATTATAATAAATTGATCAAGTATGAGATATATAAATGAACATCTCTAGTCACTTTCGAAACGGGTAAGAAAAATGAAAAATCATATTTTGTGTTATTTATTATAGTTAAGTGTCCACTAATAACTTACGGGTATTTTTGTTTACATTATCATGCTTGCAAAGGCAGGTTAAATATTCAAATAGATTACAAAAGAAAACAGTAATGATTTCTCCATTCTTTTTCATTCTATTAAATACTTTTGTATAAAAATTATGGAATGAATTTGGGATTCATTTGATGATTGATATTAGTAATAATAAAGAATGTCAGTATACTAATCTAGCTTATACTATATTTTTTAAAACAAATTAAAAAGTCTAATCTGACTTATTTAAGGAAGCTAACTCGCTTAAAATTAATAAAATAAACAAAACAAGTTAATAGGTTTAAAAGTGTGAAGTATTAGGC